GGGGGACGTACGTTACCACTTACTGCCACCTTTTACGCTGACGAACCACCTCCCCCCCCCTCTCTCCCTCTCTCTCTCTCTCGCGTTTCCTAATTACCGATATCACGTGCTCTCCCTTTCCAGCTTTGGCGATGTTGTCCCAATCGATGGTGTCCACGTAGCACAGGGCCGGATTCTTCTCGAATCTTACCGATCCTCGAAGGATGTCCGTAAGGGAGTGGAGTCCTATTTCCTGCAGGTGCATCATCTCGAACATCACCAGGGCGTAGTTGATGAACAACGAGTGACCCCTTATCACCGTTAAATTAGGAAATAGTTTACCGACGCTCTTCAGGCCGTTCACTCTGCAAGAAGATGACCTCAGTTAGGATAACCTTATCTGCGCACGGCAGATCGCCGGTATCGTCGGACTACTGCTTGTTTATTATCATCGATCTCTGTCCTTACGACCTACCTGTACAGTACCAGGTAACCGGTGATCTCGACGAGGTCGGGAAAGGTGAGGTTGGCATAGGCCAAATCGTCAGCACGGTCGATCAGCAATATCTGCACGAAACCTTCGACGACCCGGCATCCCTCCAGTCTTGAGAATTCGCTCACGCTATTCCTTATGTCTACGCTTTGGCACACTGAAAATGCATTTTTGGAGATAAACAAATAAATAAGGATTACATCGAGCGCCGAGCGTGATTGGATTATTTGGAAGCTTGTGGACTTATTTTTTTTTTATTTTTTTTTCTCTCTATCAATCTTATTTGTCTCTTCGTTCCCTCTCTCACTCCGTAGACGCGCGTGTCCCATTCGTATCGCAACCGTGTATCTTGATCAGAGCCTCGTACGAGCAGTGCGTAATATATACGTGCAAACGTACGTACCCGCCTACATACATTTCTCGCACGAGAATACATATAGATATAAGGTGAATACATCCAACAGGATTTCATTCATTATCGTTCGAGCGCACGAAAGTATTCGGCAATCACTTTAGTGCCTCTACGAAAGCGTTAACTGCCATCGGTAGGTGATAATTCCAGTCTCCGTGGACTATTTACGGTGCCGCTTAAGTGTACCTCGACGATTTTATATATCGCGAAGGAGCTTCTGTCGCGGGGAGGAAAACTTACGGAGGAAGCGAATTGTTCTGGGAAAAAAAAAAAAAAAAAAAAAAAAAAAAAAAAAAAAAAAAAAAAAAAAAAAAAAAAACTTAATGCCACGCGACTCACGGGTACGAGCTTTGCGGCTGCTCGGCTATAGACTTAAGGGAACAATCCAATTGGATTCGATAAAGGGGATTCGTCCTAGAAATATATTTACCGTGATATTTCGTTTCGCTAACGGAACGCATTACGAGCCGTTTTGACTTTTGGAATTTTCATGGAAAAAAAAAAAAAAATTCGATTTCCCCAAAACACTCGAAACCATCGCACGAGATCACGTTTTCGAGATATCTGCGCGAGAAGCTACGAAGATGCTTGAAATTATCCCAAAGCTCCGGCAGACTCGTCAACGGTCAAAGATTTTACATAGATTCACCAAGAGAGAAATGGTATATTGAAAGACTTTAAAAAAAAAAAATAATAATCTCACTACACGTGCCTATCAACAGTAAGATCGTTATCGATCGAAACCTATAAAACACTGGCAGTCGTTCTTCGCGATGAAAAAGAAAAGAAAAAAAAAAAAAAGAGTAGTTCATAAAGTCAGACGGATGGGGGGGGGAGGGAGGGGGCCACTGCCGAGAAGCCCAATTAAAAATAATTCAAACGAAAAGACGAACGAGACAATGGTATGTGTTGTGACGCGCCGACTGGATGGGCGTATAGAAGAAAAAAAACAGAGAGAAAAAACACAAGATTCGTGTCGAAGAAAAGATGAGAGGGATGAAGGATGAGGGGAGGCGTCGGGAAGGAAAGTACAGAGAAAAGGAACATTGAGAAAAGTACAGGAGACGCTAGCCTAGTTAAGGAGAGCTGCATCGAACTCGCATTCCAGACGCTCTCTTCAAGGTTGCTAGCCATTCACCCGGAGGCCAAAGCACCAAGAAGAGATCTTCGTTTGGCCACAGTGCGCTATACGCTGACGGCATTCTAGAGTACGAGGAACTGTCTATAGTCGCGGCATTACGTTTCCTGCGCTATAGCTGGACTCTCATCGGGTACCTACGTACAGTATAGTAGGTTACGTTATCTACTAATATAGAGTGCTGCGTGCGCCTAGTCGTAATACACTGGGCCCTCGGCCGTGGTGCGCTCTACGGAAAACACGTAGGACTGTGTTTATACGGGATACATTCCGCGACGTGTCGGCTGAATGTCTGGCTATCTGGTTTCCTGGCTGGCCAAATGGCAGAGTCTACGTATTCGATAAACGACAAAAAGAGAGGGATCTATATGTATGGTAATATATATATATATATATATATATATATATATATATATATATATATATTTCTTATATCATCGCGCGAACTAAATCCTCGTTCCCAGGCGTATAAACGAGCACGAACCTTCGCGACGCATTTTCATTTCCAAAGGACGAGACATCGGCACGACGGATTCTAGTCCTGATGTCAATGATGGTCGACCGAAGCTTCTTTGGGTCCACGCTAAAAATATTCCTGATATTTGCTCTTTGGCCCCAACGACTGAATGAGCGGCGATATAGTGTCACGGGAGACGAAGTACGAGAGAGAGAGAGAGAGAGAGAGAGAGAGAGAGAGAGAGAGAGAGAGGAAAACGCCGATAAGTCATCAATTGAAGTTCATTATGAGATTTGGTAAAGTGAAAGAGATAAAAGAATTAACGGTACGAAAGAAAAAAGAAGAAAAGACGCAGAAAGATTTTACGATACTGTTTTTTTTTTCAATCACAATCCTATTACCTTATCTCTCGTACGGACGTAATTTGCTCTCGGCAGACCTGCGCAAATTGAATTCTTCCCTGCATCGGTCGAGATTCCGAAAATTCGTAAACTCATGGGGACAACTAGCCGCCGAAGCAGCTGTCGCTGCCAACCGGAAAAATATTTACCGCACTCCGGACGCCATCGTAGTTATCGTCATCGCCATTACGGGGTTTGATTGTCGTTTGTCGTACGACAAGAGTACGTCATTATGACAAACCACATAACCACAGTATCATCGCATCAAGAATCATGAATTGTTACCGAAATCAAGAGTGGCCTCGTTTAAGCCCTAATCAGATACCGCAAAGTCCTATAGGGAATTTCCATTGAGCAGTCGTGAAATTGTCGCGCGTGTAAACGCTCCGCGTTCGGTTGCCGCGGCGTAAGAAAACTTTTTTTTTTTCTTTTTTTTTTCCCCGTCAACTTTTTACTTCCAACCAGACGAGTGGGAGATACGGGCAGGTGGTAGTAGGAGAAGATTGGCATTAGAGTAAAAAAAAAACAATGAATGAACTCATATGAATGAACGTACGTGGTTATGTTTGGCCGAGGCCGGAAAGGATTGGCCGGAAGGCCAAAGAGGGAGAGGCGAGAGAGAGAGAAGGAGGGAGTGGGAGAGAGAGAGAAAAATGCAAAATCAAAAACCTTGAATACAATAAATAAAAATACCAGGTGTTGCTCATTTCACGAAGCACAAGGGGTTGGGTATTCTCTCCAACTCCATCTCTCATGGTGGACCGGAAGTTGTCGTCTAGACATTTTTTTTTTGCTTTTCTTCTTCACAACACACTCCCAGCACAATGACTCCATGCTGCTTAACTCGCGACCCATACTTCGACAATTGTTTACTTCGAGAATTTTCGCAAATTTCCCACGTGCCAGCGTCGGCCGAGCCGCGGCAATGATATAAATGCCCGTAGCACCGCACGTAAATGGTGCCGGGCGAAAATGAGCAAAACCCGTGGTACGAAACGCGCACTTGTACTGCCATAACTTTCGTGGCCCGTCTGGCAAAAGACTCCCGGTGCAGTTATCCCCGAGGTCGTAGACACTTCGAACGGATGCGAACGCGACTCAGGAATGCCAATGGCAAACGGCATTCACCTTTTGTTGGCACTGTCTTCGCGCTAATACTTTTTTTCTGGCGGAGTATGCGGACCACGGTGATATAGTGCCCCCTTTTACTAAAACCATACCGAATTAGAACCCGCCGATACACTTCGCCGGGGTTAAAGTTCGATTGCTCATTAGCATCGCGGATAAGCGTTTCCTAAGCGCGAAGGACCACCGAATCCCAATTATCATCGGCAAGCGTTACGAACTATCGAGCAAAGAAGCAGAGAAGAAGATCTTGGATTTTTACGATTTCGTGTACCGCGCGAGTGCGAGAGAGACAGACGCGTGGCGATTTGCACGAGAGCGACAAAGACAGAGCACGAGAAACACCAATTCTCCCGAGGAAACAACTCCCCCGAAGCCGTTAACTATACCACGTGTTGAATCGACGCTATCCGAAACTGACAGCAGTCACTGACACGTGGCACCTATTGCATCACGTCGCTAAGAACTGTTGCACACTGAGACGAATGTCGAAAAATATTTTTTAAAAATCTAAATCATCCCCCCAACCTCCCACCGCCTCGTTTTCTATAATTCCATTGTTCCTCCGATTTTTTTTCTGTTTGATCATCAATATACTACACTAACAATCTGTAACGTACGTTCAAATTTATATTCGCACATTTTTTACAATCTTCCTCTCTCTCTCTCTTTCCCTCCTCGTCTCTCATTCGCATACCCTATCGCTACTTCCCAGGAGAGAGTGAGAAACGGGCGTGGGGACAGAGTAAGGGGAATAGCTATTCAAGTCGGATCAATTGCCAATAATTGAACGGCTTCTGGCCCGACGATGAGCAGAAGACAAGAAAGACCGTGGGACGAACAGCTGTCATTGACATCTGACTCTCGCGGCGCGTTGACATTCCAGACCGATGAATTGTACGCGTATCCATCGTTAAAGATATTCGAGTCGCCGCGGAATCCCGAGATAATGAAGAAGAAACAAACAAAAAGTTCATTGAGCACGAACCGTATGTCGAATCCCCTCTGTCGTTATACATGTATACAGAAAAGGTAAACAGTATATAGTGTAATTATTATTAAAGATAAGAATCAGCCAAATTAAATAATCGTTTTAACGTAAATATAATAACGCTCGCGTGGCAGCGTCTTCGCTCGGATACGAAGCGCGTGCGTTACGCGTTTAACGTGCGACCACGTGTGCGCGCCTGATCGTAGGCATTAGCCACGGTCGGTATATTCTTGTAGCGGGGAAAAATATTTTCCCAGAGACTTTCATTGCTCTCGTGGCATTCCCACTCCAGTTACGGCAATGTTTTTAATGAGATAACGGATAGACCCGATCGGAATGTCCGCAGATAACGAATGCATCCATTGTACATATATATAAATATTAAATAAATATCTATATATATTTACATACAATAAGCTTATATAATATGTATTTACACGAGTTCATAAACACGCTCGTGTCATTGTTATCATTAGACCACACACGGCATCCATCCGCATGAAACAATAACATGCTAGGAAGCGATAAAAGATATTGCGGATTATGGCGAATGCGGTGAATACTTACACGAAGCCAATTATAAATGGTGAAGTTGCAATATCGGAGCCGTTTTTCGCTCTTAATTTAATTAATATCATTTTAACGTTCGCTCATTCAGTTTTGACGTGGCGGGCAGATATGGCAGCTGTCAGTGGGTTGCTTGTTGTTAGATTGAATTTTTGATTTACATTGGAAAATCGTACGAACGCAGTGAAATTCACGAGTCTCCCTTACTGAGGAAATTTTTGAAGTGTTATGGGTCAGATTCTTGGACTTGAAGAGTCACTTGTGACTGAGGCGAGTTGCAAGAGGGACCACTATCCCTCTGACGGTTAGGAATTGGCAACAGGGGCATATTATGTTATTGATTCTGCTGTGAACGTAATTTCGGATGTATACCTCTTTTAAATAATTTTACATATTGAAATGACGACAAAGGAATCGGTTTATTTACTATTATTGTTAGAGAGAGTGCATACGCAACTTGTAACAGATTGTTTTTTTTTAACTGAATATACTTGTTCAGCTTATATAACAATTGCAAGAATACATTTTGAGTCATAGGGCGACCATTAACGTGACAGCTGTCAAACTCGTGCCACGTGTTTAGCTGCTTTCTTTTACTGTCTACGTGTTTTGTTTAACGTGACGAAAGATAAAGACGACCGAAGTTAGACGACCGATCGAAAACTCAAAGGTGCTCTGTCCAATTCTCGTGAAAGAGGCTCAAAGGAGAGATAGAGGGAGACGGGTACTTGTAACGTACGCTCACGCACACGCTCACGGACATCCTTATCAGTCAAGAGCGATGGCCGCGTTAATTCCGACTTCGCACTCGTTTTCCGGATTGATAGCGTCTCAGGCTCCAAAGGAGAAGATAGGAAATCAGACCGATCTTATCGTAGCGCGAAAGCACATGCGTGCCTCGCGTTAGCGCCTGCAGGTGCGATTCACGGTCTTACTGGCGCCAGGTTTCCTCCTACTTCATTTATTTTTCGCTCATTTTAATCAAGACAGCTTGATCGTATCACAAACATCAGACACACGTTTTTCCGTATCTCAAGAGTCGCAAGAAGGAGAAAAGATGGGAAAAAGTACAATAAGTCGGTTAAACGTACGAAAGTTTCAAAGTACCCCTGTGACGGAGTATCCTCTATTTAAAAAATATTTTATATCTACAGTTTTCCTGCTTTTTCTCTTGGATACTTCTGTCTCGTGAAACGGTATGGCCTATGACTGTTCGCGATAATTTTGCTTCTTTCGTCCCACAAGTTTCATTTTTTTTTTTTAACTGTACTATGGCAGTATGTGAGTCTTAAAACATTTAACTCAAGGCGAACGATATGGAGAGCCAAGACGTGCATCGAATTACGTTTGAGACTGCAAGTCGATAAGATAAACGCCGGAGACACATCGCATTACCTTTCTTTATTCTTTTTTTTTCTCCCATTGCTTTTGTTTTGTCACCGGACCCGGAGATATGGTCCATTTTATTCTGAATTGGCCACATCATTTGAAGCTCCACAAGCGTCGATGACGAATTTCGCAAGATCGCGAAAAATGCGATGGGTACTAGTTTTTATTCGCACGCTTCCGATTTGATATTAGTCAACTCTTTTTGTGACTCGTGCATGACAGCCAATGGGACCATCGAGTATTCTTGGCCTTTTACGCGATCCCATTTGAATTTGTTTATTCAAGAAGAAATGAATATCGACTAGCCGCCAAACGTGTTTCGATATTCAAAACGCGTCACCGTACGTTAAGCGTTCTACGTATCCTACGTAAGTAATGTTGTACTATCAGACTCGTATTCAATGCTTGTATCGAGTTCGAGGCGTCTTCAGCATCAAAATAGACCCAGAGAATCTCGGACATCAGTATCCCCTGTATTCCAGACGTTTCAATATCGAAATAGCTCAATATGCTGAGCACATGAGATACTTCTGACAAGAGATTGGTACTAAGTAAATATATATGTATAAAGAATGGAAGAAATATTTAAACTTACCCTCCGTTTTGGAGGACGAAGCAGTAACCTCAGTAATAGGTGGACTAAGGAACTCTGCTGAAGCTGGGAGAACAAAGCTGGCGATGATCAAAAGGATTATGGCGATGAGTCTTTGCCAGGAAATAAGAAAATTTTGTGTGCACCACCATCGTACAACGCTGGAAGCACTCCGAAGCCATCTACCCTGATCAACACGGTTCCTTCGACAGGATATACTTGCCAGGATTTTCTTGTGCTTGCAAGGTATTTGTCTTGATGATTTAGTAGGGTGCTCTTCTTCAGGTTCCTCTGTGGGACAGAGCCTCTTGCAGATTTCACATCGTAATCTGCTAGAGTACTCTAGGCAGTTGCCAGTTAGTAGGCTAGAGCAGTCAGTTAGTGTCATCTTTTTTCTGCTACAAATGGCTTATCCTCGGTACAAAAAGAGGATTCTCATTAAATATAAATATGAAGATGCATCACACCTAGCCAGCTTCTCCATTCAGACTGCAAGGTCCTTACGGCACATATGGAAGCACCGTAAGACTAGCATAAACACCTTTCCTTTGAAAGGAGTTTTGCCTCCTTTGCTGAACACTATTCACTCTGTCACTTAGTGTCACTTGTTTCCACACCACTGCACTAAAAGCACATCGATTCCACAATTATCCACCTTGGAACAGATGTGAACCCATAGATCTGAAATTTAAAAAAAAATCATTATGAATATATGGAGCTTACGAAATCTAACAGTTAAATGCTATGCACAGTGCTAATTATATTAAATACATTCCGTATTCAAAAGATAAATGCGACAAATAATTGAAAATAATTTCATTATAAGCATTAGAATCAGTATGGGTTGATAAAATTTGCGTCATGGGATATGAATGTGATATCAAAATATAACAATACCCAAGGCGACAGTCCTCATAATAAAACGCAATTTAATGTAGTAATTCTCAGTAAGACTCTCTTCAGCATGGCGATGACATGGTTTGAATAAACACTGGCTATATCCTTAAGAAACCAGCACTATCTCTCCCATTCACAAACACTAACTGAGGTCCCGAATTATCTTAAAGCAGCCCAGCGAATCTTTGAAAAATAAAATACCAATGCTTCTCAAAATTAATCGTGCACATTCATATTTGCACTAAAAACCCTATCTCCATTGTGAAACAGAGTATCGCTCGATAAATGTGACGCGTGTTTTGCAACACGCGTGTGTCGCGCACCAGGCCATCATATCAACGACATTACTAAGTGTCCGTTTAAAGCTATGACTTATTTACGTCGAGTCACGTTATGTCACGCTTGTTTTCCCGTGTTGTAAAAAAAACAAACAGAAATTGCATCCAACAAAAACACAAGAGGGATATATCAGAATGGACAGGAATAACCTAATAGATAAATAAATAGAGCATAAGAAATGGACGGAATTAGGCTTGGACGGATACGTACTGAAATGGAGCCACGAGTATATCGAAGTAAAAAATATTTATAATAGAGTTTTCCCCGAACTGCGTAAAACCCGAAAAGCATGGTCGTAGTGTCTTTAAGAGGTTATATACGTAGTAAGCCACGAGGGCTGCATCCTGGAATTTTAAGAACCCATTATCATTGTTATTATACGACTAGAAGACGCGACTACATAGTATTTCCCGGACAATCGCACTTTGCCACTACGAGAGTACACACAATTCACGAAGAAGTGTAACGCTACGTCATTTACATGTCGTGTTACGTAAACACGCCTTAGGCTCGCACCGTACCGTACCATACCGTGGGTCGTAGTCGACTGGCAGTTCGTAGCTGCGAAGTTTTTAAAATCAATGGCGTGGGTATATGCTCACCGCTAACCACTCCGTCGTGGCTTCTACCTACCAACGGCCTACAGCTTAGTAGCTATCTAACCTCTCTGCTTCCCTCACTGCTACAATATACACATGCGCTCTACGTTACTCGCCGACTCACTTTTAGAGAATCTCTCGTACAGTCAAGAGTTGTCTCCCACACAGCTCTCTCTCTCTCTCTCTCTCTCTCTGTCTCTCTTTCAAATTCTTTCCCAGTAAGTCTGTCTCTGTCGCTCTCCCTCAAGCATCTCCGTCTACCCGCATAACATGCTCTCCGCTGTCTGGCTTCTCTGTAGAGAGGTCAGGATGATGCTGGCGGCATTTCTTCCTTTCTCAGGGCATTTGCGCATGCGTGCTCTAGCATTAAAAGAGGGCCCGACCTACTGCTAACCAATGGGAGCTACACGATCTAGTAACATTTCATTATGTGAATTTTCCCCTAGGATCAAAAGCGGGTTGTGCGTACAATGGGCGCCACAGAGGTACATACGTAGCACCTGGAACACTATTCATTCACATTATTCTGAGTCTATGAGACGATTGGTGTGACACGTTTAGAAGCTAACACGGATAATTTTGTGGATTTTTATGGTAATAGAAACGTGATGGGCAAAAATATACATGCAGAATATAAAATAAGGCTTTAAGGGATGCCAGAAAGTTAAGTCGAGGGTCAACTAGGGATCATTCGATTAAACATAGATTATATATTTTTCTCAATGACGAGCAATAATTGATTTATTGTGTTTGAAGGGGTCAGGCCAGAGATGCTAATGGGGCCGAGTACGCGATGGAACGCGGCCGAAAATTATCCATCGCGACGTCGAAGCAACGTCGATACATTTGAACACGCCCGGTACATGATATAATCGATCTTTAGTACCGTTAGTTAAACAGTTCAAAAGTAAAAAAAAACTCGATGTCAAAGATTCTTATTATGACTAACAGAGATCATCATCTCAATTTACCAACTAGATAATGCACGTCTCCTCGTAAATACATAATAATTCCTAAAGAATTTGTGAAATCCAATGATTGTCTATATTTTCAAAATACATTTATTCCACTACAGAGAAATAATTTAACAAAAAAAATCATAGCCGTCTGATGAGTACACCTGGCGAGTCACGACGGACTATGATAGAAACACTGCCTTGAGAATTTGTTGATGTGTATTGGTGGGGGAGGGTCAAAAGAGGGGAAGGCCGCCACGTTGGTGGGGATAAAATAGTAGAGAATTGGTGGGGATACAGAAGGCTTCATTCACCTCGTGTTTTACTACGAGCGCTAGTCGCCATTGGTCGTTGGCTCGTTTCTTTCTCGAAAATTTCAAATTCAAGATGTCACCCGCCATTAATCTCTCATCTGCTCACCCTAGATTTACGAACTGTAATAAATGTGATATAAAACGGAATTAATAAAATTCTCCGAGACGTGTATTTTTTTTTTTAATTGGGACCATATAACCAGTGACTAATTATTCTTAAAGCATCCCATGAACACGATGCATCAGGAGATGCAATAACACTTCAGATATTACAGTTCCATTTCCACAATTCCTTAATAGATCAGCAATTTATCGAATAAAGAAAGACTAATCCTTCCAAAGAGCTAGTAGTTATTAAAGAACGATTTTACCCAGGGGTTCAATGTACGAACGATCCTACGGACTCCCACCAGGTTCTTCCTGGTCCCATGGTCATGTCTCGTCGATGCAACGCGCAGCTGAATGGAAGGAGGAGATGGTCGATACTAACTTGAGTCCCCATTGCATACGCTACTGCCAGCCAGCCACCCTGTAGTTGTTCCTCAAACCCATACTACCTGAACCTATCCCGAGGAGCACTACCTTATCCCAACATATCTATACTCCGACCAACGAGAGAACAGCCAACTAACACTCTCTTAGACCCATACACAGCATAGCAATAGTAGTAATAGCAGCAGTAACAATACAACTAGTGATATTAAATATACGAAGGCGCATTCTTGCGCCAAAAAGAGCGGCCAATGGCCTCTGGTCGCAGAGCCAAACCGTAAGAGTCTAAAATGATCGTCGGAAAAGGCTCGAAAGATTTATTGAAGATGCAGTCCGTAATGAAAAATTGTTGCCTTATTTTCATTTGCCAGACATCGTTAATCGTCGGGCATCTAAGAGAATTTTAATATGCATAAAAAATATATGTAACAAATTATTGACAGATATTGGCAAGGTTGCGTTTATCAAATGTCCTAAATGAGTGTCACTGCGTCTGAGGGTGGCTGTGAGTGAACCAGGGCGTAGGTGGTTGTGCGAGGGTATTGTACGTGAGTGTTAGTACTGGGTAGCGGAGGGTAGTAGGGGGTTCCGGAGGGTGGCGGAAGGGGGAACTGAGGAGCGAAGCGAAGTCGGGAGGGAATAGCTCGGCAAAGAAGTATGATACTACGCCGCAGTGTAAGGGGCGTGCGATCGATGCCGGCCAAAACATTGCCACATGCCTAACCCGCAGCCCATTCGACACATTCTGCTACGCCATTAGGATCGGACCCAGAAATCAGGGAGAAATGCGGGCCCTGGGAAAATAAACGTGTTTAGGAAAAACAAATGTTGCCCAAATAATTGTTACAGCTAAATGAGGATGAAGCTTGAGAGAGTCTTCAACGAATGCTTCGTAAGACGTAATAAACACGTAGGTCCCAACTGCTTATGTGGAAACTTTGAAGAAATTAAGAAACACTACTTACTTCAAATACTCGGAGAAACAGTCCCACGCCTTGAAAATACTTTCGGTATTGGTTAGGTGATTACAGAAAACTCGTATTCAAAGATATTACACAATAATCGCGCGGTTACTGGTAATTTTCAAAATTATCAATACGCGGTCGAGCACTGTCAGATTGATACTGTCCCAATAATTGAAATAAGCGACAATGTGGCAAAATACGAAGACGAATTCTCGTTTCGTCAAGCACCGCGCCTTTCCCAGCACTGAACTGACGGTTCCGTGGGGTGGGTTTTCGCTCGCGATCTTTTACGGGGTGATGGGGTCATGAGGGGTCATCGGGGGGGAGGGAGGGTTGAGAGAGACTGCGAGGGGGTTGAAAACCATTTGGAGGGGGTAAGAAAGTGCGCAGTAAGGAAAGGATGGGCCCCGCCCTCTATTCCTACCCTTGTACGTAACTTCTCTTTCCTGTGCTCCAGAGTTCACCCTCGAGCACCACCGAGTTCCGGTTCAAATATATATTTCCGCTAATCTGTCCATCCAGGTAATATCTAATCGAAAGATATCCTTAATAGATTTTGTAATACTTGTAATTATGAAATGTTTATTATTTTTATTTTCACATTCAAATCTTCAATATCCGTCCTGTCGTTCTACACATATCCACACATCGTTTGACTCTTGTTTATTGGATTCGCGCTACTTTCTGTATTATCTTTGTGTATGTATAGCTCTCGAACGAGGATGCTGCCATCTGTGTAGTTTGGCAAGTCCCACAAAGGAGTTTATAAGGCGTTCTCGTTGATCAAGATTCTTGGCACCGGTCCGTGGGATTTTCGGAGACGGCTGAAGCCCAAGATGAAAATGATTATCGGCAAAGCAACAATAATGAAATATAATTTTTTTAAATGAACCCCGATCATTCCTCCCATACTTACAGTCACGTACTTCTCCCCATGAGTTAGGGTTAAGTTGTCTTAGCCTGTTTATTTAAGTATTTACGATGAGATCAGAATATGGTATGCCGCAACGAAGGGTCCACTTGTGATTCTCCGCAGATGCAAGGAGGATCGCAAGAGTGAGTCAGGGAGAAGTGGAGCTAAGAGGAGCAACGAGAATGATTCAAATATGGCGCGGGCTACGATGGAATGCGGTTGTCTTATATAGTAACGCTCGAACTATTATCTTCCACGTTTTTAGTGATTCACGCTTTTTTCGGAGTATGCTTTCGAAATTAAATGAGTATACGAAACGCCCTCTCTACGAAAGTTATTTGAACCAATCGATAGCTTACGGTATTTTGCCTAGAGATGGCCATCCGATAGACAAGTGTTCCCGTAGTATTATTCTGACGCTGCTTTCACGACATTAGCGACACCCTGTACACCTTGGGGTTTTATATATTTAACACACTCTCGGATAGATGGTGCCGCCTACAATCCTTGCCGCACACTATTTTATAAAGGACACCCGGTACACGATGGAATGCCGTTCGCATTTCAGGATCTAGGTAAAATGCAACGAGCAATGGCAGGACTTGCAGATTGCAGTTCCCTCGCTAGCGAGACAAGTCTCTAGTTCTTCAATACTTCAATTATACTTTTAATGACACGCGCTATTAATTTTCACGGTACAAGAATACTTGTTAAATAGAAGAGTGGTCTACGAATTTTTACAAGTACAGACATCTGTGTCAACAATGATCTATGGAGAAATTAGAAATTTGTATGAATTACGAACATCATAAAACTGGCACTTGTTCTTCTAAAAGATATACAATCAAAAAGGAATAAGAAGAAGAACATCGTAAAATGTTGCGTGAACGTTACACTCGTACGATCGTAGTATGGTAATACAGATAATGAAAATATATTAAACACGAGTAAAGAGAACGAACACATATAAACACTTCAAAAATCAGACAGAAAAATTATCCTAATAAACAGGTATCATCGAAATTGCCAATAGAAAGAAGAATGTTAGTCAAAGTTCTCTAAGTTTTCCCATCGATTGATATCCACGAAATCTAATGAAGGACGTAGCTTGAACTATGCGAATAGAAGAAAAGAAATTCGCATATGCCACAAAAAGCACAAAGCGTCCTTGTATCCCCAGAGAGAAGCTTCGGCCTAATAATAAACCTTGATGGTAGGCAAACAAGCTGGTGTAAATGAAAAACAATCAAAGCGCAGGACAATTACTTCGCAAATAACGATAAACCTAACCAAAACGTGTCACAACTACACATACTCCACGGAAGTAAGGCGACGCAATTGTCAATGGATATGCGAAGTCCCAATGAGAAGTCCAGCAACAATAACAATCCGAATGTTGACAATGAGGCTGATGACAATTCTAATGATGACGCAACGTAGTAAAGCGAAGATTCAAACACGAGAAACAAACGAAACCAAGAGTCATTGGAGTACAAGCGGCATGAAAATACCTTTTGGCTATCACCTAAAAATTCGTAGTAGTGAACTCACCAAAGTAGTACACGATGATGATAACGACGGCGATGATGTTGATGTTGATAACAATGATATTCAATGCGAATAAACTATCCGAGTATCACTTCTTTGATATTCCTCGAGGGTATCCTAAAATAAGATTAATCCTCACCAGAAAAATACAGATTTTGGCAAACCAAAACACTTTACTGGTACAACACATGAGTTGTTTACTAAATGAACGTACGTACACCATGCCCATACGATGTTCACGCTAACGCAGAGGAAAATAAGACTCTGCGCAGTAGAGGAATGCGCATTATGGGTCTCTTTTGCAAGCTCAATCTCCTCTCCCTTTTCTACATAGCATTCCGTATTCTTCTGGCATACGTTGTCGGGATCATTTTAACCTCTTTCTACGATGTTAGGATCACTGAAAACTTCTATGCTAATTAATAATACAGGATACGTAAAGAATTAAAGTATTGTAAAAGATAAAGGGACTTTTCAGGTCAACTTTGTTAATATCCGACGGCACGGTGTCCGACAGACCCTTTCTGGTGAATACAAAGGGTCATCGTCCGACCAGGAATGACTATTTCTTGGAAATTTTCTTTGCTTCATCTCGTGGATATTTAACTACCGACATCTTTAGGTGCAAGGATGCAACTGACTATAAGTTTCATATTCAATTAGTGCATTTCATATGGTATTTATTTTCTGGAATGTTTTTACTTCACATTGAATGATGGTAAAACAGACTGTTTTGGACATAATTCTTTAAGATTTTCCTCTAGGGAAATTGGCGTGGTTAGTCTTTTGGATCTAATGAAATTGCCAGCACTGCTGGTCAGAGTTTCTGGTGGCAACCACGTGCTGGTAATCGTAGACACTTGGGTACTTTTTAGCCTAGCGATTTGTACATTTTTTCGCCTGAATCGTACAGTGATTCCATAGAGGAACGTAATTTTATATCTATTCTTCAGCTCATCAAAAAGTTTTATCTCTTGCAATTATGGCGGTCCGTCTACAATTCGAGAACAATAATGAAATTGGAGTTTTCTCCAAGCTGACAAACTCGTATTGCCTTGTCGCTATCGGTGGTTCTGAGAATTTCTACAGGTTGTGAAATTATTGCAATCTCATACTTCCACAGTACACTGTTATAATTATCTACTGTCCTTTAAGTTATTATAATTTTAAAAATTAATAACTTATTTGTCATTTTAGCGTGTTTGAAGCTGAGCTGGCAGAAACGATTCCCGTTATTCACACTTCTATTGCTGGATGTCGGATTATTGGTCGATTATGCGTTGGTGTGTAACTGAAGAAACAATTAAGAATATTCATTTGGTACAGCACCTGCTAATTATAAAATTATAGGGAACAAAAATGGTCTTCTGGTACCAAATACGACAACAGATACTGAATTGCAGCATATAAGGAACTCCTTGCCAGATAATGTAAAAGTTCAAAGGGTTGAAGAACGCTTATCTGCTCTTGGAAACGTCATTGCCTCCAATGACTATGTTGCCCTTGTGCATCCTGACCTTGACAGAGTAAATATTTTTACCTAAAATTTTATTCGTATTTCATGAATGTCTATGCTCACATCTATCTTTATTTTGTCAGGAAACTGAAGAAATTCTAGCAGATACTCTCAATGTTGAGGTCTTTAGACAAACAGTTGCCAGTAATATTCTGATAGGCTCCTATTGTGTTCTTTCTAACCTGGGTGGCCTCGTGCACCCTAAAACGTCAATACAGGACCAAGATGAGCTCTCTTCGTTATTACAAGTGCCTTTAGTGGTAAGGATATATAAGTTTTTTTCATAATTTTGTGTGTATTGTAAAGGTGATTAAAAATATTGATTGTATTATAGGCTGGTACTGTTAATAGAGGTAGCGAAGTTATCGCTGCAGGGATGGTTGTCAATGACTGGGCATCATTTTGTGGTATGGACACTACATCTACAGAACTATCAGTCATTGAAAGTGTTTTCAAACTCAATGAAGCAACGCCAGCTGCTATCACGTCGACGATGCGTGCTTCTCTTATTGAAAGGTATGTAAAAAGAAATCCCTTGAGTATCATTACATGGACGCACAGTATTATACTTTCTGGTACTATTTCAGTATGTCTTAAAGGCGCCATCATCACAGTACAATGACTGCTTGTGTATAAAGAGATCTTATGCCGAACACAATGATTTATCCAACTTGAGTAAAGGAGGATCTTTGCAATTCCAACAACTTATAATGTAACAAGCTATTCTGTATTAAAAGTTTCTATGAAACACGTGAAATTTCACTGTCCTACTTGCATTCCATGTTTTTCTGAATTGTGAGACCTGTTGGGATTGAATAAAGTACACTGTAAGTTCAGCACTGGTTTGATACTTTAATCTGAACAATCAGATAATTAGTAGGTATCCTTGAAGAAATCCAGAAATATTTTACCTAGTAGTAAAAGAAATTTATTGAATACTAGCAAGATGCAACGTACATATCCTACGTGTCTTATCAATTGTACATATCTGACAAGTATCCACACTCTATTTTATTTTACCTCATTTTTAATCATTCTGAATATAGGTAAACACGTCCGGATGATAGGCAAGCACGTAGAAAGCAAATACGTTCTCGTAATTGTCATTATTATCAATGGTTGTGGTCAGGACAACCGACTGACGGATAGCAAGGATATTTGATTGAGTTATTAATTAACCGTTTAGAGATTTTATAATAATTATATAATAATAATTGCTATCAGGCAATCGGATCTGCTGAGCGCAGACAATAAAATCGATTCAGCAGCGCTGTTTCTCTATAACGATACAAGGCACAATGATCTAGTGATAATCAGATAAAATGCCAGATACCGTGTCATAGAAAAACCTGTACACCTATAGTATTGGTCTGCTGATTATAGGTCATTGGGGGGTCATCACTCGCACTACGAGGGTACAGTTTCACAAGTTATTAATATATTCTATATACAAAGGAAATGAAGGAAGCAAACCGTGTTCCGGCACGTTGTGCGCCCCAGCCTATCTAGACTGATCTAATAATGATCATTTTGAGGAGTGGCCACGTTTTTTCGATTTTTTTCTTTTCTTTTGATTTTCGAGTTCTGCTTAGACTAGAGTAATGGGAGCTCATCGGCATGAAGTAATTCATCCGCTGCTGCAGTATCAGCAGACATCACTAAGGTGATGCCCGCGCGATAGGATGCTGGGATACGAATATGGCTTGTGCCGTTACATACAATCTGTCCTTGTTGTCTTTGGCCCATTGTTTCCCTTATCATATTCACCACTTGGCCTGGATATTAATCAATAAATTAATTAATCATGATCGCATAATTGAACTCCACCGTTTAGTATACTTACCAAGGACGTTGAGTCTACGCCAACTTTGGTCCAGTGTTGTGAGGGGCCTGAGGTCTGTCAAAGAATTCCAATGGGCCAATACATCTGCTCGTCTTATGAGAAGTACACTAGGACTTACTAGTTGATGCCAAACAATCTGTATTGATTACATTTTGATTTCAGTACTTCATTCATCGATGGATTAATTCTGTAATTGCTAGTTACCTGTTCTGGCAAACATTGCAATGGATTCGTTAAATAAATTCCTGCTGGTCCTACACCAAAGATCATTTGATGATGCCAGGCATCAGGAATATCGCATCCTTCGCCACAATGTTGTAGATTTAAAGTGGCAATCGGTGCTGCACCTAATGTCACAAAGAAATAGAGAATAAATTAACTAATTTTAGGCTAATCTCTTTCTATTTAACCTTTAGAGAGCCAGTAGTGCAGCCAGTGGGATAGTGAAACCTTCCTTTCCGGATAGAACGCAAAAAATTTCGTTATTACGGCTCCATTTGTAGCCAATGAGATTCCTCGAGCTAGATCTTTGTGAGTTGCACCTGCCATTGATCTGCTCATCAAATATTTAGGTAAAGGAGTGCCTGGCTCCCTTAATCTTGTTCCTACCCCGCGAATAAGAACTTCCAACGAAAAAGGAACACCCAGAGCAAGCTGAGAAAAAGATTAATATTTTATTAGATTTGAAAATTATATGTTTATGAATTGGATCAGCCAGTTTCCTTACAAGAGCATTTATGGCTGATGTTGCTCCACATGCCGAGGTAGCTATTTGCGTAACTTGTTTAACCGTTGCTTCTTGTTCGCTCCATAGCATCACTTTGTCTACAGGCAGTAGAGTGTCCAATCTTTCATCACACAATTCATTTTCCTAAAATTAATTAACAAAATTATGCGTTTTTCGTTACGAAAAGTATGATATCAATTAGATCAATTTATTCACCAGATTTGATTCTCCACTTTGATTAAATGCTGCCTGTTTGTTCAACATCAGTTTTTTAGCCATCATTCGATGGTAAAGTGTAGAACTCAAATTGACCTTTCTAGAGTTCAAATTTGAGTTCTCAGGTACTGATACAGTTGTCGCATCCGAAAAAAGATCACTGTCAGTGTCACGGGTATCACCAGGTGATATTAAATCACCATTGGTGTTATGGTGGCCATAGGATTCACGGAGAGGACAGCCTACATTACGAGATATACTTGCAGCTTCCCATTTTTCTGAAAGTTCACAAGATCAATTGATAATTCTACTTATTTGACATGTGTCAAACGTTAGATTCTTTAGGAATCGTAAGACTTACTGATTTTGCCACTTGTACTTGGTAACCAGGGTGTACTGTTCTGACTATTTACTTGTGAGTTAGTATTGGATTTACTTTCATCAGAAGGACGATTCATCTCAACATTTTTTGGTGTTTGTTTAGGCTGACTTGTAGAAGCACATGCTTGTTTGGCTATTACTCTGCCACTGCTCAAGTCATTTAGTAACACTAGATCAGCCTCAGCATTGTCCAGAGCAATGTTTTGAATATCTTCATTGATGGATGCCAAGTCACTATCTCCCGTGTCTTGCTCGCAGGAGGGACCAGGATCAAAATCCATTTCTAGAAAGTCCATTTCAGGACTTGATCGTCCACTGTGACATGGCTCTTCAGCTTCAGCTTCAATTGGAGGATTTATTGGTGGTCCAAAATTTGAAGAAGACTCGTCACTTCCTTTGTAAGTGTAAATACAGTAGTCTTCCCCATCTGACATATCCCCTTCATTTCCTGAGCTGGAATCCCGCCTTTCACGATGTTGCACTGCTGTGTCTGGGATATCTGGGAAACGAACCTTTTGCAAACCACTAGGTCCTGGCGCTTCACGGCTATTGTTTATGTTAGGACGAAGAAAACAACATGTTCCTTGACTGGTAGAGCCAATACTGCTACTGATATTATTTAGTGCACACTTTGATGAATACGAACTTGACCACATTTGATCTGCTTCAGGACTCGAATCTGAACTGCATGAAACCTTCGATGGACATTTTTCTATTCCTGAGCCATGGTCTACATTATTTTTCATATCTGTATCTTCACGGTTAGTGTTACTGTTCAAAATAGATTTATGTTTTGTTCCTGCTGTTGAAAACAGTTCAGTGTTTGGTTGGGTGGATTGCGACCTATTACACTGGATTTCAGATTCTTCTACATTGTTGTTCAGTTTAAATTTATCACTAGTTAAGTGATTCTGTATTTTTTTAACTTTGCAAGTTTTTGTATCTGACTCAATGGAATGGTTGTCATTAGCTCCAGGCCCTGATTCATTCTTATCTTCTTTGGAGTTCATTGTGGCAATATTAACTGCAACAAATAGTATTATATGGCATTGTTGCTTAGATAATAAATTAAAGTCAATCCAATAAATCAGAATATTAATAATCTCGATAACAATACGTACAAAATTTAGTAAACACAACCAGGTATAAGACTGTGCATTAATAAATTATACGAAGTCAATAAAAACTGCATTATGTGCACGTATGAAGCTTGAAAAATTGACAATAGTAATAATAAAATTGACAAACTCCACGAAACGGACACGGCAAGTACAGGAGGACGCGATTTTAATAATTTTAAAGATGTATTTAAGGACCCCTTGGGCGTGCGTTATAATAGCCAACCTTTAATTCTTCTCAGTCTTAATAGACTCTGACATTACTCTTATTATGCACTCCACTAAGAATGTAGATTATGCGCATATCAGAATCCCATTTTCATGTAAGCAAGCTAGTGCTTTACTACTTTATTTCTATCATATTTTTTCGTTCGAGAAATATATCTACGTTCTGTCACCCTTTTGCGAGCAGTTGCGACTTACTGACCCCACCACAGGACGGAAGTCAGCTGATTCCCTAGAAAACGAGTTTTTCAACTAGAATTTTCCTGGAAAATATCTCAAGAAACCGGATCGAACGCCTGTTTTTCCCTAGATTCCACACACGACGTAAACAATGTGGTCATTCTGTATCAAATTCTACTAGACAAGTGTAGCCAAGTCAATAGATAGGTACTCATTTTGAGGACGAATTTTTACGGAATTGACTTGTAGATGAGATCCATTTTTCTTACTATTTTATCATACACAAATAAAGCTATGGTTGGCCTATTGGAGTATTCATTGAACTTTTGACGTTTCATTGGGATTGAATTTTTTAAAATTAAATTGTTTACAGCCGATATGAATATCGTGCGAGTTAATTCCAAAAATGTGATTTACATTATAATAGCGCTTTTATCAAGCACTGTGAAAGTAGCGCAAATGGGTCATGGTTAGTTGTATATAAATTTATGATTGCATGTGTTAAAAAAAATATATTTATAATTTTGTTTTTTGCAGATAGCATTGCAGATTGTGCAAAAGATATGAATACTAATACTACACTTGCTTATAGTAGCAAAAAGGTAGATTATTCAAACAAATTCCTCGTTCTATATAAATGACCATGTTAGAAACAAATCATTATTGCATTTTGGATATAAAATCAAGTAACAACAGGATTAATTTTTATAGGATGAGATTTTTGGTCTCTGCCCTGCAGGTAAATTATGCTCGGAGCTTCCTAGTGATTGCATACAATGCAAATTTGATCTAAATTGCAATTACGGATTGACCTATACAGCTGACTGTAATGTATTGGGTCAAGTCGATTGTATTGTATGTCATTTTTCAAATATTACACTTTCTAAGAAGTAAAATCTCATTTTTACATTTGTTATTAATAATCATTTTTTAAATACAGGGTAAACGAACTTTCCTAAGAGAATACATTTGCCGTTACTGTTATCAAACTGAACATTGGGAGCATAAATGTCTTCAAAAAAATTCTTGTAGCTCTGTTGCATCTCCTCAACAGTATTATAGGTGTGTTATGTGTTATATATGTATCGAATCAGATTTGTATTGAAAATACATTCTTCTCAGATACATGTTAAATCTGCTCTATGGGTTTTAGAACTAATTGTTCAGTTAACAACGATGTATTATGTCTGGGACGTCGTCGGTTTATGAAAAATCTTCCATGTAATTGGACTGGTGGATATCGTTGGTCAACGGCACTAATCCTCAGTATAACTTTGGGAGGTTTTGGAGCCGACAGGTAATTAAATATTAAATTTGTTTGCTTATTAATGAGATACGGTAAAATAATATAAATTTTACAGGTTCTATTTAGGACACTGGCAAGAAGGTATTGGCAAACTGTTCAGCTTTGGTGGACTTGGAGTGTGGACATTGATCGATGTTATATTGATTTCATTGAGGTATTTAGGACCTGCTGATGGATCTCTTTATATTTAAAAATATTAAGAAATGTTTATACAGCGCAAACTCTATCTCTAACGTTTACAATTATTTACACGACTGTTAAGAGATTATGTCTTTAAAAGACATATGTATAATAAAAGATGTTACAATAAAATGAGATACTATTCCCAATTATCAAATAACTTCATCAGTTATCTTCATTGAATCAATTTTTTATGAATTATTGTACTATTATACCTTTACTAGTCATTGTCATATCTTCCTAGAGAGTCAGTCAGGTACTGCTCGATGATTTCATAAATCGACTCATTATTATTAAGCCGATCGTTGTCAATCTGAAAATATTAATATTTTGTTTGTCTTATTTAATGACATTTTCTTTTCTGAAATAACTTACCAGTATGGAATAGTAGCCAAGTTTCTTTAATAAGCGAAGCTTAAAATGCATTAGTCCATGAGGTATTCTAGTATTTCTTAAACAAGTAATTTCATCCAGAATGTCAATATGAATTTTCCTATAATAATATTATATAAATACAGAGATAAAATTATAGTAAATTATAGACTATGCTTTAAAGATGTACCCTAAATGCTGGTGTTCCACGCTAATACCAGGAATATATAATCCTAAAACGGGACATTCAATTCTAATTTGATCCAAACAAGTGAGTTCTTTCAATGTTCTTATAACTTTAAATATCATTTTGATATTTTCTCCTACTTTAAATCCAACTTTGAATTCTTTTGTTAATTCTATTGGTATATCAATTTCTGGATTTTCAATTTGAATACTTGTTATTAGTAACTGTAAACGAGCCATTGGTTTCCATAGAAGTCCTTTATATATGGAAGGGAAAATGTTTTGTTCAAGACATTTTTCAATTATCTAAAATCACAAAGTTAATGTTAATCACAGATCATCTCATAAGTAATTCAGTATTCAGTTATTGCATTGTATGCCATTGGAAAAAGCTGCATTACTTATGACCTGATATTTTACTATTGTTACATTTCTTTGTGTTGCACACCTTTTTACAATCATGCTCCATTATCTTGAGACACAATAAAGTATTAACCAGAAGATTAACATTCTTCAAATACTTGGAAAAATTATTCTGAATAAATATTTGTATCTGAGAAAATTCCTTTTTTTCTAACTGATAGTTTAATCTGCTACCAGCCCAAAGCAATCTGTCCAAATCTTTAATTCTGATTGAATCTTTAGAACGATGCATAATATTCTCAGATAATTCTTCCATTGAGTCTTTAAACATTCTCTGTAACACAGGCTGAAAGGAAGTATATGCTTCAGCATATAAAGCCAGAACGTGTGCTGCACACTTCATTCTGAATTTCTCCTGATGTTGAAGAATTGTTCCACTTAAATTGTTTAAAGATAATTCCTTAGTAACACCAGCATGGCGAATCGCTTTGCATAGTGTAACTAGTAAGGCAGGATCATTTACAAAAAAACTTGCATTCTCTTCAAGAGTCTTCTCTAAAACACGTATTTGAGTAGCATTCAATTTGACATATGTTTTGAAAGCAGCATATGCTATAATACTTTTATCTATTAAGGACATGTTTATCATGTTCGGTAAACCACTTGTTATATACTGAACTTCAGAAGAACTATTTTTTTTATTCATTGATAAATAAAACAATAATTCTATTGTTTGTAGATGAGATAATGTTTGTTTCATTGCAGCACTCATTAAAATTTCTATACTCTTCTTATAGAATTGTGTTAAAGTCACTCGATGGGGAAATTTCCTTGCAAGAGCATTAAGCAATTGCAAAATTTCAGTATATGATAATTTTTGTATAATATCACAACATTCTATATCAATTCTGTGTAAGATTATCTGTTTTTCATCCTTAGCAGATTCAATAGCACGCAATAGACTGGATATATCATTGGTTGCAAGAATTCTCTGTGCAAATTGCATGGAATTTTTCATATCCACATTCAATTTCTGTTTCTTCAAATACATTGGGATAAAATCATTTCTTTTAAAGAGATCCAAAAAGTAGTAATGTAATGTTTTCGTATCAGAAACCGTTCCTGTTGTAGCGAAAGAATTTTTTTGAAGAACTGGTCTTATTTTCTGAATACATCTTATAATTCTATAACCTAAGTTCATGATTTCTGAAAATATAACGTTTATTATGGTAAATTCTAATATTTTATGTATGAGAAAAACTAAAATAAATAAATAAAGTAAATAAATAAAATAGATATAAAAATGTACAAATGAAGTTTACCGATATTAATATTTTATGGTGATAATAGTTCAGTGCCTGAGTTAAAAAGAATTTACTTACTTCTTCAAAGCAGAAAATATGTCTTTCTACATTGAATATTATTAAACACAGTAAATCTGAGTTTTCTAATTCTTTAGTAGACATGTGACGAGATAAAGTGAGGCGTTTGAAATATTTGTTGTGATTAAAATTCCAGAACTCCTATATGACATAACCTAGATACTGTAGAACTGATGTTTTCATCATTCATCCGTACTTTTCACTAGGCAAAAAATTCCAAAATAGAAGTTAAAGATATATAAAATATTGATATTCATTATACAAAGAAAAAAAAATGCCGACTGTAATAGCTTTAGACGTTTCACTTTCAATGAGACGACCGGTATTAGGCGTCCTGGGAACTGACAGTGTTCAAACTGAACAGTTGACAAGGCATCATTTGGCTGTCCAAGGAATAAATGCACTTTTACATTATCTACAGACAAATTCAAAGTTAGAGTTTGTCTCCCTTGTAAGTATCTTTTTGAATGTATGACATTTTGCCAAATTGTTTGATTCTTAATTATAAAATCCTTGCAATTCAGGTTGTATTCTCCTCGTTGTATGAAGTCATATGTCCTTTCACAAGAGACTATGATAGTATTAGAGCTAAATTACAAAATATTGAAGAATGCGACAAGACTTGTATTGAAACTGCTCTACATGGTGTAAATAATGTCATTATGGCTGAATGGGGAAATACAACAGCTTGTCAAGTTATTCTAGTAACTGATGGTAATCCAGGAGTTGGGACAATGTCTTTAGGAGATTCTTTAAATTCATTAAATGTAAAGAGGGATAATAATCCATTTCCACTTCCTTTTCCTTATCCTGGAAAACTTAGTATAGTCTGCATCGCATCACAGCAAGGTATTGTAAAAAGACTTCTGGTATCACTATTGATGATCATGTTTACTTTTCTGTAATTAAAAATTACTTTTAATTCCTAAAGATCCTGGATTGGCAATAGGCTTGCCTTTATATCAAAGATTAATAGAATTAGCTGGCAGCGATAGTATTGTTCTAATACCTGAAGGACAACTCACAAAAAATTCTGTGACTAATTGCTTTCAAAAATTGGCTGAAGCAAATTATGTCTCGTTTCAAGGATATTTGAAGTGTGGACATTTAGGTTCTCGAATATTTTTATCACCACCACCAATGGTAAGTCTTTTGATCACCTATATTAAATTTAACATAAGGTCTTTCAGTTATACTGCTACATATAATTATTTTTCGTCTAAAGCCTCATACCAAGAAGACTGATTTTGAAATTCTGGCTGGATTGACAGTCTCCAAAACAATAGAAATATGCGGGTTTATATCTGTGGCTGATGTTGGCAGTCCTAGTGCCATTTCCAGGCACCTCGTGCTCCCTCTTCCTACTGAAAAAACACCAAGTATGCAGGGTATATCGTTAGAAGAAGAATCAGATACAGAAGATAATGGTGATGACGGAAAAATCCCATCATTTTGTGTATTACTTCATGGTGCTTTAAAGGTAATTATAACAAATTTCACGTACTACCAAAACAATGATTTCAAAATAATTTTTAAAACATTCAAAGGTAGAAAACATGGCTGCTCTATGTCTGTTAAACACTGACTGGTATGGATTCATCTATTCATGGGCTGATACCAAGAAGAAATCAAATCTAATGCTTACTTTGTTAGAACCAGGCACTGATATAATACCTTGGCTTGGTAACTTAAGTAACTTAGGACCTATCGATGCTGCCATTAATAAAAGTGGCGAGATAGGCTTTCCAGTAAGGCCCTCAGAAAAGAGAAGTTATTCACAAAACGCACCTTCCTGGATAAGACAAGTTGGCTTACAATCTGATATACAAAAGATACTTAGACATGCCAGGAAGTTACCAGAGAAAACTCAAAATTTTTACAAGGCAAATAATTCCGCTATATATTTTTTATAAGTAATGAGCTAAATATTTAACTAAAAATTTATTTTAGGAATTGAACCGATTACGAAGAGCAGCATTGTCCATGGGATTTGTAGAACTTCTAGAAGGTCTCGCATCCATTTTTGAAAGAGAATGTACACTACTTCCACCAAATCTAAATCCAGACTGTACAATACAAATGGGTCATGTAGCAGAAATGCTGAGAAAACCATACTCACGAGAATTAAAAAACAACATAACTCCCGTGCGAACAAAATTCCATCATGCAGAATGATAAGTTCAATTGTTAAAGTTTCAATATTCCAAAAACTTGGTGGTCCGTAAATATGATTTTATTTATGTATTATGTCAGTTTTTTTTGTACACACAGTATGGAGTTCTCAATAAACAAGAAGAATTTCTTAATTTTACCCATGTCTTAAATATTTTTAAACTCCAGTATATGTCGTAAAACGTTATAAAGTCCGGAAGCAGTTTGGGCAGTTGGATAAATATTCAAATCTGGCACATGAACAAAGAGTGTTCTATTCTGATTAATTTTCAAAGATTGATAATAAACATATTCGCATAGGTATCGACCAGCATCGTGGGAAACGGAAGCTTTAATATTCGAATTTTCAATATTATTAATATAATTGCAAATTTGTTTAACATCGCATACGGTCTCCAATATAAGATTATTTTCTTCAACATTACTCTCGTCTGGACAAGTATTATTTATATCCTCTCTTATATATCCTTTGCTGTGCGCCCGTGATTCTATGGTGATGCATTCAGCAATAGAAGAAACTCCAACGTGTATTACAAACTGTATAATTGAAGAGAATTATGCATTAGACAATATCATTGATAAAGGTTCCATTTTTTAACCATTATCTTATATGTGTTTACACATATTTACCACTGGGTCGTAAATCTTCCACAGTTGTGGAATACGTGAAGCGACATGATTATAATCGACTGGAAGCTCCTCGATAATTAAATTAAAATCCGCCAATATTCCAGTTCTACAGTATTCACTTGAAATAAATTTAACAGCTTCCCAACTAGCATTTATCGTGTGTTTACCAAACGGACCATATCCTGTTAATATAATTGTGCGTTTTGTATCCATTGTCATATTTAGTGATAAGATATTAGCTGATAATATTCTTCTTCTTCTACCCTTATAGATTTTTTCCTATTAAAAAGGGCAAGATCAAATCTTATATTCTACAAATCTGAACTCCAAATACAATGTAAACTCACATCAAAGGTCAGGGGAAAAAATGGGCAGAACTGGGTTCCGTTCTCCAGCTAGATATCCGCTGCTTCTATCTGGTTACTATTCTTCAGACTTTTCACTAGAAACAGAAACCTAGTGACATTCAGTTCTTTGGTCGTTAAACGAGTGAGACAGATTTATTAAAGATGGCGGTTAGTGCATTAAGACGTGTTTTGACAATTTTCATCGATTTTAATTATCAGTACTAGACCTTGATCAATTACTCCAAAATAATTATACGATTTACCTGTGCAAAGAACACGAACTTCTTCATCTGTCTTAATACTTCAGCGGTGAATTCCTCGATTAGATATACAAATATCGCGAGCAGGCTGGTCGAGACATGTCTCAACGAGTTTCGACTGGCTGCCATCAGTGATCATCGTTGAGGAGTCATCGTTGAGGATTTTTTTTTATTAGTTTCTCTAAGAAAGGAAATTTACGCTTCATTCTACGTTTCGTTCATCGAGGTAGGTCTTGGGTGTTAATACTACCTCTTTATATTATAATATTTTGGCATATAGGTGGAACATAAGTCCTGCAGACTATATTTACATTCTTTATATACAGTTTAAATGGTTTTGTTTTCATGTTTTATCAAATGATAAGAACTCGTAATGAGATTGATAAAAAGTGACTTCACATTTTTAGGTGGATGTTGCCGGTAGCACCCGTGGCTATTAGTAATCTTGTATACAGTCATCAATTCTATTGTGATGGGCAGTCTTACGGCTTGTAATACGAAAAAGTGTTTTCTACCTGGGATTGATCTTGGACAGCAATTATAATCGAAGAATAGACGACATTTTCAATACTGTGGTACTTTCGAAGAGAATCTGGGGCGGGAAGATGCCTCTCAGTGTGGTTGAGGATGGGACAGCACTTAGCTAGTCTCCGAGATTTTTTCAAGATGGACAGTGAGAAACAAGTAGAGCTGCAACCTGAAGGTGCATATCAGCGGTCCTCTATAGACATGCTTTACGAGCCGGAAAATAATACTGCTCATTTGGAAAATAATGGAAATCTTGTGAACGAGTTTAAGCCCGATGGAAATTCAAATAGTGAACAGTCCAATTTAGATTTGGATAATCACAACTCTAGATTTGAGTCTATATACAGTCAGCCTATCGATGCTCAAGATTCTAAGCAAGTGTGCAATAGAAATGGAAACTTTGTGGCATCACCAGAGCCTCAAACATTCAAACAGGAACCTTGTTGCAGCAGCTCTGGAAGCAGTAATAGCAGCAGCAGCTCCGAAGATAGTCCAGTTAATCCTGTATTAAGAAGATCCTCTAAAACTCTGTCATTCGGCAAGAGAAGAAGTAAGCAACGTAATAAGGATCCTGGTCCTCCATGTAATCATGCCTTAACTTCAAAGAAAAAGCGCAGTAATTGGGTACTCAAATTCAATTGCGCGAAAAGTAAAGGATCAAAGAACACTGATATCCCAGGACAAGGTAACAACAGTTCGGAATGCGTGTGCACGGGATATAGAAGAACGGAAGAGCACCCTATGGGAGCTAGCATTGTTTTCAACAGTAGATCTGCTCCGCAAAGTCCAGTTTTGGGTCCTTTGCCACCAAGTCCTGTAATAGATCTTTCCCGGTTTAACCCTGAAGAATTTCCCATGGAGGTACTACAAGTAAAACCATGACACCTTCAATGCAAATGGTTTTTTATTAAAAAAAAAAATCCTTACTTTCAGGATTGCGATGAAAGAGCAAGGTTGCAGCGTGCTCGAGAAATGGAAGAAGGCGTCGAACCGCCTCCTGGTTATCGGCCTAATTATCCTTCTGGTATCCAGGTACATCCTAATGGAATTACCGTGGATAGTCTCGCGGCGCTGTTTCAGGCACATGCCGGAATTCAAGCTGCAGCACTCACAGCACTTTCCCAAATCGACTTTACATTAATACCAAACATCGAACGACCAGCTCATACACAGGTAATTATCAAAACCATCAATATCCAATTAGTAAATATAAAATCCTAATCAATTCTACAGGTCGATTACGTTCACTGCCTGGTACCCGACCTAAGATCTATTACAGCCTGCTCATTTTACTGGGGTAAAATGGATCGCTACGAGGCCGAACGACTCCTGGAGGGCAAGCAAGATGGAACTTTCCTCCTGCGAGATTCAGCTCAGGAGGAGTTCCTCTTCTCCGTCAGCTTTCGCAAGTACGAACGCTCTCTACACGCGCGCATCGAACAATGGAATCACAAATTCAGTTTTGATTCTCACGATCCGGGTGTCTACGCCTCAGAAACGGTAATTACTCATACACTTCTCAGAACTTTCTCCTTTAGAAATCTTATATGTATATAAATTCACGAATTCTTTAACCCAGGTATGTGGCCTTATCGAACACTACAAGGACCCGTCATGCTGCATGTTCTTCGAGCCGATGCTGACGATACCGCTGCATCGCAACTTTGCATTTCCATTGCAGCATCTATGCCGTGCTGTGATAACAACCCGCACCACCTATGACGGTATCAATAAGTTGCAGTTGCCAAAGACCCTTAAGAGTTATCTCAAAGAATATCATTACAAGCAGAGAGTGCGTGTACGTAGACTGGATACAGAGAATGATCTGCAGAGCGAAGGCGGTAGATCAATATCATATCTACCATTAATGAGTCCACGCGATTCTCATTCGGCGGGATAAAATTATATGAGAACTAATTAAGAATAGGAAAAACATGGAATACAAGCACAAAAGATTACGAAAATTTTCGTACAGATACGAAAATTGTATACGGTCCCAAAGCGATTTCGCATTTGTGGGAATCTCTGTAAAAGGATGGGAATCATTATTTCTAATACCAGGTGCAGGAATCCCTGGGTGAAATTAGAATTTGTAAAGATTCTGACGAAATATAAATAATGCAAAGGACTCCCGGAGGGTCCTGTGGATTCTCTTGCAGAGAGTAAACGAACCTCCGGCGTCCGTTAATACTTAACATACTTAGTGATTACTCAAGCGTAATATTTACACACCAGTTGTTTTTCTTTTATTTAAAGCGGCCATCGTTTAAAAAAATAGCTAGACTTTTAGGACTACTCTTGGCACATTAGTCTTTCTAAAAACCTTGGTCACGTATTTTTTATCCTTTTAAGCTCCATCGCATGCAACATGCAGAAACATTTTATGAAATTACCGCAAGAAGCGTATTGACGGTCACGATTCTCTGCATTCTAAATTATAAATTAATCGTAGCTGAGTCAAGGTTACATAAAAATATCTCTAGACGTCCAGCACTTCCAGTTAAAACGGTTACCTATTTTTTTCTAATTATGAGGAGTACATAAAATGTAACCACGTAATCGTGCCTCGCATGAAATTAATTTGTCCCAATACTCTCCCGCTCCACAGTATTACTTATCGTTATGGACATATTGTTATTAAATATATATATGCGAAGGAAAATTTGTAAATTGATAACGATATCAACCCTAGATTTACGGAGGTTAATTATCGGCGTCAACAGAAATTGCTAAAAAATAATACTTATAATTTCTGTAACGTTAATTTTTGAATTTCACGCCTTTGTCACACACCTTTAAATTCCACAGTAGCCGTTGCGAGTTTGCATTTCACCCCAGTGTGGAATTGAAGGGTTTAACATGAAATTTGAAATCCGTCAAAATTACGGGTTCCGTAAATCTAGTGTTAATCAGTAATGTTAGTTTCAATGTCATTTGACGACATCAAGTCTTGTGATTTTTTTAAACATGGCCCACTGACTCGATATTAAAACATTATGGTTCGTATTAATAATCCTATTGTGCCTACTTCTATTGTCAGTGATAAATGAATATCGTATAGTGTGTCGGTACCCGAGGATTACTTACCTTAGGATGGGCTCTTGGTTTTTCTATTTTAGAGTACATTCGTTTTATAGGTTGCGATATCCTCGGCTTTCCACTTCCAGAATAATGAAGAAAACGTGCTTAGGATAAATGACAAGAATTATATGCAAGACGCACACTCATCCTACATGATTGTTTCTCTTTCATGCACGCCAGTGGCAGCTAAAAATTCTATAGCGTTCAGGACCATTCTGTTCCTTGTTTATTGTCTCTATTATTTCATTTTGTTAGTTCAATCGTTTTCTATATATTTGATCACTTCCTCGGAGGGACGTCTTTGCCACTATATTAAATAAATTATGAATATTTATCATATGTACTCTCGTAACATTGATTTATTTTAGGGAACTATTTAATTGCTGAAAAGACGCGGCACTTTATATATATAAATATAAATAAATAAATATATATATATATATATATATATATATACGCGAGTATGTAGGAAATAAAAAGCCTTTGCTCTTTCTCAAAGGATCTTGCTGTTATTGACAGCTGTATGAAAAATGTTATTAAAAAATGAAGAAAGTGGCAATTACGAATGTACACTCATTTTAGTTTTTATCTCATTCTTACTTTTTATTATTCATCAAATATTTGTTTTCCTTATTATTTACATTGCATTCAAGTCAAGATTCGTCAAGCAAGTTCTGTAAATAGTGTAAATTGTAACCTGTCATCGATTATAAGAATAAAAGAGCCATTCTTCACAAAGTTCTATTCATTATACTTTTTATTATTGCTTGACAGAAAGAGAGGTGAAATAGTAAGATATCACTCAGTGCAATCTATTCTATTACACCAAATTAAAATGCAAGTATATGGAGAACCATGAACAGATTTTAATACCAATCTAATTCTGAACGAAGAGATTCGCAGTAGATGGAAGTAGGACCTTATAATTGAAGAGGATGAATAGAGAGAATATTGTCAAAAGGAAGATATCTATATACGATTAAGAAAAATAATATTTTGATATACATTTCAATTTTAAAAAAAACAAATGAATTCCAATATGAATTATTCATCCATTAGATTATTCTGAAAAGGATACTGATGAAATTTCTTTCCCACTTTTCCACCATATACAATTCCGTTACGAGCATGTAACGAAAATACCAATAATTAAGAAATGTCCAAAATCGCTGTAGAAATCCAAACATTTTGACAGGATTTAATGCCACTTTCAATAACATCAAAACGCCATACAAGATAAATCGTCAAAGTGGTCACACGGCACTGTTATCATCCAGGGCATGGAGACTAGAGTACTCTAGTCTCCATGATTCAGGGGATCGCCATTTTGACTAATAAATAACCAATCGAATGCAGTAAAACGTCTAGATTAAAAACTTCATTTCAATTGTACTTTTATTTAAATGCAATGATTTCACTTATACAATAACCTAATATAGTATAGAATACGGGTAAGGTTTAAAGACCTTTCTCCTTGATGTATTTATCAAAATTTTGTAAGATATCCTGCATTTCTTTATATCCAGCAAGTTTGCAAGCTTCTTGAAGTGGAAGCCACTTGAAGTCTTGATGCTCATTGGACAAACGGGCGTCTTTTTCCTTTGCAATTAATTCAGCTAACCAATAGATCACAGTTTTCTTCTTACCATTGACATTATAAACTGTTTGTTGCTTGGCGTCATCAATTATTCTTAAATCTTCCTTTGTAAAACCAGCCTCCTCCTGAGTTTCTCTTAAGGCTGTTTCTAAATCGGATTCGCCGCGATCCACGTGACCTGCAACAAAAGTAATAACAAAAGATAATACAAAACTAAAATGGCGTTCTCTACATTTTTATATAATCCATAAGAAACACAAAATATTGAGATTTTACACTAGCTAACCTTTTGGGGGTGTCCAATGGTGTTCCCCATACGATGTCTGCATCAACAGATATTCTATGGGGCCTTGGAATCTTCGAAATATCACGAAGCCGCAGGCTTTCGTGACTCCCATTGTTGTACGGTGTCAATGACTACGTCTCGACTGTAGAGGAATTAAATGACATTCGCCAAACTAGTTTCTTTTTTAAGCCTTGCACAGCATTGGTTAATCCTCGCTGAATCATGTACGATAACAACGCTTACAAAAACGGACCTAATGAAGAAACTGAAATGTTCATTGGGTTCTCAAGATTAAACAAGCACGTAACGAGATTATGGAATAAAAAAAGATCATTAGATTGGTCTTCATTAAGGAAAGGAGTAAAAAGAATATTTTAAGGTTTCATTGCATTTTTTTTATATGAGATTTATTTGGGGAACATAGCAAACATTTTAAAAAATGCTTGTAAACGATTTTGCATAAATTATTAAGTCTATCCCTTTTCCATTACTAGGGAAACAGACACATAAATTATTACGATTTTCTTCGAATGCTTATTTTCCACTTTGGAAAAGATAAATAATTATCCTATAAAAAACATTCACTTAGGACGATTGTTTGCCTTTTCAAAAATTCTCCTCGCAATTGCGATCCTTGGTTTCTTTGAAGGTCTGGAATTTTTTAATGAGATCTGCAATGCTGATCTCACCGTGCACCACGTTATCTCGCGTTCTCACGTTAACTGTACCGCCACTGCGTTCCTTTTCTCCGACAACTATACAAATAAAAGAAGAAAGTTTCATTTTCAATTATGTATTTGAGCGGTAGATAGCAGTAGTCAATTTTACCTAGAATGAAATTAAATTGCGCTAGTTGAGCATTGCGAATTTTCTTGTTCATTGTATCGCCACAATCCACATCAACTTCTGCCATGAACCCAGCATCCCATAATTCCCGTTTAACTGTTTCCGCATAAGCATCAAATTGAGGTCCTACAGGAATCACCATAGCCTGTCGTGGCGATAGCCAGAATGGCCATTTTCCAGCGTATGATTCCGTAAGAATAGCTATCATTCTCTCTAAAGATCCAAGGACAGCTCTATGTATGATAACTGGTCTAGTTTTTTCTCCATTCTCACTGAAAATTTAACAGCGTAATATTAATACGGAGAATTGACTGCTTTTAAAATAGTAAATGAAGTTATTACAGTCATACTCACTTCACGAAGCTCAAATTAAACCTAATGGGTAATTGAAAATCTAATTGTATAGTAGCGCATTGATGTGATCTTTTAAGAGCATCCATAATAGTGATATCAATCTTGGGCCCGTAAAAGGCGCCATCTTCTGGATTCATCTTCCAGGGTTCTCCAAAATCATCTAAACTTTCAGCTAGAGCTTTTTCTGCCTGGTCCCATACTGCGAGTTCACCTAAGTACTTTTCAGGCCTCGTACTCAGTACAAGGTTGAAAGTAAATCCAAACACAGTGTAGACATGTTTCAGAAACTGCAAGGCACCAAGAACTTCTTGTTTGATTTGTTCGCCAGTGCAGAAAATGTGAGCATCATCCTGTTGGAATCTACGAACTCTAGTTAGACCAGTCAGTGCTCCGGAGAGTTCATTGCGATGTAACACACCAAAGTCAGCCATTCTCAGAGGAAGTTCACGCCATGATCTAGATCTGACATCAAACATCATGCAATGACCGGGACAATTCATAGGCTTCAGAGCAAAAGTCTCCTTTTCCACATCAAAAGAGAACATGTTCTCTGCATAGTGAGCCCAATGACCTGAAGTCTGCCATAGTTTACTATTGTAAATGTTTGGCGTCACAACTTCCTGGAAACCACGTTTCCGATATTCGGATCTTATGAATTCTGCCAGAGTATTGTAAATGTGTGCACCACGTGGTTGAAAGAAGCAAGAACCAGGTGATAGTTCGTGGAAGAAGAAGAGTTCCTGTTCTCGGCCAATCTTCCTGTGGTCTCTTTTTGCAGCCTCTTCTTGGAATCTAAATTAAACGTTTTTCACGTACATTTAATATTTCTCAAAGACTTATATAGGCAAACACATGTAAGGATTGAATTTTCAAAAAACTTACTTCTCCCATTCTTTAAGTTGCTTGTTTTCAGGGAAGGTGATGCCGTAGACACGCTGAAGGGTTTCTGCATTTGCATTTCCTTCCCAATACGTAGACGAGCTTTTAGTAACTTTAACGGCCTTAATCTTTCCCGTATGCCTAACATGTGGTCCACGACAGAGATCAATCAACGGTCCACAACGATAAACAGTGGTGGTTGGTGTCTTAACTTTCTCATTAAGAATTCTCACTTTAAATTCATTATACTTGAACATCTCTAGGAGATCCTCTTTCTTCATTTCAAGTCTCTCAAATGGCTGCTTCTCCTTGACAATATTCTTGAAAAGACTCTCCAGGAAGGGAAACTCCTGATTGGAGATTCCCTTATTGTCGCCAAGAAACATGTCATAATAAAAGCCACCATCTATTGGTGGACCATAACACAAGCAACCCCCATATACTCGCTCCATGGCTTCACCCAGGATATGAGCACTGGAGTGCCAGAATACCTGCTGGCCATCTACGTCATCGAATTTTATAAGCTGAAGCTTACAATCGGATTCCAAGGGTCTATCAAGGTCCCAAAGCTCGTTGTTCACTTTAGCAATCACAGTATTGTCTGCTAAACCCTGACTAATTCCTCTAGCTATTTCGTAAGGAGTGGAGCGCCATGCTTGACCAATAATTTCCTTACCATCAGGAAGAGTCACTGTAATATCTGTGACTGGTTTAGCTGCTATCTCTGCATCGTACTCTGCTTTCAGCTTATCCCATAATTTGAGACGCTCCTATAAACACCAAAACATGAACAAGTAATTATCAATCCTAACAAAGTTCAAGTATCTTTATAATCCAAATCAAATATCAGTAATTATATACAGTATTTTAATTTTCAATACCTGAATGAACGATGGCCATGGTTTAAGTTCAGAAATTGAAATCTTTTCAGCATTCTTTTCCTTGGACTTCATTTTTGCCTGTAAACCAACAATTTTAATGTCTATTAATACAAATACAATATTACTTTGCAAGTATAAGTTTATAGATTGACGAAATAACTATTATTTATACTAGACAAACTTGATTAGTCAAAGGTATGCTAAAAAATATTATAACACTATTAAAGACTATAAGTTCTTACTAACATAAGTGCAGTACAATTGTTATACATATAGGAATAAATATAAATTATATGTAAGCTACATTACGTCCATAATGCAACTTCATTACTCCAAAACGCATTTAATCATTTATTAAGATATACTGTCATCGAATAAATACAAAATGTACAGGATAATGAAATAATTTAGGAATTTTACTGATTTATAACAACATAGAGGTTACATCAGCTTTCTGATTTCGCACGCGCTACATCTAAATACGTATAGTAACAGCAAATCAAATATTAGTCCCAAACAAGAGATTAGCGTCAATATTACTAATAATTATCAAATCTTAATTAATAGGACTAGCTGATCAATCAGAAAAATTCATCAAGAACCAACCGAAGCATATGTCCGCCTGATGATAATGATCCTACAACCGCGAGAACCCAAGATTCTCAACATAATAAGCTTTTTAAATGCAAACTTTCAATATAATTATATCTATCCTCAATCGAATACGTTAATTATTATATAACGTGAATGATTTCATGCCTTTTCCTGCTTTGGATTGGATTTTTCAGAACCAGGCACCACGTTGTCACTCATGCTGCACAACTTTAATATACCTTGTAAGTACAATACTAAAGCCGCGCAGGAAGCATTGACTGATTCACCTAGTGTGGCGCAATCTGCAATATGTTATATCTTCGATTCTATTAACATTTTCCCAGTTTAATCGATTTGTTAGATATAATTAATCATTCTTGATGCATCAAATTCTTGCGAACATTCCATTTTTTTAGTCTTTTGCTAAAAACGAGACAAAATTTGACAATTCTATGTCAAGTAATTGTTAAAATATTAATCTGTGATCACTTGCATTCTTTTACATAAATTGTACATTTTCTGATAATCTTGTTAGTTTTCCACGAGATAAATTAATTGAGATATTACTTGATTTGTATAATTATTTCTCAAATTGCACAAAAAATACTTTCATACGATCCTGCCAGGATTCGAACCTGGAATCTTCTGATCCGTAGTCAGACGCGTTATCCGTTGCGCCACAGGACCCATATGCTACAAATGTATGGATTTTTATATACATTGCTAATGTTCTTATACAGTTGCTATTAGAGAAAACTACCGTACCGTTATATTCTTTCCATTTTTTTTGCGAATTTAGGCGAGTTGCAGAACCTGCTTAGTGTAAACCATAGACTATGTTGTTGCAGACTTTGGAAAGACATGTGGCAAGTTAACTACTGAAGATGTGTTATGATTGTGTGGAACTGTCAACTTACAGCAATAAGGATTTAAAGAAATTTTACGTTATGTTAAATGAAAGACGGTGAAAGATGGCCTTTCTAGAAGATACCTTTGTCATTTTGATTACCCAGGTAAAATTTAATAGTTATCAATGAAATAATTTGTGTCGTTTCTATTATATCGTATTTTCTGTTACAAATCAAATAATTCTATTGAACGAATACAAGTTTGTTATTAAACAACTTTTAATATTTCAGCTTTTCTTCTTCTTCGGAGGATGGGTTTTCTTTGTAAAGAAACTCTTTCGGGACTATGAAGTTCATCATAGACTTGTACAGTTAATATTTTCAATAACTTTTTCATTGTCCTGTACCATGTTCGAATTGATAATATTCGAAATAATAGGAGTTCTTGACTCTAGGTATGTAAAAATAAATTACACTTTCTGTTTTTCTTCCACCTACTTATAAGTTCCTTAAATATTTTCAGCTCTAGATATTTCCATTGGAACGCAGGCCTGTATATGCTCCTATTTATGGTAATAGTTTTGATACCATTTTACATAGCATACTTCATCATCAGCAACATTCGATTTGGTAAATAACGATAGTTGAATAATACTTAGTACTTTGTGTAACTGATTGCTATCTTTAAATTCTAGTAAGACTGAACCTAATCAGGCCACTAACGATCGTGATCTACTTATTCTACCTCTACTTATTTTGGAAAGTTGGTGATCCTTTTCCAATATTAAGTCCAAAAAAAGGATTGCTCTCGATAGAGCAGGGTGTCAGCCGAATAGGTGTTATTGGGGTTACAGTAATGGCATTGTTGTCTGGTTTTGGTGCTGTAAATTACCCTTATTCGTCCATGACATATTTCATGAGACCAGTATCCTACGCAGACGTTCAATCCACAGAGCGTCGTCTTTTACAAACAATGGACATGATTGTGGCAAAAAAGAAAAGAATTGCCTTAGCAAAAAAGGGCGAAGTTCCTGGACAGACCGAAGTCCGTTCTCGACTTTGGGGAATGCTTTCACCATTAGGAGTTAACAAAGGAAACCAAGAAAGTATGTAACGCGACAAATCCTCTTAATTCATCAAATTTCTACTTATAGAATTCACAGTTTATTATATTTATTAGATCTAAAACAACTCCAACAAGAAGTAGCTGGTTTGGAAGAGCTGTCAAGACAATTATTCCTCGAAGCTCATGATATACAGAATGCCAGAGAGCGACTGGAATGGGCAGCCACATGGCAGGGAAAATATTTCAATTTCCTTGGATATTTCTTTTCAATTTATTGCACGTGGAAAATATTCATTGTACGTTATCAACGAACACTCTGCACTAAACATTTTCCACTAATCAGAATTTATATTTTTCTCGCAGTCGACGATAAATATCGTATTTGATCGAGTGGGCAAAAAAGATCCTGTAACAAGAGGAATAGAAATAGCTGTCCATTGGATTGGTTTTAATATCGACGTAACATTTTGGTCACAACACATATCATTCTATTTAATTGGTTGCATTGTCGTCACCTCAATTCGTGGACTTTTACTTACATTGACGAAGGTAAATAATTAAGTAGTGTTGTTAATAATAATTAAGCAATATGAACTTTGAAGTTCTTGAGAATTATATTGTATATATATATTTTTCAGTTTTTCTACGCCATTTCTAGCAGTAAATCTTCAAACATTATTGTGCTTATTCTCGCTCAAATAATGGTGAGTAAAATCAACTTTTTAAATTTTCACTGAAATCTTAATCGTTCAATACATATTTCAGGGTATGTATTTTGTGTCGTCAGTGTTATTGATGAGAATGAATATGCCAGCCGAGTATCGTATAATAATAACGCAAGTGCTAGGAGACTTGCAATTCAATTTTTATCATCGATGGTTCGATGTAATATTTCTAGTGTCTGCATTGTCCTCAATAGTATTTTTGTATCTGGCACACAAGCAAGCCCCGCTGGAGCGTAGTTAAATAAATGTTCTACATGAAACAAACGGAAAAATTACTGTTTTCCTTTATCATAGGAGACACACAAAATACCATAGACCAGACTTGAAACGTAACATATTTTATTTCTAAATCGTGTCAACGCTATCCTCGTTCGCTACGAATATAAAAATGTAAATTACAGAATAGCATCGGGTTAGCCCTACACTACAGCGTATTACTAAAAACACGCAACACTTTATTCTACGGTAAACACACTGTCGCATGGCCATATTACGTAGATCGGAATAATGAATAGCGGCTTGTCCCACTTGAGCTGAGTAGAACAAAAATGGCTATTAATTCATTTGATACTCTATTCTATCCAATAGACGGTAATCAGTATATAGCATCTTTGTATTCAGTATAAACTGATTAGAAGATCTATTATATTGGAACCGACGCGTTAATCATGCGGATCACAGACAGGCATGATGACAGTGAATAGTAGAAATGATAGTTGTGTAATAGGACTTGTGAGTAAATGAATTTCAGGATTGAATTGTATCATTCTATGTGACTACGGAATGTTCCAGTATAATTAATAAAGTAGTTCGATGCTCCATTCCTCCCCCATGTTCACGCCGGGTTTACGGACCGTCAGAACATTATTGTTGGTATTGTACTTAGCTTCAAGCTCTACTGTGCCCAAGCCTGAAAAAGAACAATATTGATACAGAAACAAAGTCCACTAAGCGTGGAAGTCCTATACGTATTTTAATTAAGTTACTTACTACGAGATTTCAGTCGAGCTGATTTTATTCCTTGTGGAGGATTGGCGATATCGATACGTTCCAACCAACTCCTCGTTTGATAAACTGCTAGTTTGTCAATGAAGGTTGAGGTCAACTTAGTACCCGTAAGATTGAGTCTCAAGTACAAATACTTTCCGTGTCTGTATTCAAAACTAGCCTCGTCATCAATGTAAAGGTTGCCACTGGCGTTTCCGTTTTCATCCGCTATCACTATAAGAGTATGCGGATCATTTTTCATAGCAACTGTGCTACGACGAATTCTCATTTTTCTTGGTACAATAGAACCAGATCTTTGGAATACGGGAATTTTATGAAGTGTCACCGGGATTGTTACGAAACCACCTTGATTATGTGGCTGCATAGTGTCCAGGTCATACCAAACGACTTTGCCTTCTCCAGGGAAATAAACTGAGGTCTCAGTCTCACCAGCTTTGTAAATTGGTCTTACCAAAATGGAATCACCTACCAGTAATTGATCATCTATATCGAACGTTTCACTCTCTGTGGGGTAGTGTGCCCAGAGTGGTCTTATCACGGGATTGCCGTTAACCTCATGTTCCCTGAAGAGGGTGTACCAGAAAGGCAAATAGGAATATCTGGTTCTCAGAGATTCTCTAATAATTCGAATAGTTTCTTCATTAAAGACCCAGGGTTCTCTACGTTTAGTTTCAATATGAGAATGAGTTCTGAAAAATGGCAACCAGGCAGCCGCTTGGTACCATCTAAGAAATAGTTCAGAGTCGACGTTCTTGAAGAAACCACCGACGTCAGCGCCGCAGAAAGATAAACCGGATATTGCCATAGACAAACACATCGGATAACTGATCTTGAGGTGCTCCCACTCGGCTGAGTTATCACCGGTCCAGGCAGCGGCGTATCGTTGTGATCCAGCAAAGAAGGACCTTGTAAGGATAAATGGTCTCAAGGATCCACCTGATCTGCGGAACAGTGCTTCGTAGGTAGTTAGTGTATACATGAGACCAAATATATTGTGCACATCACGATGCTCCCAGTTGCCGTAATGGATCAGATCCTTTGGCATAGTCACTTCCGGTCCATTGAACACACTGGGTTCATTCATATCATTCCAGATATAAACATCGTTGGTAGTGCCCTGGAATTTATCAAGGGCATATTGGTTCATATAGTACTCGCGTACTTTCGGATCAAAAAAATCCATATAAGACGATGATCCTGGCCAGCACCATCCTTCATAATCCTTTCCATCACGATGTTTTACGTAGTAACCAAGACTAGTGGCTTCATTGTGTAAAAAGTATCCAGCGTCGCGTTTTGTATGAGGATCTATTATTACTACCAGCTTTCTACCCTTGGAGGTTAAATTGTGTACCATTTCTAAGGGTGTGGAGAATTTTCTGGGATCCCAGGTAAAATATTTTTTGCCGTCTGTGTATTCGATGTCCAGCCACATCACATCCAAAGGCATATCATAGCGGTCAAAACCTTCTGATACTTGATTCACATCATCTTGATCATTATAGTTCCATCGGGATTGATGATAGCCCAGCGAGAACATCTGTAACAATGTACAATTTAATATCGTGAATAACAATATGGTAAACAATTGCCAATAAATAAAATACATACCTGTGGCAAGGGTGCAGTTCCCGTAAGAATGGTGTACTGCCTGAATACATCTAGCGGTTTTGGACCTAGCATGAAGAAGACGTCGATGACACCGGATTCAGACATGAAGTGAGCATCGACTTGAAATTTCTTCGTAGAACCAGACACGAAACTTACGATACTTTCAACTACGTTATTATCGGCACTAGATAAAATATCAACCCATGTTTCGGCAGCATTATGCCAAAAGACACCACTCGTTCTCTCTTTCCTGGAATTTATAATGGCCTAGTCAATATCGAGAAAAAAATATCGAGATAAAATTCTTTAATGCTTACCCATGAGCGTAGAGCACAGGAATGGCACCATATAACGACATGGCTTCATTGACCTCGTACTCAAAGACATCGAGGTTATAAAGTCTGTACGGATCGGCTTGTTTAGTAGACTTGAGCGCAAGAGAATCAGCATGTTCAGGAATTCCATAGGCATTTTCAGCACCTGGAAAACTGAAGTCCATAGCAATAGCTTCAGGACCAAAGGGTTTAGAATCATGGTGTGATTTGAAATTTTCCTCCCATGCACCAGGATCACTATCGGCTCCATCTCCTGGGAACTGAGGTTCAGGAACTTCCACTTCAGCAACTTCTTCTTGGGGTTCTGCTTTCCTAAAGAAAATGAGCTTCTTAAATCAATATCGTTACCGTGCAAATAAAATAGTCAATGATGCTCACGGTTCAGGCTTGGTACGCAAGTGCTCGAATCTCATTAGACCTCGAGCATTGGCAGATATCACAAGTTGATCATCGGAATACAAATCTACTCTAAAGGGTTTGGCATACAAAACTACCTTGTTTTGTCCATTAGACACTGTAACACTGTCAGTAGATCTTTCTACCAATTCAAGCTTAACTGGTTGTGGATCATGGTGCAATGCATTTTCCACTTCATATCTTGGTCGAATAGGATTCTTTTCATTGATATGAAGTCTAAACGTATTGTCCTTCACAGCAGTAAGGTGAAGAACATAATAGACTCCAGTGTCCTTGTTGAATAGATCAGCAATTATTACTGACTCGTTAAGAGCAATGGTATCCACCAGTAGTTCATATGGAGATTTTCCTGATTCAAGTTTGCGACATCGTCTAGAACAAAAACATTCATTTCGAGTCCCAATTTCTTTCTTATAACCATAGTATCAGAATGGTTGCCTATGAGGATGCTGTACCTGCAGAAACTGCTTTGCTCGCATGTTTTGAAGTTGTCTCTATTGACAGCGTTAACCACCAAAAGCACGTAGAAGAGCGCTACAAGAACTAGCCTGTAAAAGTAGTATTGATTACATCGAACGAAAAATCGGCATTTCAAGAATTCCAACAATAATAAACGAGACACACTAAAACAAAGGAACTCATAAAGGATCAATGACCGGCGATAAATGAAACGGGTTACGGTTAGTTCAAAGTTCAAATTCAAGAACAATCGACATTTCCAATGAAGTGCAACTGAGACTCAAGTGTAGCTGATTGGTATCATCACGAAACAAGCCTCTCTAATAGAATCCCAAACGGGGATACGATAATTACATTAAAAAAGTAAAATCATAAGTATGAGATAGAATTTATTAATAAAGTAATCTTTTACAAAAAAAAAGAATTATCTCCCGGTGACACGTCAGCCTTGTTCACCGGTAACGATGTGCTTCTTGACTTTTGAATTTAATGCAATTCGAAACATCCAAATTAATAAATGCCGTGTATTTTGTTCATCTGCATTATAATAAATTCAGCCAATAACATAAGACGAGAATAATAGGATATTGTATTCAATCTTAAGAAAAATCATAAAATTACAAGAAATTTACTTACTTTACGTACGAAGCCATATTGCTGAAGCGTCTGTCATGCGCTGCACGCGCCCGACTGTTGTAACCATCCATGAATTCAAGGTCACTAGATCTTCAGTAATTTCCTAGGGAATATCCCCATACAATTGGAATAACAATATTGGCAACAATGACCCATTTCAATTTAGCGGGCTTTTATCACAACAATACTTCGGCGTCCCTGAATACAAACTTAAATGATGTAAACGAGAAACAATCTCAGCCCTAGACCCGATTCTCACAAGTCACAGAGTGTCTGAAACCGCTTACCCCTTTTAAAACAGTCATTACAACTCCCAAATGGCTCAACTATGCGGTATTCAAAGGTCTCATATTCTCCCTCTCTAATAACCTAAACACAATAAGACCCTGTGGCGAGTAAGGCCCAATAACACTGAGCAAAGAGTGGGAGTGAAAACAGCTTAACATTCCTGACGGGATCCGGTCTCTTACCAGAGATCAGTACAGGTTTCCTTAGGTGAGCATTCGTATAATAATGTCATTTCCAGTATTGTGCGAACCCGTGTAATAAGTTACATATATGAATAACACTCATACATGATTAACGTAATATTTCAAGTGCAAACTCTAAGCATCAGAAAGCCATTTGTCATACTACAATTTTTCAAAGGAGGATAATTGCCAACAAACTTCGTAATACATTGAAGTGTCGCAGAAATTCCGACTGGCTCGAACCAGAATATATTTCACGTCCTACCACAAGATCTACAGCACAAACTGTACACATCCTTCGAAGACAGCCATCAAAGTATCTATAGAACGCAGAAGCACCTGTTGCACACTTTACCTGTTTGCCTGCTTACCTGGCTTAGCAGCAGCCTAGCAGCCAGACGACTCCATACGCTTACCTCAGTCAGTTGTGTGCCATGGTGCGAGCATCTACGCAGCTACGTCGAAATTCCCTAAAAGGAAAATAAAAAGTAAAGGGATAGAACGATAAAATTAATTTAACCCACATACAGAATCAATTAAAGGGGACCAGTGTACGTAAAAAAAAACAGAGCATAAGAATGCGCCTCGCGAGTTACCCAAATCAATCAAAGTCCCTGAAGAAGACGCAGGATTATCATATAAGCATGAACATCTGACTTATATATATCTTTGACAAGATATATTCACAGTATGGAGCAGGAAGTGCAGGATACGTGTTACAGTGCCGGTAGCATAGCCGGGGCTGTTTTGGGTACATTTTTTACAACACTTTTACTTCTTGTTCTTACTGGTTTGCTTTATCGACAATGGCGCAGGCATAAGGGTGAGTTCTATATATTACATTTCAATAATACTCAATAATACTAATTATATGGGCCCCACGTAGATACGGCGCATGAATTTATTCAGACAGAACAACCAGACTAAGGTGTAGGTCACCTTGTGTTTTTGCGTGTTTCGCTACTACACTGTAGTCTAGTTGGCTTTAATACAGTATTAGCAATCATCCTTATCGTCCTGGTCATTATGGCAGTTCGATATCCTGGTAATACGTTTGCTGATATACACGTTTATATTTCCACATGTGGCTTTTTGTCCTCACGGTTAGTAGCAACATTGGACACAAGCTAAAGCTGGGTCCCGCAAAAGCCAGCGAAGGCCTTTAGAAAGTGCGGCGCAGCTTCGGGCTGCCGCCAGGTCGTTGAGAGTCTGATACCGGAGGTATGGCATGCCGTTTCCACGAGAAATTCTTCATCCCAGTATATGTATAAGTGCGTGCATGCGTATATGGACCTATATACGCGAGTCTTCTGTGTTTATATATATACATATATATACACAAGAGAGAAGCCTAAGTTATGTCGCACACGACAGCCATAATCTCGGAATGCATGTGCAGTATTACCTTCATTACTTTTAGTTTACTTTAGAAACAGTTTTCGTTACTGTTACGATAGTCTACACGGAATCGCAGGTTTTCATCGAATTGACTTGCTTGCGATTCTGTAGGTAATTGGAAAAAGTCGTATTTCGGGTCACTTCTACCCTGTATGGTTATCCCACGCTTACCTTTCTTATTCTGCCTACTTTCCACGGTTTGGTTGGCTCGTGAAATTTTCAATAGAAAAATTACGGTATATACACCACTCTCCCTGCTATACGTTCCATTTACTATGTGAAAATTACTGTCAACGGTAAATATCCATCCCTTCTTCAGGGGGGCGAAGTACCTCTTTCTTTCCCTTTATACACTATTATTTCAAGTTAGTGATTATTTATGGAAGAGAACCTAATGGTCGGCTAATCGTATTCACGGAATTGTGGAAAAAGGAGAAATGAACTGAAGAACAGAAATCAGATAGTAAAAAAAAATAGTGAGTTGGCCGGAATCATATTATCCGTAAGAGGCAGAAAATTTCATTTTAAACCAGAAAAAATTCAGTCTTTTAAGGATTTGACATAAAAAATAATAGTTTCTAATTTTACACTGCAAGTCTATTAACGATCGACACTGTGATTCATTATTCGAATTTCATTCGGGTGGGTGTATAGAATTTTGGCTGTTGTACAAGCAATTAAAAAAAATTCAAACTATGTCTACACGGAAGACGATAATGGTGTGCAAGTATTAGCTAACCTGAGTGACGTCATTGAACGCCTACTCAAGTGTTGCGAAAAAAACACGCCACGTGCTCACACATGCGCATCCGGATCATAGTGATGAAGATCTTTAAAATGCACGCCATTACGCAGCGCGGTGGTCCCACTTAAAAAGCGCATCACGTCTGTCAAGCTGGTCACGTGAACATATGAGAGATCGATCGAAACCGGACCGGTGTCAAGTGGGAAACTTAGCGGAATGGCATCTCTTCATTGGACCTTTGATAGTAATACGTAAATTTCTATCGTAAGTCCTTGGGTGGCGCGTAGGTTTTAACCATTTTATTTGCGCACCAAAGCCGGATGACCTTGTGGATTTAATGTTTTGCCGTAACTACGAGACATCATTACCATCATAAAAAGGATCGGAATGATAAGATTTGAAAATAAAATTTTTGTATGAATTTAAAAAGATCTGAAAGGAACACTCCAGTCTTCGTTTTTTCGATTTATTCTTATTGGACCGAAAATTGCCTTTTTTTAAAATCACTTTAGACGAGGAATGCATTCTTATCTCTAATGGTTCGTCTGGCGCGTGAGTCTCGAGCCTCTAACGTAAATGCATGACATAACCTTCGAATTCTCTTTAGGATCGAATTATGTTATGTAATACAACCTGGGCCTTACCCTCTTGTCCAGCTAAGGCCCAATCGAGTTGTTTAACAGGTGCGTGCGTTCACCTTAGACCTGAAACGAATATATGATACGTCAATTATGAATACCCGGTGAGATACTGATCTTCCTGATTATAAAGTCCCAAAATTCTTATGGTTATACACCTTAACCATGTCCATCCTACGTACGCCATGATTTCGTAGAATACCATCATCGTACAAGGATCTACATTGGTTTTTCCCCGGTAGAGTGCGCATCGTTTTATTTCACTTCTTATTTGTCTTTTTTTCGTCGTCTCCAACCTCGAAAATGGTGAAGAACCTGATTGGATGGTTTAGAATGATAAAAAAAGAAAACGTCATCGAGCATCATTGAGTCGCACCTAACCTCTACTTCGATAGACTTCACTTAAGATACCTTCTTTTTTTCTCTTACATATGCCACGCCTCGCATTTCTGCATAATCACGCTTGTTGTCATTCTCCCACCACGGAGCTAAGCGAGGGCCCAGGATCCTGGGCTTAGGGAACTTCTACGACCCTCCGCATCGACAACAGCGCCATTCGTACCTTTACCACTATCGTCATCTGTCACTATTGTTGCTTCGGCTGTTATTATTGGGACTTACCCAATACTAATTATTAGTCTGATCCATTCCTGATGTGTTGAAGTAATGGGATTCTTGGAAAACATGTTTCGTCCATAACCTCAAAGTGACTTCGATGGTAATTTGAACTTACCGGATAAGTCACGATCATCCCGTCCGCGTGAATATGCGCCCATAATGACAACTCGTTGCGTTTAAAAAAATGCTGCCAGTCTACGAAAGGTAAATGGATACAATACGAACTTAGCCTAGATCGGCCATCTCCATTTGGAGTAAGAGAGGTTAGGATTTATCCAGTCACAGAATCAGAGATCTGGGTTAACTCGTCGAGTTTCGCCTTTTTCGCAAAATCTCATAATCCTTTTTTTTTACTTTTCTTTCTATGTCACCCGTTCGTCCTACCGAAAAGGTTATACAAAGAGTAACGATCGATTTTACGAATACGTGCTTAGCTATTTTGCGGCATTGTCCGTCAAGAGTGCTACTGCAAAATATACTTATACAAAAAAGTGGTATTCACCTACGCAAAACAACAAAACGCTTAGTCGCTTTTTGCACGTTTATCACTAAATGCGAATATCCTCCGGCAATCGTGAACTGTCTTCCTGCAATACTTATCGACCTTGTCCCTTATACATACGTACGTCATAATCCTTCCTAGGGTCATTCATTTTAACGGTCCAATGATCCGGATGATCGATTACGCATGGGATACCGTGACAGTCGCGTATTACGTTATCACGAAGCACGCTAAAGTTATCCCCAAGGTCCATTCTCTTGCGCCCAAAACGCAAAGGTATTTGTCAAAGGTTAGGTGGTTTCTGGGATGGGTCTTGAAATCAGATTCTACGAAGAACATGAAGAAACCCACCGAAGTGAGATTCACGATGCGATGAGTTCGTGATGCCGGAGGTGTGTTGCTTCGAAGGAGGTGAAAAGAGTAGGGAGCGAAGCTAGCTCACCTTGGCGTCCATGGTATGCGACCAATGGCGTCTCGACCAAAGGCGTAGGATCAACAACATTGTCAAATCTTATTTATCTACGGGCTTGACGGTAAAAACGGGCCATTTAAAATGGGATAATAAAGAGACAAAATAGGAAGATTCCACGCAAGATAGCAGTTTTCTCGCAAGATCACACATGACTTAAATCTCCGTAACTTTGTCATATATAATTGCTCGACCAGGTAAATATTTGTTGTGACGTGCCATTACGAAATTTCGCGATTACAGTATGTCCTGACGTACTGTCGTAGTAATGCACAAACACGCGCGAGGCTTCTTTAAGAAATAAATAGATATTTGTACAATTTATTATTTATTTCAAGACGTATTCGCGACGCATTAACTAAAAACAAAGAGCCACACACGTACTGCTCATCCCTTTCTTGATTATTAGAAAATTTCATGGGATTTGCGTACGCGTGATTTATCTCGAGATATAATTATCTTAATTGAGAGAGTATCGAGGGCATGCGTGTTGGAAGAAGTAACGCGAATCGAGAAAAATAGAAACGGAGAAATTCAGGAGAGAGAGAGAGAGAGAAGGAAGGAGATATCGATTCTCCCAGACGATTGTTTAGTCTTCGCATACCAATTATTTTCTGTATGATTTGTTATGTAAACTCGCGCGAAATACTAGCCCGCCAGATGGCACTGTGATCGCGTCAAATATTCCTAATGAATTCAAATTCTCCGATAGGGAGTAACGTATGGATTAGATATTTATTCCAATTTTTTTTATAATGTTATTTTTATTCTATTCATTACTATTTTATGGAATTGAGGTTAGGTTGGATACTCGCACTATAAAATCAGTCAGCATAGCGGTACCGGATATTGAATAAAGAATGCGTTTCCTTCCTGTCTACACTGATGGTGTGTGCTTATACCTTGTAGTCATAGGCTGATACACACACGCGAGACTAAACATGGCCTTCTTAGTGAGGAACAGGTGCTACCGCTATCCTGTAGGTAATAAACAAGACCATTGGCACTCTATGAACCATGCGTTATATCCGTTATGTCAATGCTGTCGCCTGTCCAAAGAAGGTATCGAAGATGAACGGACCTTAAGTCGCTTCCTCTTAGTCACCAAGACCTTCTTTTTGGATTTCAGGAAAACACCTGGTGCTGGTGACCGATCCTGAGATCGTGGAGGATGCTTATGCCTTTGACAATCCCTGCTTCAAAGATGCTACTCCTGCTGCTGTACGAAGTCTTGATAGAACGGTGTCGTCCAGTCCAGCCGAGACACCAGTTAAAGATTCTACGAGATGGTCTACTCCCTGGTCTTCTTTAGGCATTGGTTCACCTGGGAACCGTACTGATAAGAGGAGAACTCTGGACGACTCTTGTCTTGGAGTAAGTCGAGCATTAGTTTGGTATTATGATGATTATGGATTTTACCCTGGTGTATTGTGTTTATAATAATTTGAAAATTTTTAGCCCAAAGCTACCAGAGTTAGTGTGGTCAGTCTTCGTAGCAGAGACTTCACTGGACTTGGGTTTAATGTATGTGGAAATATGCGCGAAGGGATCTTTGTGAAGGATCTTCTTCATCGAGGTCCTGCTTCAGAGTCCGGTCGGATACATCCAGGTTGGTAGCATTTCCATAAATCAGGTACAGGATTTGACGCAATCTGATTTAATAAAATGATTAATGATTGTTACAGGAGACCGGATAGCAAGTGTAAAGATCAGCTTCCGCAGTATGGTCTATGAAGACGCTCTGACGATACTGAGCTACGCATCTCCTTATGATGTTGAGCTTGAGGTCGAAAGCGGTGGTGGACCAGGATCTAAACCTACGACCTTACTGAAGAAGAGTATCGGACCAAGTCCTACAAGGATATGTCATCCTCTTTATAGGAGCCAATCGATTCCTGAACTTTCTCAAGGTCACAAGAGTTCAGCTAAGCGATTATTTATTGCTGATCCTAATGAGTCTCTCGGTTCTAATTATTCAACTATGAACTCTACCCTAAAGTCATCCAAGTCTACTCCCGGTAATCAAACGTTGGAACGCCGCCACGAGGAGGTCAAGAATAATCATCATAAGTTTGGTATCAAGGTACTTCCAGCATTAGATGGTACCGTTCACAGAATTGAAAACGAAAATGAACATAACACGAATCTCGAACGGAGAAACTCACGAAAGCTGGACGCGGAGAAGTACCTAGTTGGTACCAGAAGTTCCGGTCATCAGGATGATTCATCACTCATTTCCGGCACGAACGTTGTACCATTTGCACATGAGAAGAAGACTACTGAGAGTGTTCAGACACGCGAGAGTGCACCATTAAAAAGAGAATCTATTGATACCAATGGTATTGATGTGACTGATCGTGTTAATGTAACGGAAGCTGGTTCAATACCCACAGAAGTCCCAGCTGAGGTTCACAACGCTGCCATGGCTGCTAGATGTAATCGGAAAAATAGTGCTGAACTACTCTCAAAAAAATCACCTAGTGAACATGACGCAGAAGACCCAAAAAGTCCTCAAAAAAATAAACGTAAGGCCCCAGCTCCTCCCAAAACTATGCTATCCGCTTCAGATATTTCACCAGGCAAAAAGGAGCGAATGGAAGCTGATGACAAGATTGACAGTATAGCTGACTACACGGAGTCATTAAATGATTATGTCAATAAAGTGAGAGAAACCACAGATGGCGCTGAAGCACGTCGACAACGCTTAGAGAACCAGGCTGCTACCTGCAGACGGAATTCGGAATCAGATACTGACAGTGAACTACAGAATAGTTTCACTACTATCGAACTTAACCCGGCGGACATTACTATTCATCACACACCTGTGCCAGAGGTTGATGACGACCTCTACCGAAAGGCCGCCAGTCTTGGTGACCTTTCAAAATATGAAAGTAGAACTTCTACTACTCTAGAAAGGGCTCAGAGTCTCGACATGACCGATACTGGCTCTAAGAAACGCAAAGCTCCTTTACCACCTGAAGACATTAATGAATCTACAGAGGACCTGACCAAATTGGATCAGATGGATACGTTTGAGAGGCGGAAGCTGAAAAAGTCAAACGAATGGGGTACCTTGGAGGATGCTATATGGACAAAAGCTGAACCTGAAGAGAAAAAGCCAAAAATCAGAAAGAAGAGTAATGGAACATTGGAGAGGTCAAAGTCTGCTGTAGAAATACAACTTAAGGAAGAATTCACAATCCCAACAACCACAACAGACAGGATCAACCTTTCTGATGAAGATGTTGATAGCAGCATTGAACTTTATAATTTACCATTGAGTAAACAGCTCACCCGGGACTTGATCGAATCGGAAAGGATGTTCAATCCTGATCAAGATAATTCTTTGGCCAGAATAGTGAATAATGGGTCTGTCATGAAGAGTCCCACAGTAGAGGAGATCGAGCTAGATTTCAGACAGGCCAAACCCCTGTCTGATGCAGAAGATGATATTGGTAAGGATGAAAATAAAGAGAGAATCTCAGCTAACGAAGAATTCGGCAGAGCTTTACGGTTCTTTGATCTACACACTAGACCCACGTCAACCAATAAAAACCTGGACAGCAGTGCCATGTATGAGGGTAAAAAAGAAGTCGTAGAGGAACCGATAACAAAAGTAATAATAGACAAGCATTGCCCCTACTGCGAACACAGAGCACATGGTGAACAATGTAAGCACAATACACAGGAAGCAGTGCGAGAATCGCCGGAAGTCATTGTGAGAAAAATTGAGACACATCAACAGGCACCAAATATGAAAATGCCAGAACGCGAATCTCTTTCAACATTCCAAGCCCACAGAACTAAATTTGAGAACAGAAATTTATCAGCTCAAACCAAATCACCTAGTGATTCCCCTGCGGCATTTGAAACTCATTTTGCTAAACGTATACTGAATGTAGCGGATGACAAGAATGAGGATGCATATGATTTCGGTACGTCAGTCACAGTGAATAAAAAAAATCCATTCGTAGCCAACGAAGACAGGAACAATATCAGTAATATCAGCAACGTGTCTGTCTCTAGTGGAGAAAATAGTGAAGACAGTGGCGTCGTCAGAGGCGTCGACGAGACCTTAACGCACAGTTCAAGACCACCACTTCCAGAGACCCCGATGCCGTTGTCCAGCACTCCTCACAAGATGACATATATCACAGAGATAAAGGTCTCCACTAGTCGAGAGAATATTCACGAACCAGAAAGTGAAAATGAAGAAATTGTTGCCATCATGGAAGGTACTAATGAAAACCGGAAACCTGAAGAGCCGGTAGTCACGTCTAACGGGAAACCAATGCCCGGGAAGAAACCGCCAATCCCTCCTAGAAGATCTGACATAACTAAAAGTACAACGGTCACTAACGAGGATGCTGCAGACAAACAGGTGCTTTATGTATCTGAGTATAAATCTGTACCCGACGTCGGGACGTCTGAAGTAAAACAACCTGGTGCCATTTCAAAAAAATTTGAACAATGGGTATTCCTGGGTGAAAACAAGGACAATCCATGGGGAAACGGTTCCAGTCAGCCCCAGCCGGTCACTAGCATTGTACTGTCCTCATCAAATGATGACAAGATTGTACAGCATCAGTGAATAATTAACAGACCGGATGTGTATCGAAAATCAAATTGAATCATGCTATCAAAAAGTGGGCATTTTAAAATCATGTGCTCTTTCCAACGAGTCCGTCCGAGAATATTTTTCTATTGCGTTATCGCGAAAATCAAATAATCTCCGTTTATAACATAGTCACACTTTTCTAAATCTGTTCTTTGTTTTCTTTCTTCTTACTTGTTTATCTCTTTTTGTTCAAAAGCTACGTGCCATAATGACTAAAAAAAAGTGTAAGACGTGTGCGATTGTGAGAACCATATTTTATTTTTAATAACGTTTTCGCAATGTGATTATTGAGTACTATATATATTTGTTTTTACTGTTTTCCGAACCATAGGAGAAATTGATAATGACTGTAACGAGTAATGAATATTAGAAACGAGTTGTAAAATTCAAATGAATTCTATTATTTGTAAATAGAGAGGCCAGTGCGCGTCAGATTGAATGTAGTATAGAAGATAACGTAAGGAATTCCTTGTAACACTTCTTCTGTAATTGTTAAATGAGTTTTAAATTCGTACCATTTTTTCATGAGGAAGATCCGAATGTAGGTCCATTAATCATACATTATAGCTATAATCAGTTCGCAATCAATGTGATCCGCGGTATCAATATTTATAACATTTATAAGAGAGTACAGCTGTATATTATCTAGGTGTTGATATACATATGACTATATAATTTTTTATAGTTACTCCTAGCATCCAACTTCTCTTTATTGTCGTCTCCATTCCATTCATTGACTAATCTTCACTAACGTACAAAAAAAGACAATCATATTCTCCTCCCAAATATACTGCTGTAATATAATTTATTGTCTGCTCGAGGTTATTGTTTATTATGGAATCTAGATTTAATATTATTTCTGTTTTTATTTTAATCTCTCGTTGCATTGTAATGACGCATGTGCAAATTGTACATTTCTCTTTTTCAGATCCACTTTTATCTTTTCTTTCTAACGAATGGTGCCACCACAGAAATACATATATTTTTCTATCGGTTGTGTAAGTCAAATACGACTAGTTGTACTATACAATTATATATTTAATATACATAAATTCGTCTATGCATTAATTCGTACATAATACATACATCATTAGAAACATTCTAATCAAATCGTACGAAGGTAATGTAAAAAGTTACTTTTCAGCAACCGAAATTGTTATATGATTATAATTTGATATATATTGTATATTTTATTTTTTATTGCTAGACCTAGATATTATCTTTTAATGTAAGGAAACTCGTGTTTGTATAACAAAAAATCGTATTGTTTACCAAATGGTCACGTGTCACTTTCTATCCTACCATCCTTAATAACCAATGACGTAATGAATTAAAAAAATGTAATAGAACAGAAAAAACTATAATACATATTTAAGCATAAAGTAGGTAGCCTGATTTTCTTATTTTCTCTTATGCTTTATAAAAAATAACTACTCCCCATCTGCAGTAACTTATTATCAAATTGTGATTGTATTTATTAGTAGCTATTACGTAGCTGATTGTTTATAATTTTTGGTGCTCATTAACTTTTTCCCACACATGGCACAAATAGCCTTCTTGTATGCACATGCTTGACAGTAATGTGAACCGACTTGATGTACCTTTTGTCGACATATTCGGCAGGTCTCAAACTTAGCTGTGTACGGATTAAAACGAGCTTTACTTGCCGAGAGTGCTTTATTTTCACCAACTTTGCGACCTCCACTCTCCACGGTATTACGGGCACCGGATTTCCATGGATCTGGTGTTATTACGCGACCCAGCTTTTTCTCACACTTCTCGCATACCATTTTCCAATTCTGTATAACAAATAACAAATTATGAAACTCTACGATGATTGTCAAACCATTATTTGACAGTGCAAAAACAAAATTTTAGGTTATTTATAAGATAGAAGCTATATGAACACAGTTCATCGTCAAATACTTACCGTGAGATTGGACTTAGGCAGATTAACTCTTGTAACTCCTTTTTTTTATATATTATTATAATTACCAGCTCTAAACTTATTCACTAAGAACGATATAAATTTGTCGAATTGATAAATAAACTATGGAACAGAACCAAATTTATGAACTGTACGAACAAGGAATATCAAAGCTTCGTAAAATACTCTCTAGATGGAACAGAAATGACCAATTACAAATACGAATCTCCAAACGTAGAAGCATGAATTCCAAGAATACGTCAAGCATTCAACGTTATTACATTCATACAAGTGCTCTGTAAAAAAATTACATACTGCGCAAAATCTTTACTGAAACTGAAGACTCCTTTCTAGATAACAGTTCTTAAAAACACAAGGGAGATGAAATGTAAAGTGTCGCAGGGCATATTGTCTGCAAGGGATGAATCCTAATGGTTGCATCACGTACACAAGGGGGTTGAAAATCTGCATTCCGTGCGCAATCGTCCCAAGGACATCGCATCTAGCCAATCGCCGATTGTAAAACCGACTGAAGTGCAGATGTCACCCCCATCGTTACAATACACAGCAGTTCAGTAGCAAGGGTAGTAGAAGTACCAGGATAAGGGTACATTCATCCACCATACATGATCCGCGAGAATAGCAAAATGGTGGTAGTGGCATTTAGAGTGATGCCCTTTCCTGGTGAGAAACTTGATAGGTAGTCAAGCCCGCGGGTGATTCAGTGCCACCGTCAAGGGTGGGATATATCCGTGAAGCGAAGGGTGAGTTACGAATTTTCGAGTGACGAGTGGGAGGGTGAATTCAGCGTGCCGACCGTCAACGCCATCTGGTCGGCCAGTGAGCGGCCACCAGCCACCCTCGAAACGAGACGTGCGCCTCGCTACGAGTTTAATAAGACTTTTCTTCAAGACTTGTGTGCCGCAGGCGTCCGTGTCACAAATCGTCCTTTAAAGAAAATCGCGCGCGGATTAATTCACGGAGTGTTTTCTCTTGTGCCTTAGACAGTTGTAAGTGAGTAAGCAAGTGCATCAGCACCGGCATCGGCAACGAGGCCTACGACAAGGTAACCCAAAAGAAAAGAGCAACTTAACAGTCTAATACACATTTTCTGCCATCGATAATAGCTACCCTCTTCTTCGAACAGTCAATATCCTACCTATGCTTTCGAGGTCACGCAGTCCCATTTGTCTCTTAAATGATTTATTCTACCGGTTATAAGAATCTGCTCGAAACTGGCATAACCTACACCTACGATATCATCTTATTTCTACATCATTCTATTCTGCATAACCCAAGCGGGATAGAGTCGCGCGTGTTGGATCGATTCCATTTCTTGAGTCGCCCACGGGGGATCAGGGACACGCGCGCACACGCACATACAACGTACTCATAGAATTTGAAATACCCAGGGAAAAATCATTGTGACAAGTCCGTTGAAATTGTCGAGATTTTTCTGGGATTTTTACTTTTATTAGAGGTTGAATTTTTTAATTTTTCATGCACGCGGGAAATGATATTAAAATTTCAAAATTTTCATATCACAGACTTGGTGATCTGAATAACTTTCATAAATTTCTTGGAACATTATTAAGGCTCTTTCTTTATTACTTAGAAATTTATTTGCGGGATCCTTTGTCGAAATGGAACTGTCCACTTTTACGGGGTCGATCCTAACGTGATAGGGGTGTATTATATTTAGCTGTGTACCACCGTAGGTTTCTACTATCACCAATTCTGTTTCTACTTCATTATTTAGTCTAGTTTATTCAGAAAATGTCGAGTACACTAAAATACTAAAGATTTTACTTGCTTGTTCATTTTACAGTAGTACTGACATCGTGGGTAGACTATTTCTAGTATCTTTTTCACAATAATGAGAATACTGAAAATAACTGACATTTTTACCTGTATCGTTCTCATCTCTGCTAGACACTCGCCATTTCTCAACTTTGTACGCATTAATCCTAATTCTTACTTTCGCACGTGACTACATCTTTCTCTCCATTTGGCAGAGCATTTCGAGAATTCCTCTCGACTCAAAATGAAATTCCTGGTCGGATGTGCTAGCACTGAGACAACCCTTAATTATTTCCAGTAAATTCCCAAGATTGAAAATTTTCAAAATTCATTGATCCTGTGCATTGTGTTGTCTAAAATTATAAGTTTATTATAAAAAAAAAATCTCATGTCTGCTTCGTTAAATTAAAAATTCCGTTACCACCTGTACTGCAAAGCATGTAACAAAATTGCACTTTACAACGTTGACGAGATTAAAAATCTAAAAAATAGACAAAAAAGTGTACAGGGACGGCAAAGTAAATTCCTTAATTATTTTAACGAATAAACCACCGGGGAATGATATTCCTTTTACATCCTTTTTCACGAGCAACGCAAATCATATTTTTCTCTAGCGTGTCTACCTCCGTGTACGTACGTATCGCCGTAAATATGTATGGTGGTTGTTGCACGTTGAATATTCGGCTTTCCCATTGGTCGAACGTCTACAGCTTCTCGTTTTTGCACGTGACATTTATGATATCGGGAAATATTAATAACTGACCCACTAGCATATACCGTTACGCAGATACTTGCCACCCTTTGCAGCTACCGATTTATTTAATCCTTAATATTGTTATTAACAATGTCGGGTCCGGTGATAAATCTAAAGGGCAATTTTCATGCGGTAACCTCAAAACGAGCAAAGCCTCTCGTAACCAACCGCTGGATATCGATTATTCGATACTGCATAAGTAGTCTCGGAGGCGTATGTCCTGCCTTTTGCACGGTCATCCTGGGTATAATCGATAAGAAGACAAAGGAAACAAAAAAAATGAAAAAGTCTGAATGACAAAGAGGAAAATCGGGAGACCTGTCAGAAATTCCGACTCTGACAATGCTTGGTAATTATCGTCGCCATCTTTTTCTTTCCCGATTTTTATCACCTTCGATATAATTTTGACAAATTTGACTTTCACACAAAAGGCACGTTACTTTAATTCGTAAAACGTCGTACGACTTACGGACGATGAAAGCGAGTGGTTACGACTGGGTGGTTTGACGGTGGCGAAAAGTCCGCATTGGTAATGACGAGAGAGAAGAGAATAAGGGATCTTACGAATCTTTTGAAGTTGATTTTTAGAAGAGGTGTACGTGTACGTGGAGTATGCTTTAAGATCTAAACTGTGAACTGAGTAACGAGAAAGTGAGCGAGAAAAATTTTCGTAAATAAAAGACGTTGCGTATTCTGCGGAGAAAATTATTTTTAAACAAAGAAACCACTGAAATGCGTCACAAATGGTTAACTTTTCCACGTTATAAACATTCTGATGTTTCATTTTTATCTGCGTTTTTTTTCTTTTTTTTCTTTCGCTTTTGTGTTTGTCGGGGTTCTTTCATTTCCCCCACCCTTTTAGGTTTCATTATACTACGGACAATAATCGTCTCGGGTACAAATGGGATTGCTTGTGGTTAAAAGAATTGCGAAATTATTACCATATGCTTCCATAATATTGATATTTATAATTTTGTATAGCTGGCAGTTAACTGTACCAATCAGTTTCTACGACCAGACATATTGTTGTGGTCTGATTATATTATAACAATATATGCTCGATATTCATATCAGATACGCAGTTTATTGGTTTGACAGTGCTATAGAAATGTGAAAATGAACTTGAGAGAATAGAAGAATTTGGAGAAGTGGGAAAAGAAATGAAAAGAGTCGGGCACTCAAAATGTGCCGATTGTATCTGTTGGTGCCAGTGACCCCCTATTGATTCCACGCTCAGCGGAGCACAGACCAGACCCTCACCCTCGTCGTCGCCTCCCGTTGCCAGCTCACCCTCAATCTCCACCTCCGACCATCTCGCTCTTTCCCACTCTCTCCATATATATCTCCTTCTTTCCTTCTCTCTCTCTCTCTCTCTCTCTCTCTCTCTCTCTCTCTCTCTCTCTCTCTCTCTCTCTCTCTCTCTCTCTCTCGCTCGCTCTCTCTCGCTCGCTCTCTCTCGCTCGCTCTCGCTCGCTTACTCACTCCCTCATGCTTTCCTACACTTTAGTCAAGCTGTCTCACTCCGTACACTGTCCAATGGCGAGCGACGCTAGCGTCATCTAGGCGAAAATAATTTCCACGGGACGAAAGGTTTGCTGCGCGCCGTCGAGCAACTTTCAAATTAAGCGAGAATCTATTCCAGAAACCGATCCCTTGGTCGAGATCCGTTCAAGCGAGAACCGAACCATCCGGAAAATCCTGAGGGACCAAGGGAATCGGGTAAAAGGGCCGGTGGGCGTAAGTTGTTGAGGTTAGGTGTGAACAAACACATTCACTATCCATTCGACAGGATTGTAGAAAAATTCTCACTGCATTGGAGGAAGAAAATCAAAGAGACCTGTAAGTTTGCTCGGAGGAGTTTTCTTTGTTGACCATGTGTTTCGTGTATTTATTCAGAGATGGCGCTAGAGGCAGAACGTTTAAATACAAGTTTTCTGCATCGCGTAATAAAATAATATGAAACAGTTTTCCAGCGGGATTGACCCGATTTGAAAGGTGTCAAGGATTTCGTATTCCACTAATCCTGCGATACGATTTTCCTTTCTCTTTTTATTATACCGCCTATTTTTACGAGCAATGAATTTCAGTCGTGCGAAACTTCAAGCATGAGAAACAGGTGAGCAAAGGAAATGAAAATATCTCGAATGAAAATCTCATCGGCGACGAGAAGTGGCATTGCGCGAACTCTCATCTCCGCGTGTCTACTCAATTATTAACACACTTGAGACTCTTTTTTTACCTTTTTAATCCACCCATCTACAATTCCCCAGTGACTTCTCCAACTTCTACGATACTTTTTACATCTCTCTCTCTTTTTCTCTTGTTAATTTACTACTCCAAAGAAAGTAAAAGAGTTTTCAGGTATGGTAGTCACGTGACCAGTGTCATAAAACAAAGGAAATTCTCTCTGGTGTCTCGTTAAGTTTTCCCCTTCCAAGTTTTCTTACGTAACCTTTACGTTTAAGTTTTTAATACGATGCTCTGCAGATAATTAATCTGTCATTTCTTTTCGGTTCTGTTGTCGGTTCCTGTGACGTATATTGGTACATCATTGGCAACAGTATGGACGCCACCTTGGCTGACAGGAACGTGGAGTGGCGATGACAAGCCTGATTTTGGAGAACGCGGACTTGAACCGACTTTTCCCGAAATGCCGGCCTAGGGGCGGCCCACCACCGCCCCCAGGGGGCACCACACAAATTGGCCAGCCGCATGACCACCCTTTTCAGACGGAGGCCACCTCTATCACCACCATCACCAGCACAACTACTTTTGCTACGTCCACCTCCTTCGTCACATCTGCCAATAGTATTAACGTCATCAGCATTACCCCAGCAACTATTGTCGCTAATACTACTCCTATTACTGCGACTAATATTGCTAGTTTCGTCACCGTCAGCACCACCGCCACCATTGTTGGTAACAGCAGTACTACAAATTCTGTATCATCAAGCAACGGAATGATTGACCTCGAGCGCGATTCCACCGACAGGCAAGTGTATTAGTAGTTCTTGTAATTGGCCGCTAGATGGCGACGCAGACGTTCTTTATCACCCTCAGTTATAACTTTTGAGATTCTTTGGGAAGAATGATAACGAGTATAATTTGCATGCGAAATGTAAATGTTTTTGTTTACCTTTTCACGATCATTTCCATGTGCGTTGTATTATTGGATGGGCGAATGAGGGCTATATAAATGTGGCATGCTGGTATACGGTATGAGAATACGAGTGAGTGAACGAAGAGTTACATTCTTAGGTGTAGGAAACAAGCGAATGGCAGGAAAAAATCAAGTTCGCTGTCCCGTAGGACGGCGAGCGTGGTGCCCGGAATCGAGCCGGATGAGCAACTTCCGGTCACCACGAAGCCGTCTTCCTCGAGCTCCTCGTCCGCTTCCGGGCGCAGCGAAGACGCACCGAATTACGGGAGCCTTCAAGGAAGCGATCATCTGCCACAGTCCCAACAGGATGACAGTGGACCTGAAGAGAGTCCTGTTTATATTTTAACATCTGCTAAGGGAGATCGCAGCTACAAACTTCGCGATTCCAGGTGAATATATTCTTTTGATAGGGCCAGTTTTAGGGGTAGAAGTATTCTATATTATTCTGTAGTATCCTATACTGGTTCAAGGAAATTATTGTCACGTGGTACCAGCTAACGTTGAATGTCATCTTAGTCTTTGAAATTATACACATGAAACATCACTGAAAATCAAATATTAAAAAAGCACCTAATGTCCAAACGAATTGTTGACGTGAATATTTAGTTTTTAACGTGTCTTTAAATCACTGTTACTTCTAAATATCATAGGCAATGCTTTACAAATTTTTGACTTTTTGTTTTTTCATCCCATTGTTTAACTAGCAGCCATTTTACTTATCACGACCAGGTGTAATGGTAAATTCTAGTTGAAAAATGTTTTCAAATTCCAGTAGTACACTGGTGTTTATACTAGATGGCGATACTATTCATAGGTTATAAAACGTCTAACAGGTGCTTCTACATTTCAATGTTAATATGCTGTATTCCGAAGTATAAGTGGGAGTGACCATGTGTTTAGTGTAGGTCAGGGACCACGTGCTAGCAATGCGTTCGTAGTACACTAATATAAATTTTTAATTTGTAAATGATTTGATCTACCGAAAGAATATAATTGATAATTTATACTGATTTTTCATAGTAATTTATAAACGCGATGGACTCTTTAATACAGAAAAATGATGGTGACACTGCGAGACAGTGTAAATTAAATGAATTTTAGATTTTTCCATTTTCTTAAAAAATTATGTGCAGAAATTGAGACATTTATATTATCTGGCAGAGTCATGCCTCTAAAATGAAACAGTGACAAAATGTGTCTCCATCTGTCGGCAAGTCTGTGAAGTTACCCGTAGATTTTAATTATCTACCCTACCGTTCGATAGCGATGATCAAATTTAAATAGACATATTGCAGGTAAATGCACGCTGGAACTTTCTCATTACAGAAATTTATACACTTATCTTAAACATATTATCGAGCTTGCATTTGAATCTTAATTTCGCTTAAATATTCGCGACCTTTTCTTGGCTTTTGGCTCACGCATATGGTTTTAGGTTATGTTGTCCGTTTAGGTAGAGGTTTTGTTTACGCCTTCGCTCCTCACTGATTAGCGTTATCGAGTGACTTGGTATTGTGCCAATGAACTCACCAACATTTCTTTGAATTGTATCGCTAGCAAAGATATCTTCGCCAACAGTGTACATAATTATTATCAAGAGAAGGACTCTTAGTTTTTTATTACTCTCCGACAAGTATACGATAAACCACGCTACAGTCAGACCCACCAACTTCGTGAACGTTGTCTTCGTGGCACTAATATCCGCACGACACACGTGTTCCTGGTTAAACTTGTATTTAATACATCTTTAAAGTATTTGTCGTTTATCCTGGAAATATGTGAATTTCTTGCAGAATTATTGAGATCGCCGGTGGCCGTGAGATCTTCTCCCAAAGCAGAGGCAAAGTAGCAGCGCGTAAGCCGCGCTTCCTGGCCGCCTCGAATTCGCTGACGAACGAAGAAAGTCAGCCGGACAACAAACTGACAACAAAGAAGAACAATAAGTCCCCAAATAGACAAAGCGTCTGGGAATTGCGTAGCCGGTGAGAATATAATTCCAAGGATAATTCTGATATGGAGTATTATTCACATAGTCTTAATAATTGTATCTGTCAACAGGTGTGGCCAGGCCAGACGACAACGTACAAACCGTGAGGTCACGGAGACTGTGTTCTCGTCGGAGGTTCACTCGGTGCGTCGGAATCCCACCAAGTCGATTCTGGATTACGACTCGCCGGCGAGCAATCATGGAAACCGTGTGATAAACTACGACTCGATTCTAAATAGCAATAATGTAGAGTATAGCATGCCGAAGAGTATTACCGATTTGAATTATGGATTACCCAAGAACTGCGTAGACTATCAGTCAAATCATACAACACCAGCACGCAGTATGGCAATCGTAAGCGACGGTGAGGTCGTCGTCTTTGACGACATCGATGACAACTGGCAAGGTCTTAGGTTGGATCTTGGATCTAGTAACGCCGATCAGGTTGGAGATAGTCTTGACTTGGAGACTGATGAGACTAGACGTGGTCGGATGCATCCTGAACCACCAAGTTCAAGTGTAGGAAGTACACCGAGTCCCACTCCACCTCATCATCGTAATACTTCCGATTTCTTCAAGGTAACGATTGAGTTAATGGTCGTTACATTAATTTACTGCTGTTTACACTCGCGCCATTTTGTAATCCATACTCCGTCATGATATTCATTATCCAATTGGCCTCTGCCTTCATCATTATATATTGCTGACACGTGTACTGTGAATCATTATTAGATTCTAAGCCGCATGTGCTCATCTGCATTTGTTCTGTCATGCTTGGCTATCGTTTCATTGATTCGTCGTTCACAGTGCCTCTTAGGCAAGGCTTTTGCGTTGATGGATCATCTCTTAGATACGTTCTGTTTTACATCAACTGTGCATAATTACATGGGGAAGATACACCGGAATTAATAACTGAATATTCATCCAGGTTGTCACAGCGGCAAGCGATTGCGAGGTGGAGTCGCCGTCACCGGAACGTAATCACAAGGTGGCGAGAGTAATTGGCGAATTACCAATCGCACAGTATTCCGGTAGTCCACGAAGATACGGTGTCAGGGAGAATCCTAGGCTACCTACACTTTTATCCTCGCCCTCGATGTACACGACGCCAAGGCCTGGTTTTCCCCAGAGAATTCTGCCCACCACGTCAAATCAGAAAGAGGTTGCGATTTATCCATTATTAAGCAAAGTTTTAATAGTTCTGTGTGCTGTTTGAGTTACTAATGAACTCACGGTGTCAAAACTAAAGAACAGCAGTGAAGTCTTCTTCGAAGAGTATACAGAAATTAACTCGCTTATGATTCCAGAAGGAAGAGAGTCCTGCTGAGGTTGTCGTGGAGAATCCTGTGACAGAAAACATCATTCCTGAAGCAGAAGCAGAAGTGGAACCGAACAGGACAACGCCACCACCGGTAGAGGCTGATATAGAGGAGGAGGAAGAAGAGGAGGAGCTCGAGGACGAAGAAGAGGTAGAAGAGGAGGAGGAGGATTCTTTGAAACCTCCGGTACTACCCGTAGAGAATCTTAGCAGCCTTGTTTCACCCAGTGGTAGTACTTTTGATTATCTCTACGAGTTCTCTGAGACGCGGAAAGTCCTGGAGGAGTTCTTCAAGTGTCCACCTCCCGCAGAAGAGAAAGAAAATAATACAGAATCGTTTCCGTTTCAAGTACGTTTTATGATGTTTGTTGTTTTCTATTTCGTACCGTTTTCTTTATGTTTATTTCATTGGCATTTTCTCTTACAGGATCTGGACTACGAATTGCGAAGACAGGGTGGCAGTGCCTACGTTGGCCAGCGACTGGCAAGTGGTCCACCAATATCAGAAGAAGTTTTGGTTCACGAGTCTCCAAAAAAGCAGAGACCGGACTTCCCACATACGGTATGAATTTACGTTATTTGAATCCCATGACGTACTGATATGAGTATTTACATGGGTGGAGTTAAATACAGAATATGTTCACGTATACGCAGTAAGTTCAACTATTTCCATGTGACGAGGTATAGACAAGAGTCTCTTCCTGTCTGATTTGAAGACATTATCACTAAATATAAACATTTATTTATAGATAAAGATTGTCTTGAATGTACAGATTTAGACGTCTGCCTCTCCCACTTCATACTCACGGTGGATTTCAATAGTGGATACGCATCTTGGTGTTCTGCTGTGATAACTTTCAGTATTTCATGTTCCAGACGGTGGAGCACGAGAATAACTTTCTGGACCTGTCAGTCGGCACAGGCAGCAGTGAAGACTTGGGTGAGACTGAAGTGGGACTTCAGGTTGGACATTCGAGGAATTTTACGCTCAGTCCTGAGACTACAGACTGCGATAGTAACTGTGGTGATCTAGACAGTGACATGTCTCTGGTGATGATGGACAACGAGTTAATGCCTGCTAGCGGGCTTCTTGGCTCTGTCGGCGACCTTGGAAATAATTCAGAATCCCTACGGATATACACAAGCATGCCTGTCCTCGAGGATGGCTTGTCGAGTGGTCATGCCAGTGATACCGATAACAACAATCCCACGGTGATGCTAATGAAGAGGCAGATAAACGAGATAGAGAAAGAGATTATTCAGAGGACGCGCAACGACATGTTAGAGAACGATACCGGTGGCAAGGATGTCGGACTCAGTGTAACTAAGGATATCTTACATTCGTTAAAGGCGACGTCACCCGACCTATTCGTGGCTAAGAAAGAATCTTATGAGAGCAACGAATTGGAGTTGGATGGGTGAGTTTTAGTGCAAACTCGGATCCAGTGTATTCAGTGACCTCACTTCTAGGGGAATAATATTTTTCCTCGTTGTTTAGTTTGGATCCTTTGGGTACACCACCACCACCCGCACCACAGAGTAGACAAAGTATCGAGGCCGGTGGTGAAGTGGAGGCCGCTATCAAGGATATCCGGTTAGCACTTCAAAGGACAAAGACACTGCCGGTGAAATCGCCTTCGGAGGATCCCCCAGAGCCCAACGTCAGCCCCATCTGGATACCCAGGTATGCCTTTAAACCCAGGATGTCTTTAGAAAACTAAGCAACTAAGGTATAGTGTATTGGATGTCAGACGGAGAGTTTGCGCCGAAAGTAACAGCGAGGACTCCGAAGTGAGAAGAGCTGATGACGAGGCCGATGTAGAGGTAGAAGATGGTCCCGATGAAGAGGAGGCCGATACCGATTTGGAAACCGACAGATTATTGGGTCAACAAAGAACAGACGATCAAGGATTCTACGATGATAAGGTATTATTTATATCTGTACAAAAATATTAAGAAAAAAAAAATGCAAATATTCATAAATCACAAAAATCTTATTCTGATTCTACCTGAGAAATTTTCTGCAATTGGGTTAAGGTGTTAGTGTTTTTCTATTTGAGGAATTTATTGAATTCTACCAAGTATCCATGATACTTGGTAGTATTTGCCTGCTCCTACTATTATTACTAATGGTGACTGGTATTGTGGTGTTGCGCAGGGTTGGCGGAAGCCAAAGACTAGGACAATGTTACCAACAATGAGTACAAAAGTCGTGACTCCCAAACAAACCCCACCGAAAACCCTAAGCGTGGCACCCTTAGAGACGCTTTCACCTACCTGCGAACCCTTACCCTCGACATCCACGTCGGTATCGCCGCCACCCTTGACGATCCCAGCCATTGCCCAATCGCCTGCTTCGGAACGCAAGCCTGCGTCCCCCATTCAGCCGTGTTCCTCGAGCCCCCAGAAGACCCCAGTCAAAAATTCCCCATCGCCTCCTCAGAGCCTCAAGGAATCCGGCAGCAAGGTGAAAAAGGTGCCCTTTCACTCACTCTGTCGCTCTCTCGAGTTTTATTATTTTTTTTTTTGTTTCACTTGTCTTTTCCCACTTTATTTCTCCGAATTCGCTTCTCTTTCACATACGTTCTTTTGCACATTTTAACGCCCGGGCCACTAGAGCTTTGTATTAACGTATTCTTTTTTCGATACCGCTTGAATCTCTTTAGAATTTAGTATTGCATTAATTGCTTTGAAAAATTTCAAATGATCGAACAAAATTTCGAGCGATATGTAACTTGATCTTTTTTTAAAAGGTTCTCATACATACTAGGTCCCACTTTCGTTCTCCTGTCCTGTCAGATTTTTACTCGAACAACGTAGATGCTTACATTACAATCTCTAAACGAGAAGCATGCCAAAAGGGAAAAAACAATTATCTAGAAACAAACAATTCTCCAAATTATCCAAGTTGCACCTGCTTAGATGCATCCTCTATTGATCAATAACACAAAGACACGATTTCTAATGCTTTTTCTCACTGTCATACATACAAAACGAAGCTCAAGAATGACATTTTAATAAATCACAGTCCACTTTGAAGGACCACTATACAACACCAGCTTGCAACTGCATGAAGATCAGAGCGGAGCAAGCATGTGAGATGATTAGAGCTTTCAGGAGTGCATTTATATTATCTGCGAAAAGCCGAGTCACTTGTACTAGCAATTAAATACGTATAAATCGATCAGTCATTAATCCATTGAATTGTTTCAGGACAAGGAAGGCAAAAAGAAGAGCAGAAACAAAGAAGGTAGTATCGCTCCTAACGCCTTGTCAAACCATACCTCAGTAGTTTACCTTGAACGTATTTTAAAAACGTACCAAAACAAGAGCATGCCTTGAATAAAATCCATACTTTATTAATTTGAACGACTTTGTCACGTATAAAAGAAAGAATCAATGATTCTGTAACTCTGTATAATCCAATTTCTGACGTTTCACTGAGCATCTTGTTTCTTCACTTACAAATAACGCATGACGTTTTACTATTTAACCAAATATGATAGCGAGTACTAATCACACTTTAAATCCTTTCTAAATGCTGCTACCTTGGATGCCTGATATGTGCCTTGAATACATCGTCTCTTATATGGTAGGTACCCCACTCTTTCCCCCTTTCGATTGTTCCAAACTGTTTACCATCTATATCCCATTCGTGCTTGTGTATTATCACATGCACGATCTCTCTTAGCATATATACATATATATATATCTTATTGCACATTTAATTATGGCGCCAACTGCAGCCGAACAGTTCTTAAAGTTTGGGGAAGCCCGCATTGAGACTCGCATATAACAAACGGTTTGCTTGATCGTGAACAGTGACTTTCTCCAGTGACTGGTGTCCAATTATACATGAAACTGTAATACAGAGCAGAGCCGAATTAATATTTCAATTCATGCGGTAATCTCGGTTGAAGCGTGCACAGTAAATAAATAAAATTAAATCATTAAAGATCCTCCATTGCACTGTGGGTATACCGGTTTCTTGATATCCTTGAGGTGGCTTGTTCATCGCGCCGAAGGAAGTGGCAAAACAATTCATAGAATAGACTCATTCTTATTAATGCAATACCACTGCGAGGCTGACAGTTCGCCTGGAGAACGTAGAATGGATGAAGCGAAGGAAGTGTACGACTGGTGTGAAATCGATGAGAAACCAGTGAATAAATCTGAGATCGTTCGTGTATCGTCTATGAGAGTACTTAGCTGTTCAGCAGAGTATCTGGCAGCGTTTGGTAGCCTGACTGATAGTCGCAATATAGGAATAAAGAATGAAACTCCTGGCACCAGGAGCAACGACGACCCCAAGTATCCGTCGCTTACTAAATGGCGTGTCTCTGTGAACGTTTCAGCTCTCCTGGCCGATCCTTCAGTTCTCATCGAGGGCGTGCTCTTCCGAGCTAGATACCTGGGCTCGACGCAGCTCGTCTGCGAGGGACAGCCGACCAAGTCCACCAGGATGTGCCAGGCCGAGGAAGCCGTCTCCAGGATAAAGGTACGCAAGCCTGATGTGAATTCTGTGGGTACCATAGACTGTCGAGATGCTCCTGTCATTTGGTGATCTATGGATCATTCCCACATCAGAACTTCATACACCCATCACTGAGGTCTCTAGTGGCTTATGAATTACTGCTGCTAGCTACGGAATGTCAAACATCCATTTCTGAGATCCAGTGACCCGTAGATCTCCAAATTGTCAAAACTTTCAGTCGTTCATGGAAAGAAATATGGTTCATACGTTTCTACTGTACGTACTGATGTCGATGCCCATTATCAAACAGCATTAAATGCATATCTCAGAAATACATTATTTATACATCACAAGCGATAACATAGTCGCATGCCTCTGAATGCTTTACACAGTTTTTATTTAATATTATTTTTCTTTCTTTCTCTTTTAGTCTTTCGTTTGCTCCATCATTTATCGACAAGACATGGCAGTGTCCTCGATACGGCCATATATATATATATATATATATATATATATATATATATATATATATATATATATATATATATATAATTATATATAAAAAAAAGAAAATTTGTAAATTTGAAAACTCAAACGGCTAGGAATTTTCTTAATTTTCATTCGTCCGAGAAATAATAAATCAAATACTTATCCAAGGAAAGTTACCCCAAGTTCTCATGTCGTATGTAAAGTATCAAGAAAGCGTTTGCAGCAAACTAAAAAGTACCTATGTAACAACCCTGAAACTCTTAATACATAAGGTATATATATATATATATATATATATATATATATATATATATATAGTACATATCAGAAGGCTCGTGAACTCTCTGAATCCGCCCGTGTGAACCGGTACTTTGATATGAAGTACTACGTGAACATTGAGATTCCTCTTTAATTTCAAGATATATATTCTTCGCTCGAGCTTAATATCGTACTCAAGAACGGATCAGTACTTGGCACGTGTACCAGTTCTTGCCTCAAGTCCCATTGACATACTATGACTGACCGGGTTCTATCATTCGTATCACCTATGAACTCTTGCTAGATCATTGGCATAAACTTTAACACTTTCAGGTACTGATCAAAAGCGACTCGATGTGTCTATTCTATACGGATTAATAAGAAATAACTGTGAAATGGCCGTTGTGTAAAGAGGCCTGAATGTTTCAGTGTAGCGCCCCTCTTCCTCACATCACCAACACCACCACCCGACCACCGAACACTGTCATCTTCTCGGTGTAACTTTTTGATGTGTCTGTCTGTCTGTCTATTTTTGTGTCTGTCTGTCCTTTATTCTGTCTCTGTCGGACTGTCTGCGTAAAAAGAACACCACTCTCTTAAATGCCTGCCTATCCTCACCCACCTTTGTCTTCTGATATTTCAATTCCATAAGTAGAGACGCGCGCTGGTGGCACACCGTATGCGCGCCTAAACGCATCCGACTATTTTGCACTGAACTGTACTTCTTGGCTCACTGATAATTATCACTGCCGTTAATCACTGTCAACCTAGTAGACCAGAGAGTTTGCTACTGTCAAAAGGAAGCTTGCGTGCGCTGTCTGAAATCTCTTGGCTAAAACGACAGACATCTTTGAGCATCGAAGACTGTCTCCTTGGCGATTGCGCTTCGGTGTTGTGTAACTAAATATCTCTTTGAACTGCACTCAATGCATCGATGAACACTTAGCTATGCCTTTGTTTTCTTCTGTAGTTTCTAATTGCGGCTGTTTTTCTTGAATTATTGTATAACAGAGGCTGATCGCACGCGGGAAATTGTATTGCACGCTGTCTTTGTCTTTAAAGAATTGCATCTTCAGTGGCGGCGTATAGATCCAAGGTGGTCCTTACTGAGTTAGTGAAAAAAAAAAAAAAGAAAACCAAAAAAAAATATGTTAAGGGGAGGAACTTATAATCTGTTTATTAAGCTTGTTTTTTTTTTTTCTCTTAATTTTATTAAACTCATTTTACTCCCAGTTCCAAAAGCTTGGCTTCATACTTTGAGGCTTGCTGACTCGAAATGACTGCTAGGACTGGTCACAATTTGATCTCCAATAATGGTGTCTCCATGATGCTTCTGTCTTCTTTTGAATTGTTCGGGCTGGCTCAGGAGAGAAGTTGCTTTAGAGCCTACTCGGCTTATCATGGACAATCGGAAAGGATCAGCGCTCGTTTACGACGACGTCCAACCGATGGAAGTCTGAGTCTGTGCTGCGGTGCGTGACCTTCTGTAACAGGAAGCAGCAATGGTCGATAAAGGGAAAAGAAAATTAGTGTACAAGTAGCATCGACTCAGAATCCAGGGAGCTTCTGGCTCGCGCGGTGGCTTGTTCTGTGTGGTGGTGGCGTGGTGTGGCAATGTGACTAGCAGAAGCCTTTGTTTGTTTGTTTGTTTGGCGCGTGCGTTACGGAAGGATGCGTCGATGTCGGCGACGGCAGTGCCGATGCAGGCTACCCTCGTAAACTATGGGGGCCAGCACGGTTATGGTCGGTGCAGCGTCGCATCGCAGGGCAGCCTCGATGAAGATGAGTGCGACTCGAGTGAGGAGCTGATTGGGAGTGGCTCCGGTGGCCAGAACGAGAGCCTGGCTGCCGATGTCCCAATCTCCGGGGGTGCCATGGGCCCCCTGGGCCCCAATCTCCCTCCGTTGGGCCCCAGCACCGTTTTCAGACTTCAGTTTCTCGGGTCGGTGGAGGTGGAAGAGGAAGGGGGTCGCAAGCGCCGAAAGCGCCTTAAGAAGCACATGGTCGAGGAGGCTGTCACTAAGATCAAGGTCCGCCTACCCTTTGACCTCTCGACAACACCACAGATATATCCTCCCACTTTCTTTTGATCTCTTGAACCCTCTGCAGTCTCTCTCTCTCTCTCTCTCTCTCTCTATTCATATATCTTCTTTTTTTTATTCATCCTCATACTCTCTCTCTCTCTCTATTTATCTATTGCTCTCTTCATCGTCCATTCTTCATATTCAGGTATATCAGTCTCCCTTATGTAAAAGTTGAACAGTTACCCACTTGGTTCGTACCTTTCTTTGGTCATTAGAGCTAGAATTGCTACTGATCGTTTACTAACTGAGAATCTGCATTTTTATCTTACACGCTGCTATCTTGTCCAGGCTTTGGTGAGTAAGCGATGCGACTGATGGATCCTTTAGAATATTTCTGAGCTTGCTCTACGACTGTGTTTTCTCATATTAATCTATACTCTGTTTACCAGGCACCTGATGGCGAGACTCAACCCAGCACCGAAGTGGACCTTTTCATCTCGACCGAGAAGATCATGGTGTTAAACACGGATCTCAAGGAGATAATGATGGACCATGCGCTGAGAACGATATCGTACATAGCCGATATCGGCGACCTGGTTGTACTCATGGCAAGAAGACGTTTCGTGCCGCACGAGATGCAAGAGGCGCCGAAGATCAATCGAACCCCGAAGATGATTTGCCATGTATTCGAGAGCGAGGAGGCTCAGTTCATCGCACAAAGCATAGGTCAGGCGTTCCAGGTCGCTTATATGGAATTCCTCAAAGCGAACGGCATCGAGGATCACAGCTTCGTGAAGGAGATGGATTACCAGGAAGTTCTAAATTCCCAAGAGATCTTTGGCGACGAGTTGCAGATGTTCGCCAAGAAGGAGATGCAGAAGGAGGCAAGTCTGATTAAAAAAAAGAAGCGTATTCGCATAATTACCGCATGTGCATTTGCTATGATACAATGATACATAAACTAAAAAACGTACTTTACTGTGACAGGTGGTGGTACCGAAGGCTAAGGGTGAAATCTTGGGTGTGGTGATAGTAGAATCCGGATGGGGCTCCATGTTACCCACGGTTGTGATAGCCAATCTTGCACCGGCAGGTGCAGCCGCGAGATGCGGCCAGCTAAATATCGGCGATCAGATAATCGCCATTAATGGCGTCTCTCTGGTCGGTCTCCCGTTGTCGACGTGTCAGACGTATATAAAGAACTCAAAGAATCAGACTGTGGTTAAATTGACTGTGGTACCGTGTGCCCCGGTTGTCGAGGTCAAGATCAAGCGACCCGACACCAAGTACCAGCTCGGCTTCAGTGTGCAGAACGGTGTCATTTGCAGTCTACTGCGTGGCGGAATTGCGGAACGCGGTGGCGTCCGAGTAGGCCATAGGATCATCGAGATCAATAATCAGAGTGTCGTTGCTGTGCCGCATGAGAAAATTGTCAATCTTCTTGCGACCTCGGTCGGCGAGGTTTGTATATACATGCAGTAGTAACAGTCCTCTCAGAGACCAGGTGTTCTCAGGTATCGGATAAACGATTCTACGAATAATTACAGATTCTCATGAAGACGATGCCCACGTCGATGTTTAGGCTGTTAACCGGCCAGGAGTCTCCGGTGTACATATAAGAGTTCAATTGCCTGGCCGTTACGTAGTGAAGAGACAATACATCCGCCATCCATTACCATCGTACTACTAATGTCCATACTACTTGGCGGTGGAGATCGTTCCGGTATCAGGTACCAAGGTACCAGGTACTAAATTCGTTTTACATATAAATATTTATATATATAGTATATACACACACAAAAGTATGTATAATTGTTATATCCATAGGTCAGGAACGACCTGACTGACTGCCAGGCTGCCTGCCTGCCTGCCCAAAGTCACAAACTCACCGAGCCCACCTTTTATCCTGCTTTGCTGCTGCGGCTGCACTCTCTCTTTTTCCTTCTATCTCTCTATCTCGAGCTCGAACTCTCATAGAAGCCCAAGTGAAACGTTACTAAGTATTTACTCGAGCGTAATTTATATTATTACCGTAATTAATATAATATATAAATATACGTTTTATCAGTGCGACGTCACTCGTTCGCACGCGTACGATATAAAAGAAATTGAACGGAGAGACGCTTAATATCTCTTTTAAGAACAGTCAGCCAATTTTCTGTCTTCTCTCGAGATATGTACATCGGAGATAAGCAAAGAATGAGAACGTATCCACGTGGTTCCTTCATTGTCACAGAATTGCCGAAGGTCAGAGTCACGTTTTCTCGCGAGAAAACTATTTGCCCTCGGATATCTCGCTGTCGCGATAAATAATTCACAAGGTTGCATCGAGCCTGATATATCTTAAGTCCTATCTTATATTACCGTACCCTCGTGTAATTACCGCGACGGTGAATTCGCCATTCTAATTAACCAGGAGCGAAGACGAGAGAGGACATTTAAAATTGTACGATTGTCAGACGTGCGAATTAGGTAATTAATTGCTAATTAAAGAAGCGAACGAACGAGTGACGTTGTCGTACGCGCCAAGGAAGTTTAATAGGGGAATGCAATGCACATGATTATAAATAGCACAAATGAGAAGTAAAAAAAGAAATTTAAAGACAAACGAAGAATAACACCACTGTCTCCCTCTCGAAGTTTTGCGAGTGAATCGAGGGGGAGAAGTGAGGAGGAGGATGCGAATAAAAGATGAAAAAACAAAGAAAGAAATAAGAATAATAAAGGAATATAATGAATTAGCTGTATATTACGGAGGACAGGGCGAGGATTAATAAATTGAATGCTTAGAGAAGGTGGTCAGTGCGTGACGTAATATTTGTAAAGAAAAGAAAAAAAAATGGAATGAAAAAAAATGGTCAAGCCAATTTCCACAAGGATTTCCTTGACGTATCCATGGAATTCTCACTGGACATTCCCTCGTCGAATATTTTAGTCCTTTTATCGAAAATCGCCTGGTATGCCACTAAAGGCATACGGACTGCGCGGTGCCCCGACTCCTCGTTCATTTGTATTAAAACAAAGTCGAAGATAAGAGAATAAGAGTGAAGTGAGTGTTGATTAAAACTAGAAGCTAATAAGGAACAATAGGACGGAGGGCGATTAAAACCTAATTAGGAATTCTCGTATAAATACGATTTAGGTTCCTTCGAGTGTGTGTAAGTCTCACGCGAAATATTATCGGCGAGTTAGACGAAGAGGAGTACGAATTTCGTTATTCGTTTAAATATAATACTTAAATTAATTCATACGTATAAGTATATGGCTGTCAGTCCTATATACTCTCTAGTCAATGGAAAGATGTAACGATACCGATAGATATTTATACTGTCTTATTGCTGTACTAGAGAGTCCAGATGCACGATTATTAATATTACGTTTCTTTATTTACTTTCTTTATTTATCTCTCTTATTTTTCTTTTCTTATATTATCAATCGTGACACGCTCTCCTCTTCGTTACCTCGTCGACTATCATTGTAATCTAAGTTTTATCTATTTTTGCTGACTACTTTTCGACTCTTAAGCTATACTTCGGCTTTATGAATATCAAATGAGATATCGCGATGGTGCAGAATACTAAGATTCCTAAACTTCGATAAACTTTCTATGCCAAAGTAGGTGCGATCGTGTGTCATAGCTTTGAAAAACAAGAGCGAACAAAAGAAAAAATGATTGTACAGACTGGGACAAAAAAGGAAAACTAAAATATTCCTTTGTCTCTCTCTCTCTCTCTCTCTGTAACTTTCTGTTATCCTCTGTGTCGAATTGCGCGAGTGTTTCCGGTACGCCGTTATTTATTTCAATTGTGTAAAATGAAGATTACCGAATTCCCACGAATCTCGTAGGTTTATCCTTGTTTCTCGTTGTGTAACGTCGATATCTGTAAGACGATAAGCAAAATAGACCCTGAAACAGACTTTTGGCATAAAAGAGTTTATCCATATATCGAGGTGCGTCGGAACTGTATGAATTATAATATATGGGATCAAACAAGATGTTATTATACATAGAGTGTGTATGGGTGGCTGAAAACTTATCTAGTCATTAACGCTAAGGATAAAGTATATATTATAAATAAATAATTGAATACTCAGCCATCGCCAAGCCACCCTGAACTGATAAAGCGAGTGAAGCGTTAATTCGCATTCTTAATTCAAAAAGTAAAATGATAATAACAATAGCAGTTACATATTGACAACAGTCTCAAAGAGAGAAAGAAAGAAAACAAAAAAAAAAGCCTGCATTTAAATCCGACATACGTCCGCTCATCTTTTCTCTCGCTTTTAATTCGAATTTACAAGTGCAACGGCCACAGCGAAAAGTTGAAGAAATTAACACGTAAAACGAAAAGAAAAAGCCGAGGAACAAATACAAAAAGATAGTGGAAAACCTTTGTTTTTAATAATGCCATCCAGTCACCAATCGCAATCAATTTATTCGCTTCGTTACCAAGTTTCAAGAAAATTCTTCTGGCCCTTAAAAGAAAATAGAGAAAAGCACAAGACTAAGAAACGTGAGAAGTAGAATTAAAAGGAACTAAATGAAAAGGTCTTGCGTTTTCATCTCCACAAGCTGTCAGAGTTCTTAGCACGTGGACAATGCATTTCAGCCAACTGCATTCTGAACAGATATGCATATTGATTAAAGCCAATTGAACTGCGATTTTAAAAAATTCTAACAATTTACTAGGGTTGAAGAACAATTGAGACTGGAAAGAAATTTGAGAGTATGCACGTTGACGAGGGCGAGAAAGGGAAACGGGGTAAATGAAAAACAATTATTAAATGAGACATTTTACACGTTCGTAAGTGACACGCGCGACATACACACATACAGACGATATATACTTCTCCCCCATGGAGAATGAGATAATAAAGAAAAGGATGATTCGGTTGAAGAGAAAGAAAAAGTAAGAAGAAACAAAAATGACAATGCGTGAAAAGGGGAAAAATCGCCCACACTCGTACACGGAGAGCAAAGAGTAATTAATATCTTATAGATACATAAACTAGAGCTTGCGCTATAGCTTCACCCGGTCATGAGACGCACTAATGAAAGAAAGAAAAGAAAAAAAAGGAAAAAAAACGTCATGGCTAATCTCTATCAATGTTTGTGAGTGTAACATATAAGTTAAAGAAAAACGGTATTATTAATTACAAAAAGCTTAAGTCGAGCTACTGAATGTGTATATGGTTATACTATACTAGTCCATAACGAAGAAGGTAAACAATAAACTGTAATTTTGAATTCAATTAAAGAAACACGTTTTTTTCATTTACTTCATCTTGGCTTTAAACCTTGAAATTCAATATCGATCACTGTTCACACTACAGTGTTCTACAATAACGCAAGAGGGGAACGTTAATTGATAATAAGCCTTGCTTAAATAACCTAATTTATTGTTACAGGATAGTTACAATTTGAATTTTGAAAATTTTGAATTCAATTAAAGAAACACGTTTTTTTCATTTACTTCATCTTGGCTTTAAACCTTGAAATTCAATATCGATCACCGTTCACACTACAGTGTTCTACAATAACGCAAGAGGGGAACGTTAATTGATAATAAGCCTTGCTTAAATAACCTAATTTATTGTTACAGGATAGTTACAATAATAATAATAATTGTTATTATTATAATAGCGTCGTATGTGTGTCCGTGTCTCTCTGTGTCACCTGCAGTATGTATTATGTATTTATGTACGTACACTAGCAATGCGTTTTCAGATAGAAAACAAAAAAAATTCAAATTTGTTTCTTCCAACCACCCCTCATACAGCTCGGTTCTTTCAAGGTCTTTTTATTACATAAAAACTGCTCTGCCATTTACTCTGTCGTACATTTACATGTGTATATCCTAAGTGACAATCTTAAACGTAATTTCGTGTAATTCGAAGCTATTCGCGACACGAAGGAAGTAATTCGTCTTGCGAGACATTTTGTTACATTTTTTTTTGGACCTTCCCCTTCACCCTCCTCCTCCAATTCATTAGCTCCTACGTGTATCATTATATGTATTATGGACATAATCTTTTGTATTTTCTTTTGAAATACAGAGAAAATTATTTGTTTCAGTAGGTTTATTAGATAGAAATTAATAGAAGAAAACACAAGAGGGATTTGCCACTCTCTCTCTCTCTCTCTCTCTCTCTCTTAGGAATCGTGCTTTACCTTGGACTACTGTTCCTCGATCGCTTATAATTATTTAAGTTAATTAATTAATCGCCTCCAGTGGTCTCTCGAGTATTTTGCATCAGCTCTACTGTACGCGCCACTTAAGAACATAATAATCGTTTACAACGGCCACACATCCCAAAGCATGCAGTACAGAGTACATAACTTTTTAAAAATCTAGATTCATTCACTCTTGATCAAGATTGTCCACTAGCTCCTCTGACGCAGTTTCGATTGACAAATTGGCAATTGGCCGCGTTCGATTAAGTTGATATCGTCAGACTGAACATTAAATGTCACTGTTCTTATTATATTAGATATATTATAATGGATTCGCTGTTCGTTTACGATTATCATTATAGTACCACTACGTTTGTCAAGTAACGCCTGCGCAGTACAAGTTCCATTAAAAAGTTTGAATATTATCTATATATCTTTTATATCCACACTTTCGGATAATTATTTGACGAAGTTGATTGATCATTGTTTTTTCTTCCCTCCTGAATTTACGTGATATAAGTTTTTTCTTTGTTATCTTTTTGGGTCTACCAATATAATTATCCCAGGTTAGAGAGTTCTTTTTTTTACGTTTTCATTTTTTCTGTGTGCTTTTGAGCTTCAACAGCACTTTCGAAAAAGCTCGCAGGCAAATGTTCTCATCTTTGGTACACTAAGATTCTCAAAAGGCACCAGGCATTCGTGCGATATTTAGATAATGGAGAATTAAAAAGAAAGAAAATTGAATAGAAAAGAAACGCACAAGAAGTACAGTTTTCAAATCGGCGAAGCGTATCGGATAGAAGCGAAGCGTAACAAGAAATTTTCTATAGGTAAATGTATTTCGTTAATACGATTTTGTAATTAGGCATAAAACCGTTTCGTTAATGCACAAGAAACCATCACTAATCTTCTCTATCCCGTTTGTTTGATCGTAGCAATCTCATTTTCCTGACCACCGGACGAAGCCTAAACTGATCTAACGAAAACGACGACCGAGTCAAGGTTTCCAATAATTTTTCTAAATAAAAAAAAGAAGCAAGGTAACAAATATAAGGATACCTCAACCATAAGACATTACAACTTGTAAACGCACACTGGAGTTATTTACACATTGTCGTCGACGTAAATGCACAATAATCATTAGATTATATTTTCTTTTTTCGCAAATTGTTGTCAACAACAACAATCACTATGAAATCGTTATCGTTTTGGAATCCTGAGAAATCTACCAGTACCAAGGACTCTACGTAAGGTCAAGTGACCAAATTTATATAGAAAATCAAGACCAAAGAAATGAAATGGAACTAAATTGATAAAATCGCATATTATATTGTAATTGAAAAATTAAAAGAAAAAAGAATCCATTCGATCGAGTCTCAATGATCATGGCTATATAAGATATAACGTATCAGTAATATGCGATGGTCACGACGATAGTACTCTTAGAAAAAAAAAGATTTGTTTCCTTTATTGTATCTCAATAGCAAAATTGTCGACACAGGTGCAATGAATGTAGTGGTAGTAGCAGAAGTAGTATTAGTAGCGGCAGTAGTAGTAGTAGTAGTAGTAGTAATAGTACTAGTAGAAGGTAGCAGTATTGGTGGTAATTGTGGTACAGGTAATATTGCAGCTGCAGCTGCAAGTGTTTAGGTGTGGTGTGTGTCCTTTGCGATGGTTTCGACTGAGAGATACAGCAGGAGGTTCACTTGTCGGCACGGCGTAATGGAGGAGGATACCCATCTTCTTATATGAATTCTTATTAACCAGGATCGGCTGAGATCAGTTGTCCATCGCGAATCTACGGGTCCATTCTTTGGCGTTACGTATCGCTTCGCTTTCGTTGACCTTCCAGAGTTCAGCTACATCATTCGCCAGAGGGTCATCCGGATTTGGCGCACTCAGCAAGGCTTGTATTGAGAGGAGAACCGTTCTGATCTGAAGAGCAGGACTCCATTTGTCCTTCAGGATATCCAGGCAAATCCTGCCCAGTCTATCCGGTGAGATAGAAGACAAAAAGAACTTGATACAACACAGAGACTCGACAGCCATGTGCGACTTAGTGTACTATTTTTTGGTTGTGAAAAAAATAAACTAGGAGACTGTTAATTACTGCCATGGCGGAATCAAAAAGGAATGTATATACGCAGACTGAATATTTATGTAGTTTGATCATTGTATTTATCAATGACTTTGTTGAATCTTGTTTTGTACTGACAATTCTTTTGTTCGGTTTTTTTTTGGTTGGATTTCGTGCAGTAACGTGCAAGGAATGTTGTTTCTTGTTTAACTGTTGTACGCAGAATTATTTAGATTATTCTTTCGCGGTTTCTTATTCAACCATTTACCTGTCGATATTTGGATGATAGATTTTGGTAATAAATCTAACTTTGGGCGCAGACATAGGATAGTCCTCCGGTAGAAACAATTCGAGCTTGAAGAGTCCACCCTCGAAGGGAGAATCCTCTGGACCGGTGACGATCACGTGAAAGTACCTAGCGTTTGTATCATCCGGTACGGCGCTGATACCAGGAACCGGCTCTTGCATCAGTCTCTGAGTTTCCTTGATGATCCGACGGGGTAATGCAGTCATCTTTCCTAAATCTATGCCGATTTATGCCCTTAGAATTCTTTATGATACGATTGTCATCATTAATATTTTGACGAATATAAAAGAGATATAAGAAACGGGAGAAATGTCTTAAGCCTTTTCAGAAGTCTCGTAATACGAATACTTACAAGATAGTGAAGTCACTGTCTTTCAACTGTGTTGAACATTGTTGTTAATTAGATAGCTAAATGAGCATGTTCTTTGTGTATGATAAAAAATTCAGACGTAATGAAACAAACGTTTAAAAATAATTCGTGACCTGTGCAAGATTATAGGTAGTGCCAGATATCGACATTAGGAAGTAAATCACGAAACTGAGCAATAAAAATATAGATCATTGGGATTCATTCGACATCGAACAAAAGATATTTTATGTTGCGACGCGGGAGATAAAAGTGAACAAGTGCAATGCGTCCCTAATTTTTAGATGTTACTATAGGGAAATAAATAATAAAGAAGACAAGGGCATTGACATCAAAAACATCAGTAGCACGCAATAATTATGATGTGGGAGGATATAAACAAAGGAGGCCGGTGCTTAGAAAAATCAGTAAGGAGAAAAAAAAATAAAGGAATAATCCAAACCTTCAAATTGTCATGAATTCGACCGAGGCGACTAGAAACTTGAAAATGGCATAGAGTGTGAACCATTCGAGAAAATGAAATACGTACAATCGTCTAATCCGATGTATATTGTCCGCGTCAGCCGATTGAAAAAAATGTGTGGCAGTCAGTGGCTGCGATCCGGTGCCCTCTGTGTTAGTCTTCCTTCTTGAGCAAAGCCACCTCCAGGGGAAACACAATCACACGGAAAAGTGAGAGAAAAAAACTGTCTACGGCGAGAACTCGCCGCTATTATAACCTCTTGCTTATCGGCTACGTGAAAGCGAGTACGAATATCGTGTTGAGATTCTACGAGCAAAGCCCAAAAATACACCTGCCAAATGCTAATTTAATTTTCACACGTAACGCGTGTGTTGTATCCTTCACAGCCGTTTTATCCGATTCATTCTTCTGCCGCTAGATAGCGTGTAAGATGATACTACTTGAGTCAAGCTAACATTTTAGTTGTCACCGACATCATAAATTCTTGAAAAATACAACATATATTCGACTTTAGTTACTATTCTCTTAAAGTTCTTTTATTACGTTCCCATTACGACTCATTCGATTGTATACAGAATAATATTTTAGGATTCCCAATATGTTAGTACACACAATCTCTACACAAGGTATGCTAGTCATGACTGTATGAGCATTAGTGAATTTAACTCTCGGTTACTCTCGGTCTTTGTCTTGAAATGGCGGATAGTCCTACGTGAATCAAATATATTTGAATCATCATAAAAATTCTTATTGTAATCAAAGTAGCTGTATAACTATGCGTTAAATCGTTTCGAAAATACACGAAATTCAGTTAACTACGATTATATTCCAGAAATTGAACATATATTTTTATAAGATGCCTACAAATTTCAACATTTTCTGACGTTTAGGTAAAACATAAAGGAACTATAAAACAGTGCTGCCAACCATTAGGATATGTACGTGAAAACGAGTTGTCGTTTGTCTTGTCAAATGACATGTCTCGTTTATGAAAATGTTTTCTCGTGTTGTCGTCGCATAAATGTATTTTATACGACAATTTGGGTCCTACCGTAAATCCGCACGCACCAAAGGTTCGTCTCGGTCTAACCTATAGCAGATTATTATAATTAAATGTTCTTCGTTTCTGTTTTAGGAGATGCAATAATACGTTACTTTGTTTGTTTTTGTTTTTTCGTCTCATATTTTGCAGGAGCATCTTAAAATATTTTTTTCATGTCCACATTAAGTGTAGATCGATGCTTTTTAATCCGGTCACTCACGATAAAATATCTAATATATTAATATAATCCTTATGCCGTTTGTTACATATTGACATGTTACTATGGTAGAGTATGACATTTTACATTATAGACAGCATAACCTTAAAAATGTCATTGTCAGGAAGGTGATGACATATTTCCATTGACATTAGGCCTGTTTTTGACGCATATTGCGTCGTTAATAAATCATTGTCATTGTTCTACTGTATCTCAGGGAATCGATGATAAATATTTTTTAAATTGTGGATACGTAAATAAAAATCATTTTCTCGTACAGTAACTTGATTATCGTCTTATCAGAAATAGACTGCGATAAGTAGCCTTCGTTTAATAAATTCTGTTGTTATACTAATGATAAACTATATACATGTTTACCTTCAATCATCTTTATCATAAATGTCTGACATGTGATTTATTGGTACCGTCATGGTTGTCATTATTACGCGCGGGGAATATTATTAAAATATTTTGAAAATTGTTATTGTATTCTTTTAAAAAAAATTTAGTGGCATTTTTTTACCCGTGTAATTCAATCGTTTAATAAAATATAATTTAGTCAAGTTCATCTTGTTCTTGCTTATTCAGGTTTATGTCAGTATTGTAATTAATTTTGTGTTGACGTTGAACGAATTAATGTATTCTTTCTAGGACCAACGCGAAAATGGCCGACGTTCGATTACTTATACAAGAAGAGGGTCGAACAGCTCGTAATTTAATAGCATTCAATGTACCAGTCAGCACAAGTAATACAGAAAAGGTCACACGAAAACCACCGAGTGTGCCAAGGGTCGTTCAGTCGGCAACCATGAAAAGATCCCTAAAATCAACAGCAAGAGTTCGATCAGCATCAACAGGTCGCGATAAGAAATCTGGTATTTAATACATGTTTCAATAAAAATTCATATTTACAGTCACATAATCCGAGGAATATTTATAATTTATGATTTGTCTTTTTATCCGTTATAGAATTGCAAGCGAGATACTGGGCTTTCCTGTTTGGCAATTTACAAAGGGCTGTGGATGGTATTTATCAAACATGTGAAGAGGATGAGAGCATTTCAGAATGCAAGGAAGTAATCTTGGTCTTGGAGAACTACACACGAGATTTTCACAATCTTATAGATTGGTTTAAAGTGAAATGGGCTTACGAAAGTTCACCACCTCCACTGCGTAGAACACCCTTGGCATGGGAGGTCAGGAAGACATCACCGTGTAGAACATGGAGTTCATCAGTTGTACCAAGATCCTCATCGAGTCCTACAGGATCCTCTTGTAGAAGTCCTGTGGACCAGACAATTGTGGAAAATAGGACTATGATGGATGAATCGGGTCATAAGACTATTAAAGATAATAAGAATAATGTATCCAGAAATGATTCACAGAATCTTAAAGACAAGTGTCGTACTCTTATTGAACGTAGTGGTATCAATAAAACTAATAAAGGTAAATCAGTATCAACAAAACTCGTGGCAAAAGCTATATCAAAGAAAACTGTTGGTACTGTTACCGAAGTTTGTGGGAAGTCCAACAGATCTAGAAGTACTAATGGTGAGGATAACCGGGAACTCTCAATTTTTGTGCAATCCGTCCAGAATTGTGAACATAAAGCTCACTTGGAAGAGGAGTCTGTAATTAACGAGGAAAGAAAGAAGAATGACGATGAATGTAGAAAGAACAAGGAGTTCGAAGCAAAGAAAAATGCAATTAATTCTAATGTTAATAGTGTCATAAAACCTTTGCCTTTAAATATGTCAGTTAATGAAGACAGTAACTCGGATACAGAAAATTCTCCAAAGCTTAAAGAGATCCCAAGAGCCTGTAGAAATAATGAGAAAATTTTGGGATCAAACGGTGGAATAATTGGAAGTAAAGAGAAGAAAGTCATTCCAGAAAATAGAGCTGAAAACAAGCCTTCTCCTTGTACAACTACGTGTAACAATAAGTCTCAGCCAAAACCAACTCCTGCAAGACCAGCCTATGCAACAGTTTCACGTATGAGGCCATCGACAACTCAAACAAGTCAGAACTCTAGTTTACAGGTCCCTAAAATGATTCGCAGTAAAACCACTCTGGGTGTGAAGTCCAGTACTCACAGTAGTAAAGTGCGTCCAGGAACTTCAGTGATAGTACGTAGAAAAATACAATCATTACCAGCAAGTGAAAGGATTACGAACTCTGCAAAGTGTAATCAGAACAAGGATCTCAGTGGTTCGGTAGAAGTTCTTACAAAACAAAATAGCAAGCCTAAGTTAAAGGATGATGGGGAGGAGGGTTGGCAAACTGTAAGGAGTCGGTATCGGCGTGGCAGTACTCATAATTTAAATATGGCTACTCGATTTCACAAACCAAGTACAGCGACCTCATTACCAGCCCTGTGCTTGGATGGCTCCTCCGATAAATGCAAAAGAAGTTCCTGTACAACAGAAGATAGAAGACAGAAGAGGAAGTGTCTAACCGGGAAAGCTGGAAAGAACATGAACAACGAAGTCGAGAAAGTGAAAGATTCGAAAAGTAAGGATGCTCTGAAGACACTAAAGAGTGATGAGAAATCAATCACTGTGAACGATACCAATTCTACATCCATGATAGCAGCTGTGTTCAAGAGCGAGGCTGAACTCTTGGAGAAGAGAATTCAGTTGTTCATCGCTGCTCAGGCTGAAAGAGAACGGATTATCCTTGAAGAAGAACAAAAGAGAGAAGAGGCTGATTCACAGAGGTCTCAACAATTATCTGAAGAAGAGGCTTCGTTGCAGAGACAAATTTTGGAGCTAGAGTCGACGGAAATAGACATTGACACAGAAACTGATGAGACCGACGGAGAGATGGTCCTGGAAATTGAAGGAGACGAACCAGAAGTGTCACTTGACGATAGCACAGACGACATTAGTTTAGAGGATAGGTAAGTTACGATAAACGTCATATCTTCATAAATTACGAATGCAGAATATACAACATTTATTTTTACAGGTATGAAAATATGCTTGAAGGTATGTCTTGGGCTGAACGCGTGGATACCCTTGCTCAGTTACAAGCATTAGTAGCTCGACATCCAGGAAGAGCTCTAGAGCTTCATCAAAAGCTTTCATCACCATCCCGAAAAAGATCGTTGCCGGAAACATTGCGTCGTTATCAAACAAAGCAAGCCTGTGCCCAGCACAAGCGTCAGAAGCTCCTTATGGAAAAATCTCAACGTTTGCGAGAACTTCTCAATAAGGTAGAGGACGTAAAAAGCGCCAAGAATCAATTGATAGAGGACAAGAGACTGAGAATGGAGATGAAGCTAAAGAGAGCAGAGGAGAACAGGACGCAGCATCTACTGGAAATTGTGAGAAAAGCTCATGATGAGGATTCCAAACTTAAAGAGATAGCTTTCATAAACGAACTGGAAGCACAAAACAAACGTCATGACTTCATAGCACTTTGTCAAGAACAAGAGGAGCGTCTTCAAGGTATCCAGGAAGAGCGACAACGTCGCCAGGAAGAAAAAGCTGCAAAGGAAGCCGCTGCCGAGGAACGCAGAAGGGCTTTGGAAGTTGAACGACAATTGAGAATTCAAAAAATGCGCGAAGTCCGACGTGAAAGAGAAGAACGTGTCGGCAAGATGCAATTGGAGCGTGAAAAGGAACGTCAAGTAAGTATAAGAAACAGTGAACTTCTCTATTTGTTTTATTATAAGCTCATTTAATTTGACGAATTCTTGGTTTAATTCAGGAATTGGCCAGAGAGAAAGCTCGGGATCGCGAAGAACGCCTCTCGGCGTTACATGCTGCTCAGCTAGCCAATCAGGAAGAGCTCCAGAAAAAGATCGCACAGAAGCAACAGGAATCTGCCAGAAGACATGGTGAAAATATTGAGCATATTCGACAGCGGGCTGTAGAGTCGTCCATTTTGCGTTCAGAAGAAGTACCACCTACATTAAGATCTTATCCAGTGCAGAAACAATGCTCCCTGTGTGGTACACTGGTACGTGTATTATTTTTCTTTTTATTGATAAATATATGTAATATGTATCTAATAAATTGATATTTTAATTCATAGATTCCAAATGAGGTCTACCTACTCAGTCATTTAAAGAGCAAATTGCACGCGGATGCTGTGCGAAAGATGCATGACGGCCGTGAACCGCCACGAGATGAATTACAGAGATTTAATATTGCACAGATAAGAGATATGCCTGTATCGTTATCGAGTAACGATGAGAATAAGGCTGCCAAAGAAAAACAGAAAGCTTCAAAGAGAAGGAGTAGGAAAATGAAGCAAAGGATGACTTTACGTGGACAGGAGTGGATGGACTCGCAAAAGATCGTGAGTTCACAGTCGCAAGTGGAATCTGCTAATAAGGCAAAATTTCGGCAAAATCTTAAAGAGTTGTCGCGACTTTGCAATAACCACGGGAAAGGCAATTGGTCCGTTGTTGCGTTGTCACGTCTCGAGCGCTGTCTGGGAGAAATTGATAGAGCCTTTTCCAAATCCGTAAGTATCAGTCAATCCACTGAAGCCAGATAAAGAAGTTTGAAAGTCAGTTATATATAAGCTTGTTTTGTTTACAGTGTGCGTCTGATCAAGAAGCCTTCAATTCGTTAAACGGCTTTGAGACTTTGTCAAATCTACTGAACCTGGGTTTGAATTTGCAGAACAACTCACACAGCCTACCGGATAAGTAAGTGAATAAATTTTCTTGATATTAATAGACTGAATATTTCAAATTCTGACAATTATTTTACTTTTTCCAGAAATATCGTTTCGATATGCCGTGCATATCGATCAGCGATTAATGGCAACATGAACAGCATCAAGATGGTTCTCCTCAGCAATAAAATTTTGGTGATCATGGATTTGCTCCTGCAACGGTTAGAGGTATGTACAATTTTTAAAAATAATTTTCGAAACATCCAGTCATTAAAGAGTTACCGGTAACGAATCGATAGTCGATAAAAGTAGATTTTACGGAACAGAAAAACTGGGAAAACCATAGTCTCGATAGGTAAGAAAATTCTCTGGCGTCTTTACGCAATTCCCATATCTAGTACGCACGAATGACCGTCAGATTGTGTGATGTCGCCACATGTTCCTGTATGACTTGACGTGTGATACAGTTTCGGAAATCGGAGTGGCGGTTAAATTACTTTTTAATACGGCGCGTGCGCTCATGTGTCACCGTAAGAGAAGAAAAGGATAATAAAAAAAAAGAAACACGCCTCCTACATTAATCCAGGCTTAATAAGCGACGCGTAGACAATGCTCACTGACCGGACAGGCAAGTTAAAACCAGCATATTAAATACGCACCAATGAGCGGCCATATATTTCTTTTATTTATTTTCTGATCACCTCTCGCCGTGCAAGTTCAGGTCTTTCCGCGCGCGCCGTTATTTGTCATTCGAGTTTTATTTATTCTTTCTTTCCCTCATCTTCTCTCTCTTTCTCTCTCTCAACCATCTTTTATCTTTATCCCGTCGTCCTTCTCTTGGCCTCTCTTCTTTCTGAGCCCGGATAAGCGCGAGTCTCACTGTCAGCCTGTCCTTTCTGTCCGCCCTGTCAAAATAAGGATTAAGCGGGTTCTTAGGACCGATTTCACCGTGCTGCCAGGCCTCCCGGATTCCTGACCAGGTCCTGATTCCTAACCGGCCACGACGACGCCGCGTTTGACCATGTGACACGCGCTCTTTTCGGTGGGGATTCTCTTTCTTTGTAATCGCCTCCGATTCGTCTCCTTTATCTCGACTTTCCTGTCATACAAAAAGAGAAAGGGACATGCATTAAAAGAAGAAAATTTCAAATAGTTAAAATAACGGTTTCTCACTCACTAAGCGAAATATCTTTATGTATTTAAAATTTTCATACATATACGCATACGGTGATTAGAAACCAATCCTTCCTGCTGGATGGCGCTAGTATCGCTGTAATGCCGAAGTTCTGGCTTGGTTCTGTCAAAATGAGAATATGGTGCGGATGCCAGAAGATACTGGAATTACAGTACAGCAGAGATACACGAAAGATTTCAGGAGCGTCTCTCTAACATTTTTCACAAAAAAAAAATAATAAAAATTATCTTATGAAAGTATTTCATGAATTTCTGTGATAAAAATTCCTGATAAATTTTTCACTGAACATACCGCCAGCATCTTTTCTTTTATATGTAATTTATTTTTTTTCCTCGTAAAACAATCCATTCATAACTGCGTTTAGTAACTTTCAAGACTGTCAGACTCTGAGGATGCTGGATACATTATCCGTTTCTTTTGTTTCAACTGTCAATGATGTTTCTCATCGGCCTGAGATTTCTGTCGGGGTACCACTGTGTCTTTTGCGTTTCATTGCTACGCTCCTGTCTCCCCCTGAACTTCCCCCTGCAAATGCATTAGCGGCGAGAGAGCTTTTAGTGACGTCACGCACGGCGCACACAGCCACGCTCGTACTCTCGGAAGCGTAGAGAAAACCGAGAGCAAGAGAAATGGGAAGAAAAAGGAACAGGAAGAAGGGGCGAGGGAGGGAGGGAGGGAGAGAGAGAGAGAGAGAGAGAGAGAGAGAGAGAGAGAGAAACATTCATGACGAAGAGAAATAGAAGAGAATCGTTTGCGAAACTCTTGGATACTTTTGGCATTATATATTCGCGGAATTTTCGGATAAATTTTTATATATTTTTAATTTTTCTTTATTTTTAATCTACTTGAAAAAATTTTTTTGTTACTATTCACCCACCGTATAGTCTCAATAAAATTATACCTGTACGCGTCATACAATGATGTCTTAGCAGTCAGTAAATATATAGATTACATGCATATCAATATAGCGTACATGAATATCAATGACCGACCATATTTCTTTATTTACGTTTTATATTGACCGACCGTAATAGATTTTCTGGAACGAAATAAAAAATGCCAAGTCCTGTGGCATTATTAGAGATCTAGTATAAGGAAAATTGGAGTTTGGACCATTGGGCAAAGAGATGCATCGCCCAGACTTTCCCAGCCGGAAACGTATTTCCAATCTCGTAGGAGTCGGAGGGCTGCGCGAGGTCCAAAACAAATTTACAATTTTCTCATAAAAACCAACGTGAAATCGAGCGTGCGGTCCGTGGAATTTCACGGCGGGGATAGATTTGCCAATTTACTTTAATATTCGTCCGTTGCACCGTAAGCGGTACCAGCCAACAGTAAATGCACAGAAGGTAGATTAGTTTGAAAAGATTGAAAAAAAAAAAGAAAAAAAAAAATTAATTCAACAAGAAAAAAAATATATATCTGTATACATTAACTTAAAAATATTCTTCAACGTCCGCAGATATTCACCAGTCAGGACGATCAGAGTCAGATGCAAGAAGTTACCGGAAATGCAATTGGCAGTGCATCCGTAGTGACAGCCGCTATGCAACTGTTGTGCAGTTTGGTTCCGGCAAAGCCCATTGAGAATGCAGCAGTGCAAGCGCGTCTTCAGGACGTCGTTGGGTAAGTAAATACATTGCAAGTACAAAGTTAACCTCCTTGTCGCAAATGCAATTGCAACTGTAAGGAACGAATTGCTTGGTTCCCTGCAACTGCACAATACACTACAATACATTGCGTGTAGCGATACTTTGCAGGTAATAGAATTAGACGGTGGCAGGTACCAATGACGTCGCTTTTACGAACCCACCGTTCCCTATGGGAAAGAAATATAAAGTGCAAGGAGGAAAATGGATATGAAGATGCGCCAAGACCACCCTGGATACCATTGACAGAATGTGAATCCTCCTTGCCAAGTCGTACAGGCGGTTGGATAAGAGCCATTCTGTTTTCCTTGGATCACTCGATCTCCCATGGCACTCTCATGACGACACGTAACACCTGGGTCAACTTCCTCCTCGTGGACCTCCCAAAGTCTTCTGGAGGAACCCTTTCGCTGATCGTCCTTCCGGTAACGGGCCTTTCCTGTTCCGTGTCTCTAGACTCGTTGCATCTTATTTTCGTACTGGAAGAAAAAATAATATAATTTGTTTTTTTTTCTCTTTTTTTTCTTTCCATAAAGATTCTTATGCGATCCGGCCAGAATATATTGGACTATTGCTGCAGGGCGAACGTCGACGTCGCAAGAGAAACCACCCTGATTAATTTCCTGTCGGACTGCACATAAAATACTCGCGAGTCACGCTTTCGCAGTGGGTTGCCTGCTGCCTGTTACTTCGACGCTCGTTGCGTTACGTTGCTGTTACGTTCAAAACGTGTTAACCCCCCCGTGTCCACGAGGTTAACACCGACGCCGCGATCGATCATCAAGCTCTAATTCCCAGCCCTGCCTTGCAGCCTGCGACTCGTGGGCTTTTAAGTTAGTCCTGGAAGAATGGAAATCTCAGCAGCGTTACCGTGCAGTGCTCTAAAGCGTCTAGGAAACGAAATAGTATTTAAGTGACAATTATAATTTTAAAAACTGATCGCAACGACGGCGAGCGTAGAGAGGGATAAAGAAAAAGACACTGCACAAGGTTTTGTAACAAAAGACAAAAGCAAAATGCCGCTCTCAAGTCGCGCAGAGTGTTTGAGTAGTTTGGAGTGCCAAGGCGCCATTTTTATTGCGCTTTTATTTTTTTCTGAAGTGCGTCGTCGTCGAGTACGCCTATCGTAACCGTAGCCTGCTATTCAGCGTCGCGACGCTCACGGTAAACTCCTGCCGGCTGTCGAGGGGGTGCCAGTTCATAAAACAACAGATGTGCCCTAATATGATAAACAGATAATGAATCTTGTGTGCTCACCAATTCTCGCTTATCCGACTGACGGGCAAAGGCTGGTCAGACACTCCATTATACACTGTACGTTCAGTGTTTAGTGTACTTAGAAGTTTATATACTTATAATAGGTATGGTCATAGTGGACGGGAGAAAAAAAACACAAGCCAAATAAAAAGACCATGCGGCAAGTGTTCCGCAGCCCCTTTGCGGCATCTCGGCTTGACAGTGATAATCAGGGCTCAGAAAGCAATCACGCAGATAATTGCCAGGAGAGAGAAAGAGAGAGATGGAGAGAGGCTGCGTTATGGGAAAAATCATCTGGTAAACACTCTCAGTGCTAATCCTGTCGTTTCATCGAATTACTCCATTTTGTCTACTCTAAGACTCTGTCTCTGGCTCTCTCTCTCTCTCTCTCTCTCTCTCTCGCGCTCATTTATACCAGTTCTTTCATCTCTCGTTCTCACTTTTGGCGTCCTTGCACCGTCTCCAACTCACTTTACTCACCGCTTTTAATCGGCACCGGGATCAACCGAGTAATTGATCAATTATTTAAGAGAGACCCTCGAGCACGTTCTGTTCGATGATCACGATATATATATATAGATGGAAATTAATTTGTGCGACTTTCAATTTCATTTGTAATATTAAATTTATTAATTATCCTCGTGCGATATACAGACATACAGGTCGGTACTGTTTAGGCGTAATTAGTACATTGTGATATACGAATACGTGGACAGTACCACGTCCTTTGTTTCGCGTAGCCGTTTCATATCCGGCTATTCGACAGCGAGTGTCTCAAACGTTACGTTACATTACTTGTAATCCTCGAGGAATTAATGTATAAGGATGTAAATCGATTTTCGCGCTGTAATAGAATTTTCTTCTATGTGCGCGTACAGCGATACGCCCGTCTGGCAAATAGATACTGACTAGAGCTTTCAGTGCTTGCCAGTAGCTTATTACCGAAAATGAAAGGGCTTTACTTTAGTCGCGTACGTGATTAAATCAGAGTCGCGCGAAACGAGGTTAGGCTGAGATGCGGTGTCTTCTTCCTTTCTCGCTCTCTTGCCTTCTGGTTTCCATCGTGCGTTCGCACTCGCACTGCGGCACGTCATAGGCCCCCGGCTCTCAAACCGTCGGAAATCTATTTTATTAATAACGACGTCCCTGTTTGATCTGATAATTTCATTTTTCTTCAACGAAAGAGAGGAGCGAGCACTTTTTATTACATTTTTACTAGCATCGACTCTCTGGATATGAAAACAGGTAAAATTTTATTTCGCCAGACCTTGACAGGAAAATTTCAAATTAATTTTTTTTACTCAAAGTTTCGAATATCACAAAATATATGTTATTAATTAAGATTTTTATGGACATACCTTTTTACGTTTTTCGCATCCACAGACAACTTTTATTTTAAAGATTTAATTTGTTGCGTTACAATGCAGCGGCTGTGATCGATTGCGGATGTAAAACTTGTTCGCATTAAAATTCGCGTCGCGCAGGATTTTGGATTTCAAAGTAATGCGAAGGCATTCGGGAGGGATATGCTATACAGGGCCTATACGTAAAATGCATAAACCCGTAAAGCTTCCGTGGTATATATAGGCGGTATATAGTAGCGGTACTACGAGAGACCGTAGGAGGGTGGCTTTTCTACGGGGTTTGTACGGCTGGGTCGCGAGAGGGTAGCTACACCAAGAGAGAACGAGCATGAGTCAAAGAGGATAGAGTGAGCGAGAGAGAACGAGAGTCCATTAGCAGATTACGTAGCCACCCGCTTCGCTCATTCACCCCCGTGATGTTTTTCCTACCCTTCCTACCCTGTCCGGCTCACTCCCTGCCAACACGGACGAATTCTCGGGCTCTCTCACCCTTATTCTGACGACTTCCATCCCTCTTATCCATCGTTCTTTTTTCTCTGCGTCGTATACCTATACCCATTCGAAAACCCTTTGTGCGTATAGACAGGGAGAGGGGGTTAGGATCGCCTAGACAAAAATTCTTGACACCCTCTCGCGAAAACAAAAAAATCTTAAAGCTTACCAACTTTCTATCCCCCTAGTACCCATATCCTTTATTTAAACCTCGAATAAATAACTTCTTTAACGGGTCATTGAGGTCGTCCAGATCTTAAAGTGGTCATCGACTTCCGTCATATATATAGTATATATAACTTGGTGCTAAAATCTATTTGAATTGGGTCCAGGTTCCCGCCACGAGTCCACATCCCCTATTGGTCGATGAGAGTCGAGCGGAGTATTTCCCGTTGGCTGTCCTGCAAAAATTTTAGTTTCACCAGTACCAATCCGTATATCTATATATATCGGTGTCGACGTACTATTGCGCTGTCGAAATCCTCGCGTGAATGCATTACGCGTCAACGAATCACGAGTAGCAATATCCTGACCGTGCCAGACGTTAGAGTTCCGGATTATAATACATTACCAATTCCACGAGTCTGCCCTTCCCTACTGTAAGCATTACCGACTATGTTTCACCATTTCACTCGTATCGCATCTCTGTCCTTTCATACGTCACATAATACTCTGACCCTCATCTACGAAGTCACTCGGTGTTACCTGACGAGTCGTTCCTCCGGAATAATACACTAAATATACCGTTAACTCGACCCGTGCACGCTTTTATTTTCACTATTTGGAACCCCGTTCGTTGTATTCAACTCAGTCGACACGTCGTCGATAATCACCTCAGGTTTGCCAGCCGACGCCGTCGTGTACGATCATACAATAATGCGTACATAATTATTCCGCGTGTTCTCTTGTTCTAGAGTTAGTTGTAGAAGAAAATCGTAATTACGCGCGGGATCTTAGGGACTTTTCGTTTGTTGTATAATCGCGCTGAGGTTTCTCATTGAACCTTTCAGATGGCGCCACTTTCGTTCGATAGTAATGGCGGTGATTGTCAGTCTCGTTAACGCAGTGAGAATATATGCAGCCGCCTGGCGTTACTTCTACTTACCGGAATCCTGCCGCCTGATCAAACACTCCTGTTCGTTAGATCCTTTCCCATTCGGATTATCGCGCAATCGTCATTATGCCCGTCGCTCATGCAAACACACTTTTCTTGCCGCGTTCGGCGTCGCTGACAACTACAGCCTTTAAGCCGCTGAACTGTCAACAATCAGATTCGCTACTTTAGGTTAGCTACGTAAGTACTAACTACTGTTTGACCGACCAGAGTTATGCGTTACGGTCAATGTTTATAGTGTAAAGGCTATGTCTAGAGGTTAGAGGCCGTCTCATCGTGCGCCGGCTGGACGTACGTCTCCCACGGGAGTGAATCACTGCTGGAAGCACCGGGCTGAGACAGCTGTACAAGGAGCATCTGCTTGCCAATTCGTATCCTTGAGTAATACTCTTACTTGGAACTCGGCACCTGGTCTGGGTCATCGTGAAGTTTTATGATCTGATTTAGATTTTTAAACAATTATTTCTACGAGCTATGATCGTTTAGGTTGCCGTATGATACTTTCTGGCGAATTTTACTCTCTGTTATTGTGCGTATACATATATATATATATGACAGTCAGGATATCAGAGACAGACTGGCCTATATCTAGTTACCATTGAGTTCATGGGAGTCCTTGTTCACGGGGTGAGTAGTGATACTGTAGTGTCAGGCAATGGGGATGCTAGAAAAAGCACAGTGTAATGGGGGATGAAGTGGAATGGCGAGGGGTTTAGCCTCGCTAAAATTCTAGGGACAGGAGAGACACTTGTCAGTAGCAGGCAGGAGGTCGGTCATACTATAGGGGTGGAAATGCGGGGAGGATTCTGTAAATATTGTAACAAGTGTGCCGTCGCCGACGCTTCTTATCCTGCTCCTCTTCTTCGACGTTCTCGTTGTCACCGTCGGGGCCGGCTTACAATCCTGAGGACTCTGACAATCAATATCGTCATTCGCGATTCGCCCTAAGGAAACTTCTTTAGGTTAAGCCTAGCTGAGACTCTTCGTTCTCACGTGCACGGCAGCTCTCTTACAATAGTTGAAACTGTCACTTTCAGATATGTAACTGATTTTTTTTTTCACTGACTGTCAATATTTAAAAAAGTAAATCACTATAGAACTATAATGAATTTTTTTTTTCAGCTTCAAAATTCCATGTTACACGCTCTTTTACTGAGCTAAGGCGCATAACAAAGTGTTATATGCAAGGACCGTATGCAATGGTAATTAATAGTGAGGTACCTAGCAGCAGCACCTAATACCAGTTGATAATAACAGTAGCAATGGCATAGTAGACCAAAGCAGGAAGTCCGATCCGATCTTCACGCACGTCTGCGCAGGGGGCATCATCGCCCCGAGATTGCGATCTATCATTGAATGTTTGCGGGGCTCCCGGCAAATACATTGAATTTATTTATTATTCTCGTCCCTAGATTCACCCTTGGCCGCCGCCGCTCATACTGCTTGGTTACCACCCTTCGAGCCGCCACGCCCGGCCTGGCAATCACTACCCTTGGGCCGCCATTAGCTAACCATATGATTATTTCATAGTGCCCCCGTGGGGTGCATATCTTTACGCTCCTGGGCCATAACCGACCGGGTGCCAGGGTCGTGACAAAAAATGGGCGGCAATTTGAAAAATTGTGAAAAAAAAAAAACTTTCACATACCCGCCGATATATGGTGAATTAGCAAAAAATTCAAATTTCGCCACGAGGAATCATCACTTTTGCCGGAGTCGTTGATGACGTCGTGAAATCCCTCGAAGGGATTTACAGCAGTGCATAATGAGGTTATAAATAGGGGCGGAGAGGCTAGTGCTTGGTACGCGTATGCGCATAAACCCCCCTATCCCTCCGTATAAGCCTGTTTTGGATTTCTATAGAGTGGCTCACGAGGGATGCCTGTTTCGTGTACTCAAAGATTCACGTATAACGTATACGAGGAGAAGGACGCACGTAGGTACACGCGGACGGAGTCGGCTGATCCCGACAAGTGCCACTGCCATAAACGTCCTAATACGGGGGATCAAATAAATTCTCTAATAAAATGCGCGCGAACGACTCACGAGAATTGAATCAGTGGGTAGCACTTTCCGGGTCCCTTAGTTTTCTCAATGGAAACTGATGTTACAAGGCTCCATGGCGTGTAATAACAACGTCCAATCGTCGTGGGGTCGTATCTGGCAGCGATAAAAAAAAAAGCATACCAATAATATATCCATGCACGTGGTAACCGATCTATAAAGTTAAAAATCCCATAAAAAAAAATAATACGATAACACCTCAAAGAGACCACTGTCTCTTGCGTTAATGGTTTGTGAAAAGCCAAAAAAGGTGTACACGTGCCCGCGTCGTATATACCCATTACAGCCCATGGCTTTGGAGATCACTCAACGGTGCTATTCCGTGGTCTTGTACAGGAACGCGCTATACGCGTCCAATGGATTCCACGTTGTGGCTCTCGGAGTCTGTGGCACGCGACAGAACTTTTCTATTATCGCCGAGGCCGCGCGTGGGCTTCGCTTCGGAGCTAGTTATGATTAGACGCGACAGTTGGCCAGGAGTGGTGTCCCATAGGTTTTCCCCATGGCACTACGGGGGTCATGGGTTGTGTTGTGTAGTGGGTTCACTGGGTGTGTATGCGCTTGTGCGAAGGAGGCAGGGGGAGTGGAGGGCGCGTGTCAGTGCGTGTATCGGTAATACGCACTGACAGGGACGTACCTACCCCCCCTCGTGCCAGAGGCAAAAACACCGTAGAAAAGGATGGAAGAGAGAGATATATTCAAACGGGAGAGAACCCCGTGGCAGAATGAGCAGTTCTCTCGATGGTCGGGGGGTTCATGGGTGATGGAGTGACCGACGTTGCATGGGGAAGAGTAGAATTTTTATGGGGCTCGGGCCCCGTACGCAGAATTACCCACTGATGTTATAATCCTCTCGTGTTACGCCGTCACACATGCTCTCCTGTAAGCAATAGTGTTTTTTTTTACCCTGCCCACTCCACCTTTATCTCTGTTATGGGGACCCATGGGGGGTCTGCCCATATGCACACTTGCCTGCCTACGGGATGCACCCGGTGTACTGAATTCTTACTTTTGCGTTTTACAATTTTCTCCGGTTTATTATATCTCCCGGGACTTCGTTTTCTGTTTCAGGTACCTCGTTTCCGGCGGTATGGTCGAACGCGTACACGGGCACAGCCGTGCGGCCGTGGAGACCGATTATCTGCTAGATCAGGATCACGAGTCGTCGTTGCTGAACTCGTCCTACGAATTGCTATCGCGATTCTGCATTCAACTCAAGGCTGATAATTTACATGCGGAGGCTGGTGCATCGGAACAGACCTCGTCGAGGGTGCATCTGCTTGGGAGCCTATCGTCCACCGAGGCCGCCGGCGCAGTGGGCGCGCTTTATGCAGTTTTGGCGCTGACCGGTCAAAATCAAAAGGGCGTGTCTCCGATACCGAGCCAGACGGGACCTGGGTCACCCGCCAGGATCTTGGCTAGCAGAGGACTCACTCTTCTCAGGACAATGGCTGAACTGGATCTAGATAAAGTTCAAGTAAGCCTTAGGTGATGCCGTTGGCGAAGGAAGATGAAGAAATTGAGGGATACGCCACTGGGATAAGGAAAATAGTCTATTAAGTAATTGACTGCTGATGTATCACGTCGTACGGATTCACCGGGTCAACCCTTCTGGGCTACTGTAGGATGCGAACCCTTTCGTTCGCCACTTCAGGACGTCCCGTTCGTTTATCCTCTCAAGGATACTTAGCTGACCCCATGAACCCGCATGGAATACGGAAAACCCATTGACAGGAGACTCACGAGCTCCGCGTGCCTATTTAATGTGAGATCATTCAGGTTCTGGATAATGGTAAAGGGACATGCAGAAGAAATTTACACCCTCCAGTTGGTACCGTTGATACATTTTTTTTTTTTTTTTTGGTAGGTGCAACCTCAGGGCTGGTACCACCTAACCATTAGCCAGACGGGCATAGCGAATGTGATAGAGATATCGCCTTGGCGGGGGGTTGACAGAATCAAATGGGGGTTTGCGCTGGCCAAACCACGAATTCAATTGAAGCGCCACCTCGCGCCCAGCCGTACCCTCCTCATAAAACCATCATGGTCGCTCCCGCTAGGGACCCGTCGGGTCCCACGGGAGATCACTCGATTATCCCGGGACTCTCCTGGAGTACCCATCGCTCTCTTTTTGTTCTTTCATTCGGGCCAACCGCAGCCTGGTCTCGGGCTTCGTTATTTATTCTCTTTGCTTCTTATTCGGCGAGACCAGCCCGTCCACCATCTCCTTTACCGCTATTAACCAGTAGGCGTATAAGGTTTGCCTAAACCATTTGGAAATTATCTGTCAGATTCTCTTTAGATTTTTTTTTTCTCATTTTGACCTTATATCTTCTAATTGTTCACGTTGCAGGATCTTTTGGGCGCCGAGGGTACCAGTCTGCAATGGCGTCTTGTGGCGTCCCACACGATCACACGTTTGTCACGTGATCCGCTTTCCGAAAAGTTGGAAGCAGCTCAGGATTACGTCGTCAGCGCTACCGGCATCCTCCTGGAGCTCTTTACCGTTCTTGGATATTTTGCCGTTAATAATTCTGAAAATCAGGTAAGACTCGAGGGGTCGTGTCTTTTTTATTTTTTTTTTGTGTGTTTGTTAACGTTACGCGCTCACGGGACCGTAACTACGGCCGTTCAAGCTTATATCGGTTCCTCGCTCGTGGTTAGGTTACGTTAGGTTCTCGTTTCTAATCTAAAGTCGCATTCCTGCGATATAGTCGCGTCTCTTGGATTCCTCGGCTTCCCGGTTGGCATTCGGGAACGGCTACGGGGACTCCCGAAGTAAGAGATAACTTGAAGAAAAAAAAGAGAAAAAAAAGGAAAAGTGGTCGCCGACTATCTCAGAAAAGTTTTATTCCTCTTCCATTTTGTTCTCTCCTCCTCCTTCGCGGCAATACCCCTCGATATCCCTTGCAGTAAATTCGAATTTCCTGGAAGCTATTTCAAATAACTATATATGCCTACCTGCACATACCGAACTACCCCTGTTATCCGTAATACCAAGTGCATACCCCGTTGCTCGTACTGAAGGACGGATAAAATATTTAATTGGACGGCGTGAGAATTTCGAAAATTAACTCGGAACTCGAGAGACGACCAAAAAAGTATCGGAAAGTGTTTGGTAAATAATGTTGTCACTTTCAGGCGAGCAAGCGCCAATTGTTTTTATTAATTAAACGTAACAGTCATAACGCCCCAGGAGAATTGGCTAGTGGCGGCTTTGCATATAGACGAGATTTTTCGCGAGTGTAAACAGAATCTCCGGATTGGCGCGCGTTCCTTGTTTTCCTTGAGGTTCGATCCCGAAGGAATATTCCGGGTAAAGGGGAGAGAAACAGAGGTACCTAAGAGCACGGTTAGCTTCATACGTACACGGATGTACGAATATAAATTTGGAGCGATTTTTTTTAATTTTTTTCAAAAATAAGTTCGGACCACAGTACAGCGCGAAGCTAACCTAACCTAAGTGTGTATGTATTTAAAAATTTAATTTCTCATTTTCAGCCTCTCTCTCTCTCTCTCTCTCTCCCCCTCTACCCTCGTCCCATCCAGGATCCATTTATGCCAGAGTCAATGACGTTCGGAATCAGCTTCTCTCGCATCTTCTTTATAATTCTCCCCCTCTACCCTCGTCCCATCCAGGATCGTACAGCGCGAAGCTAACCTAACCTAAGTGTGTATGTATTTAAAAATTTAATTTCTCATTTTCAGCCTCTCTCTCTCTCTCTCTCTCTCCCCCTCTACCCTCGTCCCATCCAGGATCCATTTATGCCAGAGTCAATGACGTTCGGAATCAGCTTCTCTCGCATCTTCTTTATAATTCTACGAAACGCATCGCCGAAGACACAACACACTCAGCGCGACTCCCATCAATATGGGTGGCGAAGGCCTGTTAAGATATATTTACTACTCGTCGGCACCGTCCCGTTCCATTCCGCACCCATAACGCAAGTTCCGACGTTGAGTGCATCGGCGACGTGGGTGCATTCGTCTCATCCCTTTTTCGTGTCACTTGAGTTGCGCCCTTCTTCCTCTTGGCGCTAACGAAAAAGACAGAGGGGGGGGAGAGCGATTCCTCTCTCGTATCTCTTTTGGCAGACCAACCCCATTTCCGTTGAAACTGGTCAGAGCCATCGACGTCCCTAACTAGGAAATACCATTGGCAGGGGGCACAGTGTAAATTGAAATTGCAAGTTAAATATTTTTTTCGAAATTCAAATTTTTCGTGTCACTGAGTTGCGCCCTTCTTCCTCTTGTTGCTAACGAAAAAGCAGAGGGGGGGGAGAGCGATTCCTCTCTCGTATCTCTTTTGGCAGACCAACCCCATTTCCGTTGAAACTGGTCAGAGCCATCGACGTCACTAACTGGGAAATACCATTGGCAGGGGGCACAGTGTAAATTGAAATTGCAAGTTAAATAATGAAAACACAAGAATTGGTGAGGATCAGTGATAACTCCATCCTCATGAGTTACGATCAGTCCGCACAGGTGCTTCAAATTTCTCTGGTGTACACTTGGGCATTGCAGGTGGTGGGTGCTGGGTCTTTGTGTCTCCTGCGCACCACGTTCTATTTACATCCGTAACACCTGAGGAGGAAGTGTACCGACATTTCTAGGTTCCCACGAGCAGTAACACTTTTTCTTCTTTATATTCTTCGCTTTTCCCATTGTCCTGTACGTTCGTTATTGGGCTGCTTCCAATTAGAGGGCCGAACGCTGGACAGACGCTTTGCAGTGTCTTAGCACGACTCTGTGCAGTTGGGCCTATGGTATTTTATTCAGGCCGTCTATACACTATTTATGCATCGCACTAAACCAAGACCGGGATTCCGTTGCAGCTAATTTTACAATCGGCTGGCGCTGGACCCAGTGTACTTCAGCAGCTGTGCTCCCTGCCGTTCCCGTTCTACGGCGACCCGAGACTGGCGTCCAGGACTTTGCCCGCGCTGCTGGCTGCTACCCACAACAATCCCGATGCCAGGGCTGTGTTGTCCTGCGAATTGTCTTATCAGGTTGGTATACGAAAATTCATATAAGCCTTTGGGAACTTTAGTGGGAGTAAAAGGAAAACGTGAAGGGACGATATACAACTGTTTGGTAGTAAAATGTATTTTTAAAAAGCATTACTTGGCTCTTACAAGACATTTTCTAAATCGACATTCATTATTTCTCAGCTGCTGGAGGAGTACAGATGCTCGGACGATGGTAAACTCAATCCATTGGTGCGGCTTCTCAAGGATCCACCCAGTGCTGAATAATGGTTATGACTTCGAGTGATAATACGTATGGATAAGAGTAACTTTGGCAGCTATGCTTTCGAATAGTCGAATATTCGACGCGGCAAGGAGGAAAGGTCAGGACCTTTTCATTCGTGTAACCTCGGTAGCTCGAGGGTCTCGTATGCCGATGAGTTTTTAGCTGCGCGATTTCTTCTCCGGACCTGCGTGCGAGCGAGGAAGGAGAGAGGGAAGGAAAAAAAAATGTGCATACCTGCCTGCATTCCAGTGCATCTCACGTGCTCGTTTTATCGGTGGGAATGGGCCTGATGAGGGGGGCCCATCGGGTGCATCTTCTCATTTCGAAGGCTGGCACTTTGAAGTATACGATGCATCCGAAAATCAACTACGATTCACTCCAGTGACGTCATTGTGATCTGTCATTGAATTCTTTTTTTTTTTACCTTTTTATTATTATTATTTTTTTTTGCCTTTTTTTTTAAACACTTCAAACTCGTTGCCGTTGGAATAGGTCTTTATTTTGTTTTGCTACTCTTTCGGCCGAATTTGCACCTGTTCGGTGGCGGGGCCCTTCCCCATTTATATTGGGTCTCACTGCCATCGTGCACCCTTTAGTGTCGATTGCCAATAGGATGAAGTTGAAAAATTTTAAAATTGTAATGTGAAAGCGAGAGTTATAGGAATCTCGTAAACAGCGGTGCAATGTGCAGCCAATGCAATCGACGTGCAAAAGAATTATTATATCGATCATTAATCGTATTACACGAATAGAAAAATCATTCGATCGATCGATTAATTCGAGGGAAATCCTCACGCACTAGCAAGGTATAGCCTCGTTAGACGAAATTTTCCGGAGTTTTAGGATATTTTTCTATGATAGACTTTAACAGTAATTATGGCTTGAACTTAGCTGTACAGATCCAATGATTAATATATGCTCTATTATAGATATATATATATATATACACTCATATATTATTAATATAATTATACATGCATCTATGTAAACAATTCTCGTGATCCACGTAGAAGTGAATTTTTGTTATTCAGTCAAAATTATTTTTTTGCTATTATTATTTAAAGAATTTTCTATTAATTACAATACTCTGGGTATGGCCATTTTCATTGTCATACCGGGCACGTCGGTGTTAATTATTTATTTCAATTGAGCTGATTGAGCTATTTGATTTTTTTCGTTTACTTCATTGTCCGTATCTCCCTGTCGTTACAGCGATATGCTTATACGTATATTGTACTCGCGATTTGATTTTTTTTTGCAAAATTGCATTGTATCCCTTCGTCCGAGATAAACTAGTCAATGAAGGTATAAGAATTTGTATGATCGTTAGTGCGACGCAGTAAAGAGAGAGAAACCGTCGAGTATATGAAATTATAAATATTCATCAAGTGCGATTGGAATTCCACGAGTAAGATGGAAGAGACTCACGCAGCGCCATTTATATTTATACTCATACGTAATTAAAAGAAAAAAAAAAATTGTTCAACAAATAAATAATAACGTAGTCACGTTCTGCCGACGGGACGTCGAAATAAAGGAAGTAGAAACAAAATAGTTAATATTTATAATCGCATTCCTCAATTTCGAGCACGAAAATTCCTAAACGTCACTTTTCACGATTCATGAATATTCACGTTAATCCCAATTACAATGCGACTGGTAAGTACACGGTATGCAATGTACAGTATACGTATATATATCCATTGAGAATTATACATTGTGACTTTAAAATGCAGAGAACGGTCGTAAGAAGCATCGACGGGCGTCGTGGCGCTGTTGAAATATTTATATGTATCTACGAGAATCACAATGTACATAAGTGCGTCTGGCTGGGTAACGATAACATAACCTTCAAGAAGAGTGGTTCCTATTTTGGTGGCCGACATTTTCACGGGACGTACAAACGTGCCGATGACATATGAGCGAGCGTCGAGTAATAGTCGGTCCTTTTTATTTTTATTTCCTTACTCTCTCTCTCTCTCACTGTCCCTCTCTCGCTTACGTATATGTCGCGCGACGCCTTTTACTCCCTTCTCGAGTCTCTCTCCCTCTCTCCTTTTTTTTTCCTTTGCTCCATTTTCCTCTCACGAAACGTTTTAGCGGCAACAGCCTCCGCCACCATTGCCTCCTCTACTTCTACTTTCCTTTCGAGCGTATAATCTATGGACGCACTTAATACAGCTGCTCGTGCAAGTCACGACGTGGGTTCTCCGTCCCTCTCGCTCTCTCTCTCCTTCCTCCGTTCGCTCCGTCTCGCTCGCACTCACTCACGGCAGAGACGACGCGCGAGTACGGTTTAAAGTGCCGCGACCCTGGCGCCATCTGCGCGCGCAACGCTTCAACCGCTATTGTCGTGATCTAGTCTACCTAATTTCTGAGGACGATTAAGTGTTCTAGATGGACTATAAGGAAATTTCAGACAGCCTAACTCGACTTGGACGATAATCATAATTTACGGAATGATTTTGACTCTGTAAACATACATTAGTCAACTTGGATGGTATAACGGTTTTTAGTTATTTTATTTTGACGTCACTGTACGAATATACCTGCGCTTCCAGAACATTAATGTCGATATACCTTTGTATGGCCGGATGGATACAGAATACGCGAAGACGTCGTCTGGACTGAGAAAGAAGCCCAAAGCTTGATGTACGTTGGGAAAATTTTGGGGGTTAAAAAATTGGAGGGGTTGAAAGAAAATAGCGAACGACAGGAAAGACGATGATTGCAACCCTTTGCTGTACGAATGAAGGCACCCCCTGGCTGCAGGGGGTGCTATATCCATTACGCTTATTACAAGGCCCTGCCGATCCATTTCTCGAGGCTCGTCCCTTCGCCAGTTGTAGCATCCCTTAACCATTCCGGTCCCTTGCCTACGCGCGCCACTCCTCGCATTCAACCCTTACCGGCTTTACCTAGCGTCACCATCGCCATCGCCACCCACCCTTTTACGCGGATGAGCATCGATCCACACTAGGGGCTGCGGGGCTATCCGGGTAGTCGTTCGCGCGGCGCGACAGGTAACCAAATTGGCCCCATTTTCTGTTTACAATGGCGCGCCCGTACGGTGGATGCTTGGCAACGAGCAGAGCCGTGCCCGAAGGGGGGTAGATACGAAAAAATAGGGGTTGCTGGGTTTTTGAGTATCGGCAAAATTTTTTATCTCAAAACTACCCCCTTCTACGCGCACCTTTTCTCAAAGGGCAATAATTAGCTCGATCTTGATATTTAGGGGTGGAAGGACGATTTCGAACCCCATTTCACATCTTTATTTTTACTCAAGTTTGACTACCCGTTGCTCGAGGGCGGAATTGGATCCGTTTCCTTAACTGGCACCGTTTGCCGGGACCGAAACCCGATCGCTGTTTGCAGTTCATCCCTCGCGTAACCGAAGCATTCATCGCCGAGCAAACACTCCGGGGATAGAAGCAACCCCCCCGCCCGCCCCCCGGACTACGTCTACGAACTCCATAGTTCGGGGTGCAAGCTCAGCCCGGGTATGCAGTGGACTCCTAGGGGCTAGTCGCATCCTCGGATCCTCGGCTACCCTTACGATCCATCCTTCAATTTTCAAAACCACCCCCTCCCGCCACCCTTGCAGATGCTCCGCTTCCACCGGGCATGCAGATACACACCTAAGACGAGCAGTTAACAGTGACGCGTGCGGCCCTTAAACTTTGACCCTGGGGGATGTTTCTGGGTCCCGTGAGATCTCGGTGCACCGGGTGTCCATTTTTACTCGGCAGGTTTTTAATTTCACTGATAATTCCAGATGCCGAATGCAGTACAGCTACCACCCCCCCCCCCCC